GAAAATGAAACTAAATAAATTTCTTGAAAAGAAACGATAAAAATAAAAAATAAAAATCTTTTTCTCTTATGAAAATAAAATAATTTTTTTTTAACTAATATTTTAGTAATAGCACGTAATAGTAGAAAATGAGTAAAGACGTTTTTCAAGAAATATATTTAGTTTCATTTTCTTTTGCTCTTCCTTCATCAGAGGTTTTTGAGCGATAACTTCTTGAGGAAGCATTTTTCGCTCCTTGTTTATAGGAAATTTTTTGTTCGGAATTAAATTTCCTATAAGATCTCAAAGTCTGGCTGGAACGTTCGGGGCCACCCTGCGGACAGCCAGGTATACATATATACCTGCCTATCCGCACCGCAGGGAACAAAAGCAGCGTAATCGCGCGCCCTCTCGAGAGTGAAAAAAAAAAAAGAAAAGTAGATTGCCGAGATAGATGGATATCTAAGGCGCGCAAACTTTTAATGAATTAGAAAGACAAGCTAATCCATCGTCGCGGACGCTTACGTGATGCATTAAAAACGCTTATTCAGCACTTCCCTCTTCCTCCTCAGGGTCTGTAATGTAGTAGTAGCAACAAAGTGTGGCGTCTCCCCGTTATATTTTTTTTTCCATACTCTGCCACCTCGCTCGCGATAAATCCCAACTTTCAACTAGCCCGTTAAATTCTTCATTGTATTTCGTGTTTTGATGTCTTTATCTCGTTGAAAAAAAAAAAAAATATCGATAAATCTTGACAAAGTAAAGCCATAAAAATACGTTGAATCAACGGATGAATAAAATGAAATGATGTAAAGCGTGTCGTGAGGGATGTTGAATTATTTCGACATATTAATCAGTTATATCTTTATTATCCGTGAGAGAGGACGGGGAGGATTGTTGGATTGTGTTTATCTTCGAACCGCCTCTCTCGGCTGTACCTTCGCGCTGATTTCGCTGCGCTAACAGGTTCCACGGTCAGTCGGAGACGGCAAATTAGCCGCCGGAGCGAGGCTGAGGAGAGAGAGGGAGAAGGAGAGAGAAAGAGCAGGCAGATGCAGGATTCTTGGCAGGGTCAAACCCCCCGGCCATCTTCTGATGCCGCTTATACCTCGCCCGGGCCCTTCTCCGCTTCTGGTTGCCGGCTGCTCCTCTCCACTTTTCTCTTGCCTTCTTCTCCCCCTGGCAAAAAATCGTGCGTACATGTGCACACAAAGACCCGCGGAATAAGGAGAGCGAGGTAGATCGAAGAGGTTGAGAAGGTGGGGTTTATACACGCAGGTCGGGCGCAGGTAGGAAAGATACGCGGCGGCAACCGGTTCTCTCTCCCTTCGCAGACTCCGGACAGGTTCCCGAACCGGTCCAGGCCAGATCGCGAGTCGGCGATCGCGTGTTGCTCGCGTGGCCGGACGCGGCCGAGGCTCGGCGGAAGCGCCCGAGTTGGAGCATTACACAAATTGCGCCATTATGTGTAATGGGTCTAGAAAAAAATGCCGGATAGAGATCGAGATGCCGGATGATGAGCGGAGGACCAGCGGCGCGGCAGATCGAGGAAGAACGAAATTGGAATGCACGGACAATTAGAACTTCACACACGAATTTCTTCGAGATGCTCGGCTCGAAGATCGCGTCATGTTTCCAGCTCGATGGTCCTTTGAATACCGATCGTCCTTTGAATTCGCTCCCATACGTGTACATATACTGAGGGAAAAATTTTTTTTCAATCAAATAAATTTGTTTTCTCGAAACTTTTGCTTTTTAAATGCAAGGAATTGTTTATTTCACTTAAGCAAAAGTATTTAATTTTAATTAAATATGCATGTTATATTAAGTACATTATTTTACATTTATATATTTTTTAAATTTAAATACTATTTTCGTAAAATACTATAATTTATTACATTAAATATATTATTTTTTTAAATTAAAACATTTAAAATTTTTGGGAATAAAAAATGCATTTTAATAAATATTTTGTAAAATTAAAATAAAAATATTTAATTAAAAATTATATTTTTTTAAGCATATATGTTTTTTTAAACATATGTAAATAAATACTTAACTTAAGCAAACGTTTGAATACAAATAAATACGTGATTAGTACCCACCGAATAAATAGCTTTCTTGAGTTAACTAAAATTTTTTTATTTCATTTTTATTTTTTTATTTCAAGATAATTTTTTCCTCAGTGTATGTATTTAGTACAAAGATTCGAGATGTCTTTTGTATCATTTCAAGTATGCACACGATCTTTCAATCTTTCCAGAGACGATTTCTCAATACATAATAATAATAAGATTCACACATACACACACACACACACACACACACACACACACACACACACACACACAAATATAATATATTATTAATATATACATATTAAATACGCTATGGAATATAATATACAAATAATTAATTATTATAATTAATTATTATAAAAATTAATTACTGATTAATATAAAGTAATCAGTAATTAATTTTTATAATATTATATTAATCAGTAATTAATTAAAAGTCATTAAAAATTGGAAAAATGTCACACGGCTTCAAAAATAATATGACGTCATTATATAATATTATATACACATCAATAAAAAACTGCAATAAATGATAATTTTATCAGGTTCGCATCGAACTTGCATTATTCAAATTTCTCATATTTTTCTCCTTTTGGAAATTAAACAGAGAAAATTTTTTTTGTCATGCTCACACATATATTTTGGCACGAAACGGTATTTATATCTTTTCGTTTCTTTAATTGCAAATTTTTAATATATCTAAAGGTGGACATTTTGGTGCTTTGAAAAATCTTATTTTTAAATTTGATATTTAATATTTTTACAATAATTCTATCGCAAATATACTAATATTTTTTATAATATTTTATAATTTATTGTATAATTTATTTTATCATATAATTTTTTATAATTTAAAATTTATAATTTCATGGAATAATTTTAAAAAAATCGAAAATGACCCCATTGCATTTACATCATCCTTTGTTCATAGAATGATGCATATAAATATATGTATCTATAAATAAATTCGTAGACCTTTATCTCCAGAGAATACACGCATTATATATGCGGCCGTTACACACACCCTCGCACAGACGCCTGTCTATGTGCGTGCGAAATTTAAAGGGTATTAATACTTCGAATTTTCTTTAAGTATAATACGACGCATGGGGGAAACACATCTCGCCAATGTATCTCGCAGGTACCATCCGCAACGCTCCACCATAATTTTCTGCAATATAGTGCCATATCCTCTCTCTCGCTGATGTATTGTAACCGGTATCCTATCGAATCAAGCAGGTGGCTCGACAGGCTCCCTTATATTTTGACGATTAGTTCTGGACCGAGCTTCTTCTCGAAGGACGGACTCCGCTCTGCCGCAACACCTTTCTCTTCAAGCCAGGGCCGCAGCTTCAGATATTTAATACTTAACATCTCGTGCAAATGAGGGACATGAAATACTAAAAGTATACACAAACATTCGATGTTTAAGTTTTATAAGAAATAAATCGTGAACAAATAAACTCGTCTTCCTCTTTGTTAAACTGCGAAATATTTGTTTTAATATTAAAATCCTTAAAATCGAAAGTTGTATCAGTTCTTCATGATTACTTCTTCAGGCTCCTATTTTTTAATTTTATTAAATATACTTGAAATAATTAGAAATAATTATTAGTGTGATTAAATCACACTAATATAATTTATGTTGATGACATTAAATTATTAAAATTTTAATATTAAAATATTATATGTATATTATTGTATATAGAATACTTTAGAATCATGGAACTACCTATTAATGGCAGATTCTCGAAATATAAAATTACTTGGAAACGAAAATATCGAAGGAAATCATTTGCCAGAGCCAGATTTAGGGGGAAGCAACAAGGGCTGAAGCCCAGGGGCTTCCACAAGAGGGGGAGGGGGCCTCCACAACAAAAATTTTTGAGTAAAATTTACTATCGAATGGTATACAACACTTACAAGGTCTATGTATATTGCTTGACTTTGTTATTTCACAATAAATTATTTAAATAACGTAAAAATTTCTGTTTGATTTTGATTTAAAAATGGAGTCTCCACCTCTTCATTGCCCCAGGGCCTCCACACCTTTAAATTCGGTCCTGTCATTTGCTGTTTTCAATTTTCCAATTTTAGTTTCTTTTTTAATTTTGCCATCATATATCTTTGTGATCAACAAAAAGATCAAATAACAACTTAAATTAAAATTCTATTAAACTCCACCTAAAATTAACTGAAGAATGTAATTTTGATCATCTCTTAACTCTCGTAACTCTCTTTATAAAGTTTAGTTTACGAAAGGTCTTTCTTTCTGAATTGCTTATAACTCGTAAATTATTGATATACCTCGATATTTTCGCTGAGGAAAAGTCGTCTTCAAACGATGTATATATACAATGTAAAAATGTTATTATTAGATATATCAAATCATAATTTAAGAGCTCTAAAATAAAGAAAATGTTTTTGAACTCTAAAATAATTTAAGAACTCCAAAATGAAGAAGGATCTACTATTTTATACATATAAAGCATTGTTTAATTCTTAAATCTTCCAAGCACTGCATCTTTAATATTTTTTTTCTCGGTGAAATTTTTCAATTTTTGTCTCCAATTTAACTATAAAAGATAAAAATTATTTAACAGCTCCTAAATAAAGAAAGATCTATTATTTTATAAACCATTGTTTAATTTCTAAATCTAGGTCTTTACATTGGTGTCTTTACCATTTTTTTCACAATAAAATGTTCCAATCTTTCCCTATAAATTAATCATGAAAAATAAATAATTTCTACCAGGTCTGTCAATAGGAATATTGCAAAAGCATTTTTTTTAAAGTATCGTAAAATTATTCTAAACTAATAGAACCTCCGAAAGAGATTTTAATATACACATATATATATTTTTTTCCTTTTTGAGAAGAGCTTCAAGAGATTAAAATCGCTAACGAATGGACCCTTAATCTTTGAATCTCTGGATTCGGCAGGAATATTCGGGGAGATAATCGGACGATTCTCGGCGAAAATTCTTCTACCGCCTGCGTCCCTGGAAAAACGAGACAGCCGCCGGTCATCCTGGTTGCGGTGTTGGCTGCCGGGTCGACCGGACCCCGACGTCGACGGTGTAGCCTGTGCGTGCACTTGCCGCGAGGGAAAGGTGGATGGCCGCGACCTTGATACGCGTGGTTCTCGCGTGCCCGAAGCCTCACGAAGCACCACGGGGACGGCCGAGCCCGAAGAGGATCAACGTCTCCACGTCTACGTACGTGGTTGTTAAATTATCTCTCCTCCCGAGAGCTCTCCTCTCGGGGAGCCTCTCCAGCCTCCCATCCCCTTCTCTGCGCGTCGCGCGCGTCTCATCTCCTTTTTTCTTCCTCGCAAAGCCGCGCACTTACACACGTGCATGGTCGATACGTGTGTGCGAGATCACACGGAAGCTGGAACGACTATCGCTACTCTCCTCGGCTCTTGAGCTCCGCTGCTAGTTCTACGACGAGACCGGTATCTCGACTTAACCGACCAGTCATCCGAGGCAACCAGTGTCTCTCAACGTCGTCCCCGACGTGGCCCGATAATATCGCTCGGATGGTCCGTAAATTGCAATTTTAGGCGCACGTTTAAGCCTGAGAATTATATGCTGTTGACAAGGCGATGTTTATCGGTTTATTGATTCTCATATTGGTACCTTATCTCTTTTTCAATCGTGACAAACTTTCTGTGAAACTCAAGCATGCGAGATTATATGCTTTGCATTTTTGATAAGAATATGATATTCAATTTATTTTATAGACATGGGATATAAATATGGGATCTAAATATGGGATATGAATATCTTGTAGTTGAACAATCAGTTTCTGAAAGATTATATCTATGTATCTGGAAGAGATGTTTACGATCCTCATTTAATATATGTGTATGTGTACATATTTATCTGTAATTTTTTTTTTAATTTTTAGAGTACAATATGCTACGTAAAAATTGTGTATTTTATATTTGATGATATAATTATCTTTATCAAATTTATTATCAAAATGCGACGAAATTTTGAATCATTTCTTTCAAATTATTAATTTCTTAATATTAATTTCTTAATAATATTAATTTCTTAATATTAATTTCTTAATAAAATTATAATTGAAATTATAATTGATTATAATAATTGATAATGGTTTCTCTCTATCATTTTTGTTCTCTGTAATAGTTTTTTTAGGAAAGTAAATTGCATTCAGCCAACGTGACTTGTGTACGGGTTGCCTACGAATCAGGAGTAAAAGCTCGTGTGTTTCTGTGATTTTTTACATGATGATAAAACTATTCTGATAGGTTTCTATTAAAGATATCCAATTAGATTACAATAGATTGCTCGAGCAATAATGACATAATTATAAGAAATGCAAATAATATGTTATTAATGTAAATTTAAACATTTGATTTAAATAAATTTTAACCAATTTACAATAATTACGTTATTTATACACAAAAAATTAAAGTCAAATTATGCCAAATATAATTTTATAAAAGATTATAGTATGGAATTTTTTTTATAATGAAGGATTGATATAAAATGCCTGTGAAAATATTACTGAGCTATAGAAGGATCGATTAATGTAAATATGGTTTAAAGAAAATATAAATATTGTATGTTATAAAATATAAAAAATATTTCTTATTTTAATAACTTTTCCATTTCTTGACAAATATTTCTTGACAAATAACTAAATATTGCCTTTACATAAAATATTAATTATAGTTTTCATAATCACTATTACTACTTGATGTAGAAAATTCCTGAATATAACTTTCCATAAAAGACTTTTCTTCTTTGGTACCTTTCTCTTCTTGGATACCTTTCTCTTCTTCTTTGAGATCTGTTGTAAGTAATATATATGATCCTTTAAAGGATGATTTCTTTATAATATTGATATAAAAATTGTACAAGTAAATTTGACATATTGTAAAATGTGACTTACAATCATTATCAGACTTAATATCACTATCTTCTTTGAGGTCATTTTTTTCATTATTTTCATCCGTGTTTTCCGTTTCATTTGTAAAATGTAAATATGACAATGTGCACAGAAATGTTATGAAAAACAAAATTGAACCAATGCCAACACAGGCTGATAAAAATGGCCAATAAAACATCCAGTAACGTATTCCTAATAAGTGAGCACTTATCACGAGATTAGCAGAGTAAAATTCAATATGTCTCGATTGAATTTCAATAAAAATCATTGTCACTGGATGGTTCTGGGATATAAATTTATCAATGTATTACAAAACAAATTATCTGAAGTAAAGTTGCAACTAAGTCGTAAAGAAAAAGTTCTGGAAGAAAAATTATTACCTGATCCTCTTCAAAGTTGCTGAACAATTCGAGAATAACATCCTGTTTTTCTTCGACATTTCCAAAAATCATCATCGGAGAAAATGTAAGAGTTGTAAGCATGTGTAATAATGTACTACGATAATGTAACATTGCTGATCTACATGTATGATCTACAAGGAATCCATTGCGACTTCGCAATTCGACGCAGACCATAAACATACCTGGAAAAAGAATTAACTGCTTACAAAACATGATATACATTTCATCAATCATACATTTATATAGAAACTTTACCAAGCTCTTTGTTGGCTGGTGATTCTGGCATTTCCAGATGTAGATTCACTTTATACGGCTGACCGATCATCAAAAGTTGCTGCTTCTTGGTCAACTGTACAGAAGCTTGAGGGAAACTGCATACTCCTTTCTCTTCATCGCATGATCTAAAATGAAATGTGATTTAGTAATTCAACTCTCTTCGGTTCAATCATTTTTTTACTCAGTTTCACACAATTAGATTATTATCTTATATTTATACATTAACAAATAAGCATTAGAGGGACTCTGCTCTATTATGATTTTTATTATTCTAAACTAGAGCGACATTTTGTTTCTTTTTTAGACTTTGATCACTGCTTAATTAACATGCAAAATAGAGAATTATAAATGGAACTTACTTGAAATTCATATTTACAGGTCGCACGTATGACATGCTTGGCATGTAGGCATAGTAAAAGGCCGTATAAAGAAATATGGACAACCAAATTACAAGGATGGAGCTGATAACAATGACACTACCATGTAAGATCGTATCTTTGGCGGACTGGACGTTTCTTCTGGTTGTCGTCTGTACTTTGAACCATCTTTTAGTGATGTAGCGTGATAGAATCGAGAAGGGCAACATTTTGCATCATTACTGGCACCTCCACAATCCACTTCCAGAAGATTTCAGTTGCACGTTCAACTTCCAAATGTTACATAACGACTGTTTCTCCTTCGTGATAAATGTTTGTTTATCATAATTTTTTCTTACTTTTTATTTCACATTGAACGTTGTTTACGGTTGAAAATTCCTTAGATGTCATCGAGGATGGGACTGAAAATAACGACTGACGATGATTCGTGTGTTTGATATTGAAATAACGTAATCGATTAGGTGAATATTTCTCGAAAATTATGCGAGTATCAACAAAGTGTTCTTACCTCCTCGCAAACATCAAGAAAGGTTATAGAAAGAACGTAAACATTCGATGCGATCAGCCAGTGAACTGTCATCGATCTGTCCTTTCTTGACAAGAGTAGAGTAGCGTTCGATCGACCAATCAGGAGAAAGAAACGATTGTTCCTTTATCCTGATTGGTCGATTAAACGCTGCTTTAGTCCAAGAAGTAAATTTTAGAACGTAACTCTGGCGGACACTAGGGACTTTTTCTCTTTATTATAGGGGCATAGGGTATTATTTTTCTCAACATTAGCAACACTGACTTCGAAACTGCGCCTTTGCCGTGGGAAATTATCGAGTATCGTCGAGTGAGAAAACCTCAAGTAAGAATTATTTTCTTTAAATTCCGATTAATTTAATCAACAGAACTCAACATGACAAGTGAAATATATTTTAGAAAGAGAGAGAGTGAGAAGAAAACTGTTACATCGGCAAAAATATTGTTGGTAAATTGAAAGTTAGCCTAGACATCTTTTTTAACTTTTCTATATTTGACTATTTTATTTCATATTAATATATGTTACTGTTTATATATCTTTAAAATATAGTTTATACATCTTTATATATCTTTAAAAGTTACAAAAATTATTGGCGAATCACGTGTTTGCCGAATATCGATATCCGACAGAAGTTGGCAATCAAATCTTGACGTTTGAATTTTGGTAGCTGACTTCAGCTTGTTTCATCTCCCGCGCCGATCCTGAAGAGAACAAAATTCAAATCGAGGTTTTCACTTCTTGTCGAAATATTTTTCTAACACTTGACGCGCGATTCGTTGTGATTTTTGAAAAAAAGGGTCAACAATAATTGCATAATATTAAAAAAAATTATAGATGAGATTTATATTTTTATAAAATTGTATTTTTATTACTATAATGTTAATAATAATAATTTGTGCGAAGTAGTAATATATATATAATAATTTTATATATAATAATTTTTATATATATATTTATATATTAATTTTTATATATATATATATATAATTATAATAATAATAATAATATAGTTGCTGCTAGAAATAACACTATATATGTATAATAATTACAGCTACTTATTTTAATTAGTGCACCGACTTTTGAAATCGTTCTTTAAGAAAGATTCGTAAAGAATTGCGATATAAAAAAACTTTATAAACTCATCATATTCAGATATTATTTGAAAAGACAAAGGTCTTATATTTTCTAATTTTTCTCTTATTTCGAAAAACACTTTTACTCTGTATTTAGACTCAAATAATCAAGTCGAAAATTTGAAATATAAATTGGTAATTGCGCCGATAATCTTTTTTCAGCTCTACTTTGATTCTCAGATTTATTATAAGCACGATTCGTGTAAGAAATCTTCCTTTCTAACTGTGCTTTATATAATTTCAAAGAAGGCCGTAAAGAATACACTGAAAGTATGTTGATGATATCTTCGAGATCTTGAAATCAAGGACGCAATTATTTACGGGAAATCATACATAAGACTTAGAAAGCAATAACGATGATATCCTGATCTTTATTTACCTGTACACGCATTAACCTACGCTGCTCGTTACGCATCAGGATCTTGCATCAACTATCATCATCGTTCACATGATCTTTCAGATCCTTAGTTTGCATAAGATTTTGATTACTCGCTATTTTCGCTTTATTAGGCGAATAATTACGGAATAGGGTCTCCTCTTCGCGGAAATAATCTCGCAATTGATTCAACTTCATGCAGTGCGCTTCTGCAAATTAGATTGGTAAATATATTAATTAATTTTTGCAATTAATAAAATTATCCTCGCATAGAAAAAAAATTCTTTAGAAAAATTATTGTTATTGTAATAAAATTATAATATATGTTTATTATAATTTATAAATATTCCATTATTATAGTAAAATTCTTATAAAACCCCATATATATATATGAGCAAAAAAATCGAGCTTAGCTTCAAATATTTCGTAATTATTATATATATTTACCATGAAGATTTGCGACATAATCCAATTCCCCATTGTAGTCTTTCGGCAGACATTCGGGCGGTATATGAGAATATATGTCGGAGACGTCACCGGTATGAATATGAAGCTATAAAATAAAGGAGAAAATTAAAGCGAGCTTTGTTATAAATAGCTGATAACAACGGACACGTAGAATGAGATCGCAACTTTCGCCATTACCGAATAAAATCGTAAATTTCGATGTATCTCTGTGATATCCATACACATATTCACGTATGTAAATCTAACGTCATTTCTATAGCCTTGACATGTATAGCCGGCTTAGAAAGTTAAATAAGTGCAAATTGGGAAACTTAAAGTCGGCATTTGAGTTTAGCCATTTGTCATGAAATTTAGAATGGAAAACAATTTTATGAAAAATAAAATTATATATATATATATATATATAATTTAAATTACTTTGTGAAATCTAAATCGATCGAGTCGAATTCGGTGGAAAAAAATCGAAATCAGTTTACCATCTCGTAAAGTTCTCGCTTCATAAACGGTCTGATGAGCGCGATGATTTTATCCATGAACCAGACCGCGTTCAAAACATGGATGGCCTTGAGCCTAACCGGCATGGCATCCTGAAGATACTCGAAGAACCAGCGAATACTGCTTATCGACAGCCTGGTCAAGTGTCCAAGTCTCACGTTATGCATGTCGAAGAGGAAAATGTATCCCGGCGAGCAACCCTCCGTGTAGAGGTCCGCGTCGATGGACATCAACAGCAGCTTGATACCGTCGTTGAACATGTATCGGGAAGATCGTGAATCCGCCAGACGATGAAAGATTATCCGGGAGCCGTTTCGATCTGGCTTGGGAAGAGCTACGAATTCCCTGCAACGAAAAATTATATTTATTTTTATATTCATATTTATATTTAATAATTAATATTTAACTGAAGTTAAACTTTTATATTCACATAGTTTAATTTGTTTGCTCTTGCAGACGTGTCCAATCGAATACCATTATAATCCGTAATTATTCAATATTAATTTTTTTTTACTGTATGTCATTTTTATTAAAAGAGTATAGTCGAGAGTGATGGTTAATAGTGATAGTTAATACCATTATATAATTACTTTTATTTATTATAGGTGCTTGACATTAATTGATCTGATTTTCTATACGATATTACTTACATTCGTATTAATATAATAATATATTATAATTTTTATTTCTATTTGTATTCATTAAAAATACAGAAACAATGTGTTTTCTTATATTTTCCTCTGAAATTATTTTTGCAGTTTTCTTCTATTAATTGATCTGATTTTCTACGATATTACTTACATTCATATTAATATAATATGTTATAATTTTTATTTTTATTTATATTTATTAAAAATACAGAAATAATGTGTTTTCTTATATTTTCCTCTGGAATGATTTTTCTTCGATAGCACCAGATGCGCGATACTCTGTAATTGCACAACGCAGGAAGATTACAGTGAAAGGATATTTAACGCTGCTCTCAAGCATGCAATTTGTATAAAGAATATGAAATAAGAAGTAAGATTGAAAGAAAAGAAAGAGGCATCGATTGACCGAGAGACAAAAGTGACATGACATGCATTTTATAAATAACGTAAATGACGAATAAAGGTTAATCAAATCAAAATGTATGTTTATTAAACAGTCATCGAATTAAAGAGTTCGATTTGCATAAATGAATGCTAATTATCTTCTTAAAACACTGCACGATTTCTTATCCGCAATACGAGAACCGAACACATACATTTAATTTATAAAAATATAATAATAAATAAAAATATAATAAAAAAAAATATAATATAAAAATAATATAATATAAATATAAATATAATATAAAATAAAAAGTATAATATAATAATATAAAAATAAATAAAAATGGAACATTTATATACAATAATCCTTGAAAATCAATTCTGCTCTTCTTTTGTTGACGTAAGATTAATTGAGAAAAATTGATTATGATATGAACGTACAAAATTTTTAAAGATTGTTGCAGATACTCAGGATCTCTGTCGTAAAAAAATTCCGGGATCGTGGAGCGCATTCTGTAATAAACGTCCATGCATCGTTCCGTGGCCGTCAAATCATAATAACAACTGTGCGTGAATAATGCCAATTGTTCTTCGGGGATTTTCGGAAGATCTCGATCATCGGCCCACTTTTGCAGACTCTTTATAAGCTCGTCCGTAATCTCCGGGTATTTCTTTCGCGAATCGTCAATTGTGTGGCCAAACTTCATCCTATGAAAAAGAGAGAGAGAGAGAAAGTTGTATTAATAACTCCTAAATCTTTTACAGAGGAATAATTTATCGAAATTGATAGCGCTTTTCTTCTATCAACATTAAGGTAACGACATGAAAAAAAGCCGCGGGGTATAAAATCGAACTGTTAATGTTATGCGACTTATATAGGCTCTCCGAGTAATGAGACTTTCACCGCGAATCGTGTCCCGTAATTGATGTGTAAATTTGCTCGACTTGCGTCATAATAGCTACTTTTGCACATTCTCGGCGTACTGATTCTAATTAAAATCGTTCCTTCGTGTATTTTATTTTTCGCGAAAATACTGTAATTGAATTCAACCTATTATTTACAAGATTGATCACATATAATAACGACATTAATTTCGATATAAAATGAAATTTGTAATCACAAAAATGTAAATAATAATTTCTCACGAATGAAAATATTTCTTACGTAAATTATTTTAATTCGCGAATTATATTAAATAATTTTCTTTTCAAATACCTGAAAAATTCAAGAAACTTCGTTGAAGATTGCACTGAATATTCAAATAAGTTCCTTTTTTATTTCCCAATAAGGTGACACTCGTTTCACGCACAATTTGACAGTCAATTTTCTTGTTTTTTGATGTGCACTATTTTCTTGTTTCTTGATGTGCACTATTTTAAATTGCGCTGAAGTATTTCTTCCTAACATATATTGCACAAAAATATATATGTATGTATTGTATATATATATATATTTTTTTGTCCATTAAAGAGCTCGACAAAATTACACGCACTGCACAGTCCACACTTTCAGGGATTGAATACGCCGCGCAACTGCACGGTTTCTCACTTTGATTCACGCTGCCGACAGTCTCGTTGAATATTGCACATTGGCCCCTATAGTAAAGAAAAATACTCCCGCTTCTGCAGCAGAACCGGTCGCCTTGCTTTCTTACGTAATGTCTCATAATAAACGGCACGTGAAAAGAGCAATATCTACGAACCATCGTAAAAAATATTTCGAAATTCGTCATTTCGAAATATGTGAAATGACTATAATAATTGTTAGACAGTATATATATATATATATATATATATATATATATATATGTACATTATTTATAGTAATTATATAGCCATTTCATAATATATTGTCTATAGTATACTATTATATAGTATACTATTTATAGTAATTATATAGCCATTTCATAGTATATTATCTATAGTAATTATAAAACCATTTCATATATTTTGAAATATAACACTAATATAACATATTATGTATCTTAAATATTTATAAAATATTTATGAAAAGCAAAATAGAAAGTGACTGACTAATGTTACATTTTTTTAATTAATGATATAAAAGATAGTTATATAAAAATAAGTATAGTTAAATAAAAATATAAAAATTATATATTATATAAATATATTACATATATTACATATATTATATATATTATATAAATATATATTATTTACCTATATTATTTTAAACATATTATTTACATGTTTATATATTTTATAAATATATTATTTATTATATTTATTTAGTATATTCTTTTTTTGTACTTGTAATATAATATATTATTATTATATTTTTTTGTACTTGTAATATAATACTTTTGTACTTTTTTTAAACTTGTAATGCTTATTCTTTTTTTATTGATTCATATTTCATATATACTTTTAAATCGAAAATATATTTTTGTAATCCAAAAAAAGAAAATGTATCTCGCTGATGTAATGTGATTATATGACAGAAAATGATACCGTGAATATAATTATCGGGAAATATTTTGTCGAAAGCGAGAAAAATGTAAAAGGGAAAGTGCCTCGATTGGCCAATATTATTAAAGGCATGCAAACATTTTTTTCCGTTAAAGTTTACACGGGCGAAGTTGGCGTTTTCTTTCAATCATCAATCCACGTGATTAATCCACGTGATTACTCCACGTGCGGAGAGAGTTATTATTATTCTATTAAATTATTCAATTATAAAAATTATTTCTATTAAAAATTAATTTTATAGAAATCTTCGAGAAATTATCAAATCATGTAATAAAATTCGAAATATCCGATAGATTTTGAAATATCTTGCATTATTAAAAATATAATATACTACGTTAATTATCTATAAAATTGATTTATGAAATAACTAGATATGATATATTTTCAGGACAAATGGACCAAAAGCTTCGAATTAACGACAACAAGCCGACAGCAGCTATTCGATGAGAGAGTTTCACGACGCGAAAGTTGCTCAATTTTGGAGAACAGAAACATCCTACGTACACAAGTATAAGTATGATATAATTCTGTGCACAAATGTTCATTTTATTTAGTACGTCATCATTCTACGCTTTGAGGACAAATCCTGAATTGAAAAATATTTCTTTTTCTAAATGATTTGATTTCAGGAATAAAATTTATATATAATTTCCTCGTATTAAAAAAAAATCGAAAGAGGACGAATGAGATATCCTCGTTCATTGGCCAGATCATTCGCGCAGTGTTCGAAAAATGGGTCAAGAAGCATCGCAGCATCAGCTCTCATTAAACGCTCGTACACCTGGCCGATGAACGGCGATCAGGTAGAGCAAGGCTACCTGACAAGAATGAGCAGTAAGGGCGGCGAGTAAGGGAGGATCGGCGGAGGATGCGTTCGCCGGCGCTGGCTGGAGAACAGGTACTCGTCGTAGGCGTCGTACGTTCATTGATAAGCGTATAACACCCCGCGCCTTAGAGCTGTGTGACGTCATTGGACGCATGCGTGGCCTCGCATCGAATTCTGAATCGCAATGGCGCCCATTGGCGTCGCATCCGGTTTTTCCACCCTGTATCGTGTATATGGATAAAGTATCTTCTCGCAAAAACTTATCCAATTATATGCAAAATGTATCGTCACGATTAGAAAATACAGATATTATTTGATACATATAATTTATTGAATAAAATATTACACGACACATACAGTGATAAAATCAGAGGAAATTGTATAGTTTGCATCTATCACTGTCTGCCTTGAGATTTTCAATGATTCTTTATTATTATTCTTCGTTAATTATATATGTCATCAAAAACATATATTTTTTTTTTAATTGATTAAAACATTTCAATTTATTTTGTTATAGATTATCAAAATCAAACGTGTGGCAAAATTTCCATATTCTTGGGCGCTGATTAAAATAATTCATGGTCACGCCATTGTCTTCTGGAGTTTCCGACTGGCGTGAAAAAGATGTCTGAAATTTTTGAAAAAGTTGGTACATTCCTGATAATACGGCAAAATCGTTTTAGACTGCGAGGAAGGTGCTGTCATCTTTTTCGCAGAAATTTCAGACGGTGCGTATGAGTGTAACGCCGCATTAAAATTAAACTAGTTCCCCGCATCCTCGTGGATCCCGTACCTCCGTTTCCATCCTTTTCACACGATGGCCATTCGTCTACATGAGGAAAATTACACGAGAGGAGAAAGTACGATGGTTTTCAGAATGAAACGAATAGAAGGGAATCGAGGAACGAAGCTAGATAAATGAAATAGATGTGGGCGGCGGAAAGGGCAGGAAAGTCGAGGAAAGGGGTGAACGGGGACCGAGAGAGTTGGTAGCGGGAGAAGGTGGCGAAAGAGGGAGAGAAAGAAAGAAAGAAGAGAAACGAAGAGAAACAATGAAGGGGAGAGAAAGAGAGAGAATGTGCATGTGTGTGTTTGTATAGAGAGTAGAGATATCATAGGATCACCTCCTGCGTATTGATTGGTCTTTTGTGAAAGCTACACCCCCATGTAGCCGCGACGCGAACCATTTCGCCAAGTCACTAGACTTCCAGGGTATCGGACTTCCAGGGTTGCGATACCTCCATATTTGGCGCGCGGTCGATCGAACTCTTAAATGCCGCGCGCAAATCAACGCGGTCGACTCTACTCCCGCGCCAAAGATAATATTGCGAGCGATCGAGTCGGTGCGCATCGATACGCGACGAAGAGGATCATCCCTCGGAACAAGCGGGCGAGCGAAAAGTGACGCAAAGAAGATTGTGCGAGAAACTCCGGCGATACAGCGACTCTATATCGGCATTGATCGCTGAGTGACCCATATCTGGCAGTGACGGGAACCCCTACCCTTCTTTTCCCCTCCTCCCTTTCCAATCCCTTTCGACGTTTCTCGCATCCTGGCGCGCGCGCCTGCTCTTTCTCTCTCTGTCTCTCTCTCTCTCTCTTTCTCTTCAACCATCCCCATTCGCTTACCTTCCCCTGTACCCCGTACGGAGGTGCACCTCCACCCCACATGGGCCGTTGTATCCCCACCCATTACACCCCGACGACGAGCGACCACCATTATCGGCCCCTACCACCGACTCCAGCAGCCCTGCCTGCCTTCCACGGTCGAGCAGATCTTGGGGGTTGTACGGGATGATAGCCGAGTGAAAAAGCTTGGCAAGTCCCGAGGAGAGTTCGCTCATCAGCAGCAGCAGCCCTGGCCTGCCACAATCCCTTCGACTCGGTCATCGTAAGTGTCGTGTCGAGGAAATAGGGTGAAAGTTGTATGAATCGAGTGCGAGGATGAGCACGAAAGAAAGAGAGAGAGAGAGGGAGCAAAAGTGAGAGAGAACGAATGGATAGAGAGGATGCTTGATGAACAGAGTGGATGAGCGAAAAAAAAGAACCCGATCAAGCCCAGTCTAACATCCAACGTTTGAAACACAATCGGGAAAACAATACAAGTTGCTGAACGCGAGCGAAACGTCGTGTGGTGATGCCTCGAGACATATATCCCGCGCGAAACGTATATTTCCTGGAGTGCGGTCGATTCGCAAGGCTAAACGTGTACAAAGTGACGGTCCTTCGAAGAGTGCTGGTGCGGATAACGAGGACGACGGCGATGGCGATAGCGGCACCGAGACGGCAGACTAGTATGGCGGATGATAATCGTGGAGTGTCGGTGGTGCCATCGCTGCTGCCGCAGCCAACATCGCCGCCGCCACCGCCACCGTCGCCGCCACCACCTCCACCTCTGTCGTCTTCGCTGCCGTCACCGTCATTGCTCGTGACAGTGGTTGCACTACGTGCCCGCCGTGCAGTGGTGTCCGGTGCGCACCGGGTACACATGTACGCTACGTACCTTTCGCCCTTTAGTGAGATCAATAAGCAGTGCCGTGGCCACTCGAGCCGTGCCCCCGCCGGGAAACACTCGTTTCGTGTCTAGTGCTCTTCGTCCCCCCATTCTGACCTCCCTCCCTCCCGCCTTAATGTCGTCTTGATTTCCGCTTCGATTGTACGAGACTCGACTTCGCCAACTGGACCTCGAGTATGGGATCCCAGGCCGTCCAAGTTGTCACTGAAGGCTGACACCCAAGTGAACCGGAGGTGGCCAGAATTTCGACGAGATCTCCCTCGATCACGGACGGGGCTTCTTCAGACTTCTCCACTTTCGGGCTCGACGAGACTGCCCCTTTCCTCTCGCTTATCTAAGCGTATCAGTCGCTATCTCGTCCGCCATCGAGCTGTTCCTCGATTCGCCTCACGTAGCACTTGTCGTCCGCATCGAATTATTGCCAGCCAGCCACTTGGTAGGATTTTTTCTAGCCATCTTCTTATCGCTATTTCTGTCTCTTTTTCTCTATCGCGCTCTGTTCCTTCTCATCTTGCAGCTTCGTCTTCTTTCATGCTCCTTGCACATTTCCGGCCGTTCATATCGCGACTTTGACTACTTCTCCAGTTGCTCCTCGTTGCAACGGGATTGACTTTATCCACTTTGTTTTGCTCGACTCGTGTCGTTACAAGTTCCATGAAAATTTGCGGTATCGATCTTCCGCGATGACTCTCGCTCTTCATGTCTAACCTAAGTATCTAGAAGTATCAAAGACCTCGTCTTCCTCGAAAGAAATCGTCTTGACTCTGAATGGTGCGGAATCGCCGCGATATGACTGATTCTTAAATGAAGTCTTATGAATGGAAGTCTTATGAGTTTGAAAAAAATGAACGTGTTTACTCGACACGAAAATATTTGACATCCTGATGCGTAAATAACAGTCAGGATGCTCTTCGAATTTCACTAATGAAAAATCAAATTTCTCCATATAAAATAGACTCCTCTTATTGGCAATCTATCGTTGTTCACGCAATTTCCATTATTTGAACTAATTCACGTAATTACGATGTTGGAGCCAACAGTTTAATCAATCGTCCACACCCGATGATCAGTTCGAGGTCTATCGGTAATCAGAAGGTCAACGAACCGAAGAAAGAGAATTCTGAGTCACATAGTAGAGCAGTACTGACCGCAAAATAACGACGATAAGAAAGTATTTATCTAAGCGAGAGCTATAAACCGCGTATAAACCGGCGGAATAAAATCGATAATTGAGGCTAATATAGAAGTCTGGCATCAACTTGCTATGCGTAAATGAAAGAATGGAAGCTACTTTGTCAGAAGACTTTACTTCTTCTCTCTTCACATTTCTTCTCTCCTCACATTTCTTCTCTCCTCACATTTCTTCTCTCCTCACATTTCTTCTCTCTTCAGATTTCTTCTCTCCTCATATTTCTTCTCTCCTCACATTTCTTCTCTCTTCATATTTCTTCTCTCTTCAGATTTCTTCTCTTCTCGTGATTGTAATCGTGATGACAAAATTATTCTAATTTCTACTTATTTTACTCGCATGCTGAAAGGCTCTCTTTACTATCTCATTCACACGGAACAGGGCATTAACTGATTCTTCAATCGTCGTTTGATTCATCGCATTTTAATGCTTTGTGTACATTGTTACATCAGCAACGCCTGATTGTTCGCCGACGCGTTCGTGAACTTGTGTGGCAGAAAAGCGGATAATTGCCCGATGGTCGCTTTCACTGTGTCTGTTAGAGTCTAGCAGAAAGAGAAACAAAGAGCGTGCGACGCCAATTAAATGTATCAAGGGACGGAAGTCATGCTCGTGCGAGAGCCTTGCTATTAAATCACATTAATAAAAAGGCGATGAAAGAAAAGAAAAACTAACCGAGATGTTTCAGCTCCCATTGTTGATTATACAGTACGAGCGTGGTTTTCTATCGCGCATTACACGCAATTACATTCATTATCATAATGAGTGCTCGAGTTGATCACATAGATTTCATGCTTCAACGTTTTTCATATTATTATTTTACATCTCTCATCGGAATACACTTCTCCTCCCTTTCGATACGATTTTGATTAAAAACATTTGCGTAAAATATTTTCACCGCTAGATGTATTTTCAGGAAGATATTTACCCTCTCGAGCACATTTTATTTTCCCTCCCCCGCGATTCAAAAATAGATTGCCGATGATAATTAAATATTGCAGCAAAAGTTTCGTTCAATCTTTGATATAGAAGGATAGGAAGAACACCGGCTACGGATCAATTGATCGGACAGGACAAAGTTAGATGCTCTTTTATCTCGATGCATGAACGTACGCAGGTGACCGGATCCGGGGATGCGAGGGTCGATGCGCGTAAATCGTTAACTGAAGCTTTGTGAGCTCGAGGCACGTGTCGCTTGTCGTGACGTTTAACGAGATTCTGCGGCGAACGCAGGGTGCATCGTGTGTACCAGTTGTATGTGTGTGTATATATATATACAGGGTGGCCCGAACGTTCCAGCCAGACTGAGATCTTATAGGAAATTTAATTCTGAAGATAAAATTTCCTATAAACATGAGTCGAAAAATGCTTCCTTAAGAAATTATTCAAAAACCTCTGATGAAGGAAGAGCAAAAGGTGAAAAGAAAATGAAATTAAATAAATTTCTTGAAAAAAAAAACGATAAAAATAAAAAATACAAATCTTTTTCTTTTATGAAAATAAAATAATTTTTTTTTAACTAATATTTTAGTAATAGTAGAAAATGAATAAAGACGTTTTTCAAGAAATTTATTTCATTTTCTGTTCAGTTTCATTTTCTTTTTATTTCATTTTCTTTTCACCTTTTGCTCTTCCTTCATCAGAGGTTTTTAAGCGATAACTTCTTGAGGAAGCATTTTTCGACCCATGTTTATCGGAAATTTTTTGTTCGGAATTAAATTTCCTTTAAGGTCTCGAAGTCTGGCTGGAACGTTCGGGGCCACCCTGTACATGTGTGTGCGTGGATCTCAATCGCGGCAACTTTTTCGCGTGAAAACCGCGTCGCGTGCGGCGCGTTAACACGAGCCACACATACATGTAATACTGACGATGGTGTACGGCTAGTGTAACACCAACTCCTGATAATAATAACCCGAATGCGGTTGTAGTTGAACTCGTGTTCTCCCCCCGGTGTGCATGCCTGTGTAAAGTACGTGTTCGCGGTCGGTCAGGCTCGTTGCGGCAACGAGAGCCGGCGACGAGCGATCGTCGACCACGTAAAGTCGCAAACTCGGATTTTCCACAGGCGGATTACAAACTCGACGCGAATACCTGTTGCCAATAATCGCGCGGACTTGAATTTTTCATCCGTCAACCAAGTCTGGCGACTCGATCCGTAGCATCTATAAAATACTCGAGTCCTGCCCTTTATCCTGGATGGAGAACCTGATCGACCTGAAGCTTCTCTCGCCTATTATAAATATATGAGATCTCTAAAGATGTAATAAACATGTATTTTTTAATTTTCTTTTTTTTCGCCCTAGATGAGAAAACTGTCGAGGAGAGATTTGATTCGGAAGGCATCGCGTGAAAGCAACTAAATAATGGGCCAGAGATCGATGAAATCTGATTCGCGCTATTTTCGGCCACGACACACATCTTTCATTCCATCGACAGAGAATTATCGTTAATGAATATATCCTATTAATAATAATTTGCGTTGGACTTTTGTCTCGATTCAAGTCCCAAGAGTTTGAGAGTGAAACGTAGCGTAATTAGCCGCACTCTTTAACAAGAAACAATTTGCATACGTGCGTTTTCTCGTAGGATGATCCCATATCTAACTACGAATCGGCCGACTCGATGCGAAAGATCGCTGGTACCCCTTAAACGCGAGGCTCCCCCCCCGTTACCGAGAGCCACGGGAACAACTTCCGGCTCGCTCCTCGCCGAGAGAAATAGGAATCCCCTTTCGCACTACGCTAGAGTCGCACTGTTAAACCTGTGTGTGGGACCGTGTGTGTCGTACGGTGTGCGCAAAGGCGGGCCGCCCAATTAATTAAGATAGCTCCTAGACACACACGCTAGATCGATAGGGACCGGCCGCGATAAAGACTGGCGAGGGTCTCAGACTTCAGGGATGTTGCAGTGCTGTGGTGTTGGAGGTGGCGCTTCCACGGCACCTCACGCTCCGCAGCTGCAGGGTATCGGATCCGCTGTCGGAGCTACCACCTCCACGAGAACCACCATCATGCAGGACGCAGTTCTCGAATCCATCCTGGAGGTGAGTTCCTCTTCTTCCTCTTGCTCTTTCTTCCTTCTCATCTCGTCGTATTGGTGTAATGTTGCATCATCGTGATGGATATAAAAAAGTTTGCAAATGAGTACTTTTTTGGTATCTATTTGAAAAATTATTATAGCTACTTGTTGTTAGCAGTTGTTTAATTTGCAATTAATTATGGCTAATTGAAGATAACTTTTTCTGTTTTAGTGAATTGATGTCTGCATGTTGTTTGTTTTTAAAACTAAGGAAATGTGAATCCCTAGTCCTAGATTCTCTCGTCGAACAGGATCAGCGAGATATTATTTGATATTTTATTATTATTTATATTTATTATTATTATTATATTTATTATTATTATTATTATTATATATCTTCTTAAAATTCTTCTTTTTATTAAAATGCTCTTTTAAGTTGAATTATAATAATATTTTATATCCTCTCGTGGAATAGGATCAGCGAGATATTATTTGATATTTTATTATTATTTATATTATTATTTATTTTATTATTATTTATTATTATTATTATTATATATCTTCTTAAAATTCTTCTTACATATCTTTTTAAAATTCTTCTTTTTATTAAAATGCTCTTTTAAGTTGAATTATAATAATATTTTATGTTCTCTCGTGGAACAGGATCAGCGAGATATTATTTGATATTTTATTATTATTTATATTTATTATTATTATTATTATTATATATCTTCTTAAAATTCTTCTTACATATCTTCTTAAAATTCTTCTTTTTATTAAAATGCTCTTTCAAGTTGAATTATAATAATATTTTATGTTCTCTCGTGAAACAGGATCAGCGAGATATTATTTGATTTTACTATTATTTATATTTATTATTATTGTTATTATATTATTATATATCTTCTTAGAATTCTTCTTACATATCTTCTTAAAATTCTTCTTTTTATTAAAATGCTCTTTTAAAATGAATTATAATAATATTTTATATTAATATTTTATAAAATTGAATTTAATTAAAATAAAATTAATTAAATTAAATTTTATAATTTTTTACTGTAACTTGTGTGTAATACTCTCATTGTAATATGTTTTTAATTTTCAACATGGAGGCAGATTCATTTCGGTGATATGCGTGATCCCGAATATTATTTCGCGGTCAACAAAAATCAGAGATCTTTAGCGACGATATTAAAACGAAATCGCGATTGCGAAACGCGTGCGTGCGTTTGTCGCGTACGAAAAGTCCTTGAAATTAAAGCTGATTACGTGGAAAGGTAATATGCATGTAATCAATACACACATACACGCGGAAAAGTTATGTATAAACCATCGACAATGAACTGCGGTTCGTGAAAAGCTCTCTTTCACTCTCGCCGCCAGATACTCGATAAAGCTCGCATAATACGATGAAAAACAAAAGTTTTCATTAATACGTTCCGGTCGCGATTGCTCCTTCCCCGAGAGGCCTTAATTCGTGAAATAAAACCGCTTCAACTCCAGCGATTTAGTGATTTATGTCTTCTGCTCCTAAGGACTTCGAAAATTAATACTGACTCGCAACAGACAAGTTCTCTACCGCAATCTAGATAATTGAAGCAATTAATTTCCGCGAAGTGGTAAGCAATTTTGCGGATATTACATTTTTACGAGACGTCGCGGAATAATAATTACCGATTAATTGGAAAAAAAAGAGGTATCAAAGAAGAGGCGCGCGCGTTGAAATGAATCGGTCGGCATTATCCTTTTATTTTCCGATGATATTCTCTCGCGAAAGATTTCTCGCTAGATTATACACACAGCGAGATCGGTTACGCTTCGGGCAATCGCGGCACAAAAGCTCCTCTTTCATTACAAATGTGACATTCCAGTCGCGAATTACTAACTAGACTTCCCTCCAAGTTATTAAAAGCAGCAAAAATCGAAGCCAGCCTTCTTTTTTTTTTTTGCATCTGTCATTTCCATTCGGAAACATTGTCGCGGATAATAATATAAAATTTTATCAATATCTACTTATATTTTATATCTTGCATTATTATGATTCTTCTTCTTTTTCTTCTCTTCTTCCTCTTATTATTATTTTTATATATCTCCTCTCAACATCTTATTAAAATTACTTTCTTCAATTAAATTATAATTATATTAACATATAAAATAATATTATACATAAAATTTTATTAACTAATAATAATAATAATAATAATAATTTAGCTAATAATAAATTTTATTAAATATAAAATTTATGAATGATATTTTATTAAATATAAAATAAAAACCTATGATATTTTATTAAATTAAAAATTCATCTTGCTACATATGTGATTGTAAAAGTAATAAATCGTTTGTATAAATAGCTTCATTAATCGAAGGCTCATGTTTATGTTTAATAAACCTATACATGTTGCTGAGTACATGTCAATCACGCGCTGGAGAGGATGCTGCATCTCTTGTACCGAATGTTGACGGATACCATTTACGCGACGAGCCTAATTATACGATCGATTCGTTTTAGCAAATGCGGGAGACGGAAGCCCGACGAGCGGAGCTGGAGAGGCAGCATGCGGACGCACAGAACCAGTTGCGGGAGAAGATAGCAGGACGCTATCAGGGCCCGGAGTCGGTCGAGGCGTTGCAGTCGAAGATCCGGGAACTTGAGAAGAAGACGGAGCTGCAGATGGTGAAGCACGAGGAGCTGTCGTTGGAGCTCACCAGCCTGAGACGTGCGCGCAGCAGAGGACCGATCGTGGGGCACGTCACATCCTCCAGCGTCCCGACGTCCACTTGGCCGCCGGCCGGCTCCGAGATAGATAGAATCATCGCCAAGATTGAGCAGGACAATAGGTATTGGTAAAGTTTCTTTTCAATATGTCTTTGCGACTTTGTTCTTCTTGAACACCCTGTATGTATGTGCATAAAGATGCGAATGATTAATTGAAATCAATTCAGCAGCGGTAGGATGTTACACGACCTGGATCACGCGCGGGGCGCGATAACCACTCAGCAACCCTCGGCCACGCAAGGCATCCTCCGGTCCAGCTCGGAGAACCTTCCCAACCTCGGCCAGCATCAACACCCACCTCATCCGCACGCCCTCAACCTCGGAATGCCTACTCAGATGGGCCACGTATGTAGTCGTAATCATCCTTGTCACTCTACTTCGTTGATTTGGAAAGCATTCTTGTTCTTGCTTTTTATATTAAATAATAATCCTAAGAAAGAGATGTTTGCTAGTCGTTGATAAGACTTGTTTGAACACAGTACGCAGGCTCACCAATGCCATTAACGCCGATGATGCCTGGCTGTCCTCCACTGACGCCAAACGGGCCACCGTATCACTACAGCGAACCGATACCACCGGCGCCGTCACTCTCCAGTAGCCAGTCGCAGCCTGCTTTCCAACAGAAAATCCAACAATATCAGCAACAGCCGCAACAGCACGATTTATCGAGTTCCCATTCCCAAGGTGCTCTGCCGTCGCAACAGAAACAACAGCAACAAACGCACACTTCTCACTTTACAAGCAATCAGTATCAGGAGAGTTATCCACATACGCAAACGTATCAGCAACCACTTCAGCAGCAGCAGCCGCAACAACAACAACAACAACATCCGGCCTCGACCACGTACCTGACATCGGCCAGCCAGAGCGTGATTCCTCACTATACACAGCCTGCCCAAACCGCCCAGAATTATCAATTGAATGGCAGTCAACAGGTGTGTCGTCAATTATTCAATCGCGATTACTTTCTTATAAGCAGATAAATTAACAATAAGTAACGGATTCTTGAATGTCTATAGAGGCCTTCAGATAAAATTATTGTGTCGTTTCCGATGTACTTGAAAAAAGTATCTGCCTAAAATAGACTTTGGGTAGAGCAGTTACAGATTAATATTGGTCATTGACCTCTTGTCATATTTTTCTATATTAGATTCTATATCTAATTTTATCATATATATACATACCTTCAAAAAAAATTAACAAGATTATAAAACCTACTAAGATATAATTATTTTGTATCGCATACAGGCAACGACATATCCTAACTTATCCATGGCATCGCATCCGAACGGGACTTACAGCACGGGCGCATCTAGCTTCAATACGCAATTGCCTCATCACAATTACAGTGTGCCGCAGACGAATATCACGCAGACCACGTTACCCTCGATGTATTCCACCACGTCCTATCATTCCACTCTTGGAGGTCTCACGAGCGTACCCCAATCTGTTCTTCCTTTCTCCACTGGTCAAAGCACTTTTGCCACGAGTGGATCGACTTATTCCACTACCGTCGGGACCAACGCTTTTGGGACGTCGGGCGTAAGCTCAGGTCAGGATTGCACAAACACATATTATTGAAAGATTTAATATAAAATTACTTAATTTTTTTAAGAGCAAAAAAATAATTTAAATTGTTTAATTTAATTTAATTAGTTAATTTAATTTTTCTCGTCTAGAGAAAAGAATATTTTGTTAAATACACAGCGATCTAATTTTTAAAGTAAATTGATTCTGTTAATTTTTTTGTGCAGGTACTAGTTCGGGAGGCTTATTACAAGCAATAGGCGATCCTCTGCAAGCGATGCAACAACTCTCCGCCCAATCGCAGGCCAATCAGCTTCAGCAGCAGGCAATCATCCATCAGATCCAACAAAGCTTGCGAGCCAGTTCGCCGACCGCGCCCGGTACCGGGACCGGCCATCACTTTCTGGGTCCCAGGCAAATGCCGAAGATCCCCACGAGTATACTGACGAATCCCCTAGATCGATTGACTAACACCGAAGACATTATATCCGAAGGTCAAGTGGATATGCTGGATGTGCCCGGCAAGGGCAGATGTTATGTTTACATAGCTCGTTTCAGTTACGAACCATTCCAACACTCGCCAAACGCGAATCCGGAAGCGGAACTGCCAGTTCAAGGTGGTGATTATCTCCTAGTTTGGAGCCAGCCAGATGACGATGGTTTCTTGGACGCGGAGACGCTCGATGGTAGACGCGGTCTAGTGCCGGCTAATTTTGTGCAGAAACTGGTCGGGGATGATCTATTGGAGTTTCATCAAGCTGTCCTCGGTCTCAGGGACGTGGACGACTCTGCCTCGACGAATATTCCTCAAGTGAGCAATATGAAAGCTAACGAGGTACCTAGTAAGATGATGCATTTTTAATCCTTGCGACAAACAATATTATGACAATGTCAATATACGTATAATAATTAATGAGAATGTTATTAAAATCTCATTGAAATGTTAATCGGAGTGTAATAATGATTTTAATTTTGTCTATTTTAGTGCTATCTATTGCAAGATATTGATCTAGAATTAGCCGCGTTGGAAGAAGGTAATCGGAATCGTCAAACAGAACTGTCAGCGTACGCGGAACTTGATAATATCGCGGAGGAAGATGAACAAGAACCACCAGGTTAGTACACTTTTTAAGCTTGCTGTGATGATCTGCGAGGCATTGCATGATGCATGTTGTTGATCTCAAACGAAACAATATTTTTATCTCTAGATATCATAAATATTGGAGATAAAAATTTCTACATTCGCTATCCAATAAATGTCTAAATATATTTACTACTTGGATCAATCGATAACTTTAGAAAAGCTGGCAATTAGGTCCGTTTTCAGTGATGTAGTTGAAAGTTTTTTCTGACTATTGTTTCAAAATAATGCGATATATGACTATGATTATAGAAATTATTTATAAAAAGAAGTTGCTTTCATGATTTGTCCATCCTGCTTAATGTATCATGTGTAGTCTATACATGTCTAATGTAATATCTATGAATATTTTCAATACCTCAGAAACGCAATATACTAAATTACGTCCATAAGTGCTTCTCTCTTTCCTTTGTTGCTGGAAACATGAAAACTGCGCATGTCAAACAGTAAATGTCCATGCTTCAATAACGAACCGATTTTCATGAAGTGAATAATGGAGAACGCAAAGAACTGAATCGCGTTGCACTGTGTTGGCTGGACTTAGGTTGGCTTAGAGAGATAGATAATAGTCAGAGATCCTTAGCTACAGCTAGGCTTTGTCTTTGTCTTTTCTTCCTGAAGAAGTCTACATGTTTTCGGACCTAGTTCCGGCGCCGCAGCATCTCACGCTCGAACGGCAGCTCAACAAAAGCGTGCTGATCGGATGGACCGCGCCTGAAAACACGCACCAACTCGAGTCCTACCATGTCTACGTGGACGGGGTGCTGAAGGTCACGGTGAAGGCCACTGAGAGGACCAGGGCCTTGGTGGAGGGAGTCGATTCCACTCGGGTTCGTATGAAATCTTTTATTAAAACTTCATGAAAGAGACTAAACTGTTTTAAATTGATAAAACTGAGATTTCAGAGATGTAATAGATGATGAATTACCTTGTACAAAAGTAATAAGTCTTGAACATTTTTCTGCTTTATACTTTAATCCAATTGAACCGTGTTAAAGACGTATTCTTCTGTTGATGCAGCCGCACAGAATAAGCGTGCGTTCGGTCACGCATTCGAGAAGAACGTCGCGTGACGCTGCTTGCACGATGGTGATCGGTAAGGATGTCGCGCTAGGTCCGACCGCCGTCAAGGCTTCGGCTGTCACAGCCACCAGCGCTGTAATATCCTGGCTACCCAGCAACAGTAATCATCAACACGTCGTATGCGTAAACAATGTGGAAGTGAGAACCGTGAAGCCGGGCGTTTACAGGCACACCATCACCGGCCTAGCCCCGTCGACGATATATAGGGTGACCGTCAAGGCGAAGAACCTGCGGGCGACGCACTTCGAGGACCAAAACGCCCAGGCGGCAAACAATCTAGCCTGCCATGTCCACTTTAAGACGTTGCCCAAAGGATTGCCGGACCCTCCGGTCGATATCCAGGTTAATAAAATTTTACATGTACATTTAAATCTTGTAATTGTAGAATTTTCTCAAAAATTACAATTCCCCGGAGCCTAATTTGAATTTTTTTTAAGGTTTTCATGTAATATCATTTTCAAGGAGAAGATCCCTAACGAACATGGTACGACATTACGCGATTTTCAGGTGGAGGCTGGACCGCAGGACGGCACTTTGCTAGTGACCTGGCAGCCTGTTGCCCTAAACGGTTCGGCCGTCACCGGTTACGCGGTGTACGCCGATGGTAAGAAGGTCACCGATGTCGACAGCCCCACCGGCGATCACGCGCTCGTCGATATACACAAGCTCATGGGTCTCAACCCCAAGCACATTACCGTCAGGACTAAGAGCAGGGAGAGTCAATCGGGCGACAGTTGCGCGACGGCGATACCTTGCAGCGTACTTCGCGGAGGTGCTCCAGGTCATATGCCGTCTCATGGTGGACCTCAGCATATGGATCAGCGACAGCAACAATCTACTGGCATGGTCTCCCAACAGGATGATCCCACTCGTCATCGCATGACTGGTCAGCGATACCCAAACGCACCGATGCCCTCGCACATGCGACGACACGTGGGCAACAGGGTGGACGCCCACGGTCAGGTTATCATCGAGACGGACGAGAATCTTTCCGACAAAGAGATCTATCCCGGACAAAGTATTCCTCAAATGGGTAAATATAGAGAAACACGAAAAAGCAGGGGAATCTGGGTCGAGTGATGGGTGATTTCGGCAAAACTCAAACTCCCCTGACCTATGTAAGTTGTGTTTTATCTAATCGCGATCCGTCTTCTTCAGGTATTCCAGAGATCACGAAGGATTCCGCGAGCGAGGCAAATTATAGCGAAGAGGACGACCCCACGCGAAGATCACGAGGAATGCCGCCGCAGCATCACGGCCCGCATCATCGTTACGGTCCTCAAATGGACTCACAGGGTCCACCTGGCACGCATAGGTCTCCCAACATGGGTGGTCCCAGTGGTAGACCTCAAGATCCTTATTATGATCAAACGGGTAGATACGCAGTCATTACATTTCCTACAATAAAATCTGGTTTCTCATTTAATTTTATTTTTGTTTTAATTATTTGGAAAAATTTTTATTTAAGTTAATAAAATTATTTAAAATTTTTTATCATACGATGCCATCAAATTTGCTTTTGTGAAATTTTATTAGCTCAGTTTGTTGTTGTGATTTCTTTTTTAATTGCTTAGTACATGCATGTATAATTGTTCAATATTTTAAGTATATAAAGCGGCTCGTCGAGAATTACATATTTTAATAATTTTTTCTTTGTATATTACTCAGGATCTCAGAGAGGAAGAGGTCCGGTTTATCGTGGTGGACGCGTAACGCAAGCTCAAGGTGGAGCGAGCCATCCAACAAGTGCAGCTCAGCAGATGAACAAGAGGCAGCGATTGTTCGTGGCGCTGTTCGATTATGATCCTACAACAATGTCACCAAATCCAGACGCGTGCGAAGAGGAATTACCATTTTCCGAAGGCGATACCATCAAGGTTTTATCTTCTCTCATACTGTTCTCGTTTAATATTTATGAAAATATTAAAATTTTTAATTAAAATTAATTTCTTACATAAAAATTATATATTACCTTTCTAAAGTTTTTCATAAAATAAAAAGTTATCATTCGATTATATATATATATATATATATATATATATATATATATATGTACACAGAAAAAAAATAAGTGTCAAATCAAAACTTATATACTTAAACTAACGCGTTCATTGTTTCATATATACGCAACAATTTATAATTCTTCTTACAAGAATTTAATAATTTTAAATTTCAACAATATTATAGTCTTATTTTAATATTGTAATTGTCACCTCAAAAATATATAATTATTTGATTCTACTTTAAGAAAATTATAATCTTTGATTTAAAAATGTTATTTTCTATTTAACATTGTTTCTTTTCTATTCAAGAAAATTAAATCTTAAATCATAAGAATATATTTTTCTTGATTGAACTATATAAAATTATTTCATTCAAGTAAACAATTATTCAAGCAATTATATTTTTCTTTAATTAACGCAATATAATCTCATTTCAAGATTTTCATATTAAAATTAAATATATTTTCAAAAGAAGAATGTCCTTTTTTTCTGTGTATCTAATGATATTGAATTTTAGAAAATATGATAATTTTCTCTTCTTTTTTCTGTGTATCTAATGACATTGAATTTTCTAAAATGTGATCATTTCCTCTTCTTATGTGTATATAAAAGAAATCTATATAACATCTTATGCTCTATATAGGTGTACGGCGAAAAAGATGCCGATGGTTTTTACTGGGGCGAGTGTCGTGGTAGACGAGGATACGTTCCTTATAACATGGTAGAGGAGCTTAAAGAGCCGCCAGGTCAAGGTCAGCCTAGTAGGAGAGGGCCTACACAAAGCGAGAGATGGGGAGACATTTATGCGAGTATGCCCGTGAAAAAGATGATAGCCCTCTATGATTACGATCCTCACGAACTATCTCCCAACGTTGATGCTGTAAGATTTTTACCTCGTAATACTTTGAATTTTTTTAAATTCTCAGCCAAAAAATCTCACTTAAATACACTCTTAAGAATCTGTCGACTGTCTTGTATTGATGATTACAATATACGCATATTTATTATGTGGTATTAATCGTCTTATTAATTTTGCAGCAAGTGGAATTAACGTTCCAAACCGGAAACGAGATCTACGTTTACGGCGACATGGATGACGACGGCTTTTACATGGGCGAGCTGAACGGCGTTCGCGGTTTAGTGCCGAGTAACTTCCTCACCGAGGCACCAGGACAGAATCAGGGACAACCGCCTCTCGGTAGACGACCTGGTGGCCAGAGTCAGGGACCGGGCGCGAGAGGACCGCCGCCGCCTCCTCGGGAACCACCCCCGGCTGGTCATCGACGTGGCAAAGGTAAACAACACCAGTCGTCGTATTGATTCTTCCTTACAGTGCCAGACCGGGGCATGGATCCAGCTCCTCAAGCCAAACGACGTCGAGATCAATATTGTGTTTTGCACGGAGAAAAAGAGATTGTTTGGACAGCAGCGTATTTTATGTCGTTGTAGCAAATTCTTAATAGAAATTTCGGAAATATCCAAAATTTATTATTTACTAATATTATTATTAAATATTTTTGATAATAGCATCAAATATAACAACTTTTTATTTTATTTCGCTATTTTCTTGAAATTTCTTGATCAGCAAAATATCGCCAATCTAGATTCTTATTAAAAAGTCTCTATGATTCATGAATGTATTTCTCTTCTCATTGATTGGCGAATACGTTCAAAAATATTACAGATATTATTTTAAATCCTCGATATTTTTATTCGAAAATAATATTAAAAATATTTAAGGATGTTTTGTATGTACAATCCCAGCAAAAAGTAGCTGAAAATCAATATTGACGAATATCCACTTTTGGTGTATTTTGAGTATGAGAAATTGTGTGGAATATTACAATTTGATCTTAGTGCAGAGATGTATTTTTTAATATTTATTGCGTTTTTACTGAAATATTCCGAATTTTGTTAATCGAAATGATGAACTTTTGGCAGAGAATTTCGCCTTGTGACAGATACATGGCTAACTTTATTAAATTATATTTAATATCTTCTTAACCAGTTAGTACTTGTATAATATTATTTGACCAAATATTTCATCTGTATCTAAACTTTTGCAAATTTTAAACAAATTCTGAATATTATTTCCATGTGTTTTTGGCATTTGAATCGACGTTATACATTTCCCATAAGAACACATGTTAATTCGGTGCAAATTAAAATCCTTATAACTTGTGAATGCTTTAGTGAATCGATTTAAAAATTGTACTGAAGATTCTAAACATATACAAGATGTCCCAGTTATCTTCCATCGTCTTTCAAAGACAGATTCCTGGGAGCATCTGAAGACGATTTTTCCTCAACGGAAATGTCGAGGCACTAATAATTTTTCTAATTATAAGTTTTATTATAGGAAATAAGAAGTTTTTCGTAAACTAAGTTTTGTGGAAATAAAATATTAACAAAACCACATTCTTTGATTAATTTTAAATAGAGTTTACTTTAATTGAGTTTTAATTTAAGACTTAATTGCAAAGATATATAATGATAAAAATCGGGAACATGCAAAAAATGGTGGCCTTCATTGACATTTTCGCTGAAGAAAAATCGTCTTGAAATGATCCCAGGAATCTGTCTTTGAAAGATAACTGGTAACACCCTGTAATAAGGACATTCTGTACAATTTTCATTAAATTCCCAATATTTTGAAAATAGATACAAAACATCCTTAAATTTGCTTTAGCAGAAAAGAATGAGAATTTACTCGACAAGATTTTTTTTTTATTTTACAGATTTTACAATAATGAATGGAATAAACGATTACAATAGCAACAAAAATTCTTTTCCTCCGTGTGCACCTCGATATCGTTTCGACGTCTCCAATCACCGATATGTGCCTTGATGTAGCATTTGCAGCGCAGTATAAGAGCCAAATTTTTAGAAACTAGAAGCGATTGGTTCCTGCTGTAAGCTAGAAATTGTTGGACGCGGTTCGAGGCAACGGGACGTTGGAAACTGGCTCGAGGAGTTGTTGACGTGTGTCTTTCTACACCGACGCGACGCGCCGATATTTCGTAGATCTACGATCGAATCGAAAATGCAATCGCGTTGCGTACAATTCAGTCGAAGCGATAGCGTCGCGTCGGTGTGTAAAAAAAAAAAAAAAGAAAGAACGGAAACGCAAACGGCAAGCAACACAAGACACGAAACCAGATGTGCCAGACGACATGCAGAAGGATCATACTGATATTATTATCGTTGCGCGCTAATCTGGCGAGTCTCCGGGTGATCTTCTATATGCAAATCGAGCCGAATGAGCATGCGGCGTATAATTAGACGAAATCATCATTTTCGAGTCAAGTGTAAATAATTGTAATTGTGCGAATTTGACGAATTGCGCGACACGTCCCTCAATCACACGCACCTTAATCAGAGGGACTCGTTGTTTCGCTTCAAATGTGTACACGCAGGTGAAACGCACTTAAAATATCGTCGATAAATCTGCTCTCTTGCGAAGGCATTTAACGATGTTTATATATATATATATATATATATATATATATATATATATATATATATATATACGAAATTGTCAATGTTACATCGATAGAAATTTTTTCTGTGTCACATGTACATAAGAGAATTGGTGAACGAGGAAAACACGTGCTGTCATACACACGACGATATACATATATATATATATTATAAATTTTATATAGATATATATATATATATATATATATATATGCAATAAAACACCAAGCTGCTTTCAGTGTCTTCTATTAAGTATATATCTAATATACATATATATACATATACGTATATTTTTAAATATATATTTTTTTTTTCTCTCCGGGCACTATCTGCCTCTGTTACTACTATTCTACGTATATCTGTCCTATTCTCTCTGTCTATATTATATACATACGTATTATATATTTACACTATATATATAATTATCGACTGATTATATACACACACGATCATGTTGCTGTGATATATAACAGTTTACTTTATATACCGACATGATCTGTTTCTGTGTGCCTGAACTGATCGATGGTCGTCGTGTCACATGATTGTCGTTCGTGTCGTGTTGTCATGCTGGCCATTTACGATTACGTTGATTTTTTCCGTTTGATTTTATTCATGGATCGACCCATAAGTAAGATTACGCTCGTAAATTTCCTTCCAAGATGCGCAAATATTCGAATGATCTTACTCGATCAGCTAGTCGTCGCGCGATCTCTCTTAGAATCTCTGAAAAATATATACCCCGGCATGCTCGATCGACTCGAAGGAAAAGAGAAAACGAAAAGTAAGAGATAAATGCGCCATAAATGACAACACGGTTCTGTTCTCTTCTCTGTTGCTAGATGCCTGCATTGTGCCTGTGTCTGTCCCTGTCTGTCACTTAGACTCTAGACAACTACAACAACAACCACCACCATCACTAATGAACAACCAACAACATCAACTACAACATCAAAACAATCCACCGCATCTAGCCTACCAACAAGCGAATCACCACAGCTACACGACCGTAACCACGTCCAATCAGCATGGGCCCAGTCACTTGCCACCCGGCGGCGGTGTCATGGGTGCCCATCAGCAAGGTCCCGTACCGCCCCACCTTCAGCAACAGGTGAGCCCGCTCCTCTTCCGAGAATTTCTTCGCGCGCTTACTTTCTCTATCTTTCTCTCTTTCTCATGTGCTTTTCTCGTCAGATTCGTGTGCTTTTGTGCGCTTCTTCAGGTACACCGAGGTTTTTCACGATCGACGATGATTGTCCGTGATCGACAAGTTGTTGTTCTTAAGAGCTGTCAGTCTCCTTTTTAAAGGAGTGGAGATATTGAAATTTGAATTTTTATCACCAAGTCTGAGGGAAATTGTATATTTTCTCATTGTAATTATTACGTTGTTAGTTTAGAAAAAAGTAATTTTTTTTAAATTCTTCATATTTTATTTTGACTAAGGTAAAATATGGATATCGAATTTTAATTGTAGAAAGTAGGAGAAATTTATAGGAATCTTATATATTTTTGTACATTTGTATTGTTTCGTCGCTTTCTGTGCTTTATTGTCGGCTCTAACTCGCGATTCTAACTATTTTTGCTGAATGATATTTAATTCTTTCGCATGAACGCAAGATAAATATATATATTGCAGAATGAATATATACGGAATATAAGGTATTAATTGCCTCAGATAATTATTAATTTTTTTTAGAATATCAATTTCTTTCAAATGTAACGTAGGCTGAAAAGAAAATAGACAGTTTTTTCATCAGAAAAAAATTTTTCATCAGAAAAATCTGACTGCTATTCGGTCCAACATTTTTGCATTTTGCTTAGTCGTATGTGCCTTTTTGTAATTTCGTAAGTGTAAATCGCGCTTTATATCACACAGCATGTTGTACTATCGTCTTACTTGGCCTCTTGTAATATTAAAGTCGTCGCAAACTGTGAAAATGTACTTTTTGCTTCGATAGACCGCTATAGCGTGAATGTCCCACACTGATACATATTCTACAAAATTTGTGACGAATCGAAAGTATGACACAAACATCTTTATATTTCAGTTTATTTCTCTATCTTTACTTTATCTTCTTTAGACTATATATGCCTCGTCTATCAACAACTCTCGTTATTTTCGTCGTCAACTTATTTTAAACTACGACAACTATAGAACAAGGATCATTGCATCTCTTTTTCGAATTGCCGATAATTTAGATTTTCGTTAGCGAATCGTAGAAAAGATAGAAAATCCTTAAAGTGATAGAAAAGCCTTCTCTCGCGAACAAGTGACACTAGCGGAGATAATCGGTAGAACGCGATAGAATTAAGCAGAAAATAGAGAGTAGAGAGTCTTTAGAAAAAAAAAAGATAGACATGGTTTACAGGATTAATGTTCTAGCGATTGGACGAATTCTCAGCAAAGAGGCAGGGGGAAAAAAACCAAAAAAATTTCATATCCAAGGAAGAACGAGTCATTTATCCACATTTCTTTGTTCTTAGGGGAAGGGGAGGGGCGGCGTGGTCAATCGAGTCGCTGGTAGTAACATGCCGGGTATGCAGGGCCAACACCTTCAACAGCAACAGCAGGACTATCAGGGCCAGCCGAATCAGCCGTATCAGCAGCAGCAGCCGAATCAACCGTATCAGCAGCAACAACCGAATCTAGGATACCAACAGCAACCTCAGCAACAATTCCAACAGCCGCAGCAACAGCAGCAGCAGCAACCGGGCCAGCCGTTCGCGCAGCAGAATCAACAGGGTGGACCCGGAATGCAACCCCCTCAGAGCACCAGCAAGCCCATGAGAGGAATACCGGCGGTGCTGCCGACGGCGCAATCCAAGACCCAACCTAATACGCAGCAGAATCAGCAGCAACAACAGCCGCAACAGCAGAGCACCGGACCGAACCTGATGCAGAAGTTCACCGAGATGGCAGGCGCGAGCGCTGGCGGTGATATACTATCCAAGGGCAAAGAGCTGATCTTTATGAAGTTTGGATTGGGCAAGTGAGAAGGAGTGATCGTTGACGGCGCGACGATGATAATAATAATAATGATGATGATGATGATGATGATAACGACGCGTTATCGCGGTTGTTTTCGTTTCTTCCTTTTTGCGCTCGACGTTCACGTTTGACGCATGCGCAAGTTGTCGATTTCGCGACAAGTTGTGTAAAAAAAAAATCAGTATTATGACAAAACGTTATTTCACGGTGGAGGGAATACGTAATAACGAGTAGTCTCGCCGGACGTGTTATTATTGCCGAAGACAAGGTGGAGAATAAAAAGGCGAAGAATCTGCGCCGCCATCGCTGCTGCTGCTGTTGCTGCTGCTGCTGTTGTTACCCGCTATTAATAACCGTTAATTGTGTTGTAAAAAAAAAAAGATGGAATGAAATCGTCGCTGGACAGATATAATCGAGAACGAACCTCGGATGGGAGAAAGGACGTTCGGTGGAAACCGCTCGGGATTGAAAGGTCCACGCCGAGAATCGACACTTGACGATTCCATCGATCGAGAGGAGAGCAAAAGGGATGCGTATGAGATTCATCGAACTTCTTCTTAATTCTCCTTCTCCGAAATCTTCTTCTTCTTCTTCTTCGCGAGACGGTAGGATCCTCGATCGGTGTGTTGCATGGTCTATTAAAAAAAAAAAAAAAAAAAATACTTGCCGATTGTTCGCCCGCCAAGTATGTCTTAATATAAATGAGATAATCAATGCCAGAAACATGGAATTCAACTATCAGCGTCGTGTCTTATAAATCGCGTATCCGCGCGACTGTTTCTTCCAATCTCTCTTCGTCCTCTTCGAACCTCATGTTACTCGGAACCGCCGTTCGGTTGTCGAAGCAAATAAACCTTCGTCGCGATTGTATCGAATTCGAGAAGAGGAAAACGCACGTTAAAAAAAAAAAAAAAAAAAAAGAAACGAGCGGAAGCGAATGCGCAGCGAGAGCGTAGACCGGAGAAGTCGAAGGAGGCCGGATTTTTCGTGGACAGAAGAGAGAGGTGGAGGCCGACCTAGAGAGGGATAACCATATCGTCGTATAGGAGTGAGGACGCGACAACAACATGGGTGTGCCTTTGGAGAACCGTCTCACCCAGCAGCAACCAATAATCATATCTTTAATCGATAATTCTCTAGCTATTTTTTCCTTCCCTCGTGGAAATCGAGCGCTATATCGAGAGCCATGGCGGCGCATACACAAATAAACGATGACGATCTCTCGTCTTGACAATTTTCTCTTGTTCCCATGTGTGTGTGTACATGTGTGTGAGACTGGAAAAGCTCCTCTCCCCCTCTTCGCGTATCTCGTACGCAACCACCTCCCTGTATCCTCCTCCCCCGCTTCTAGCATCCCCTTGGATGGACCCGCGCGCGTAGAATCGTCACAACTGGACCGCAAGAGAGAGAGAGAGAGAGAGAGAGAGAGAGAGAGAGAGAGAGAGAGAGAGAGACAGAGAGAGGAATGTCGGGCCTCCACATTCTTGGATGAATCTCAAGGTTTGGGATGGCTTGTTCGATTGAGAGAATCGAGCGAATCGATTCGAGGACGACGCGTTGAAGGGTTGAACGACGATGGGGCCGCTTATCGTCCTAAATCGGCGCACAAAAATCCAGAGCGAAACCGAACAACGGCGGACACCAATGAAACGCAGACGTAAAACACTACTTGATCGTTCGATCGGGATCGAACGTTAACTATATATCATAATTGAGTGTATGTGTGCGTGCGTGTGTGAGAGAGAGAGAGAGAGAGAGAGAGAGAGAGAGAGAAAGAGAGAGAGATAGAGACAGACGAGGTGGAAACGGGAGATCATAACGCGTATTAAGTAACGGGATATACATATGCATATACAGATATACATATATATATATACATACACATATATACATATATTATATTTAACTATTGCAAAGTGTTGTTACATCGCTACTTGTATCGTATTTTGTACAGAGTATCTTTACCTTGGATTGTTTTCCTTTCGCCAAGATATATCTTTAACGAGGAAATAATAATTATATAGGCGGAGAAAGAGCGACGAATCTTTTCCGGTTCCACTGTCGAGTCATTCATCATCATCATCATCACATAAAAAGTCATCGTCGCGCCATCAACGCGATCTTGTATTTAATTGTCACTCCTCGCGCCTATCCTTGTACTCGCTTTCTTGTATGTTTTCTTTTTTTTTTCGGCGACATTGACATAAGACAAACATATATATACATACATATATATATATAGCGAGAAATTTTTAGGAAAAAGAAGCACTGCGTAGAGGGAGATGATCATTTTCGTGTCGCAATTTAATCCTTTCACTTAGGACGCATCAGCTGTAATGATTTTTTTTAAGAGAAGAGAGGGAAGGAAAATATAATCTCGTAATAATGTTACAACTTTAAAGTTTGAGAATGTTAAACATTCGAAGGCGGGATTGAGAAGATTATTACCGCGATTTCTCCCCCCCCCCCCAAAAAAAAAAATAATGCGAAATAGTATAAAAAATAATGATGCATAATGGGAACATCATGTATACGTCATTATGGACCAAGCGAACGCCTCTTACACCAAGAAGTCTAACTTTATTGTCTAAGTAAAGAGTAATTAATTTTAGCAAGAGAAAAATTTTACTATCGTAAGTAAGAAATAGCTAACATTTTTTATTTAGTGCACGATGAGTCCATAGCTATTTCTTGACAATTTGTCATCGTATCAATCAGACAGCTTTTCATATGTAAAAAGGAGAGGTTTATCGAGAATAATGAAGATGATGCGAAGAGAAACTATATTAAGATATACGGAAAGATTAACTGAAAGGCCAGATGATATCTTCCTGAACGTGGTGCTTTCCTCATCAAGCGATCTTAATCGATCACACTTTGCATCGAACGAGTCTGCCCGAGTGAAAAATATATCACGACAGACCTCGAGATTCTTTTTTTCCTTTTGCTTTCTTCATCATATCGTCCAAATCTGCGATTTAATGCGTTCAACGAGCTCGATCGATTGATCAGATCCAGTGGTGTAGGACGTATCGGATCGCGAAGATTTATTTTAATTGCGATTGAATTTTTCAATTCGCGAGATGAATCCGCGTTAATGATGTCGATCTAACGTTAAATTATTTTCGCTTCTCGTTGTGTGTTTTGTCGAATAGACAATTGTATATAAATGAAGCTTGAAAGCAAGCGAAAGAAGGAGGGAAATATCGCTCGTTTATGGAACTACACGACTGGATTCGGGTAGTTGATAGAAGTGAAAAACAAGTCCCTGGTTTGTAGAATACGTGTCCCTTTGGGCCAGCTTCTGATGCAACCTTACGTTCATTATCTTCTCCCTCTACACGCGATTCACCCTGTATTACAACCGTTATTCATATCCAAAGTCGTAATCTTGATTCAGGCGATGTGAAAAAAAGACTGATACCGAAGTTTCCCGAACGCGCCCCCCCCCCTTCCTCTCCCCTTTCTCACCCCCTTCCCGCGAATGTTATGATACCGAAACACTAATAGAGCGAGTGTTTGTATCTCTCGCGTATATCGCGATCGTTATATGTGTTTTCTCGGTTGTGTCTCCTGCGTTTTCATATCTCTATAGTATATATAGCCGTGTATAGTACTTTCGCGCGAGCGAGAAAGTATACATGTTTGTTACGAACTTAAAAAGATTGATTATAGGCGTAAAGAGGAAGGAAGAAGAAACGAGGGCGAGAGTTATATAAGGGAGCATCGACACGCGAAATGTCGAGCGAGGTTCCAAAATAGGAGAGAAAGCGGGTCTTTGGAGGAGAAAGAGAAAAATTGTATGAGAAAAAAGACCCATACAGCACAGAACGTTGCAGCAATATTGCCGCAATATTGTTCCAATGTTCTGTGCAACAATATTGCCGCAATATTGCTCCAATGTTCTGTGCAGCAATATTGCCGCAATGTTCTGTGCAGCAATATTGCCACAATGTTCTGTGCAGCAATATTGCCGCAATGTTCTGTGCAGCAATATTGCCACAATATTGCTGCAATGTTCTGTGCAGCAATATTGCTGCAATGTTCTGTGCTGTATGGGAAGGGAGGAACGCAGGGAGATTAATTTATGCGGCGCGAATTAGTGCTTTTAATTACGGTACAAAGTTGAAGAAAAAGAGAGAGAGAGAGAGAGAAAGAGAGAGAGAGAGAGACAGAGGAGAGTAGGCATTTTTACTTATCATCGTTAGACTTTTAGATACAATCATCTAAAACACACCCCTTTACGACTTTTGCGCGGACAACAAACTTTGTCGTTGTATCTCGCATCCGAACTGATTATCCGCGATCCTCGTCCCTTGGTCCAGACCAAGTGCCAGCGATTCACTAGCTATCGATCGCGGCCGATCGACAAACGAGAACAATAAAATAGCGAGATGCGACGCAATCTTTCCGCAGATAGGTAAAGTCCGTCAAGACTCCTGATCCGTCATTGCGTTACAATATCACGATCATTGGATTACAATAAATCACATCTCGGTTGCGAAAAATTATGCGTTATTTTCTCCAGTATCTGTACAATCGCGGAATAATAGATTTCTCTTCCTTTACATGTTATCATGTTGCATTCTATCCCATACAGCACAGAACATTGCAGCAATATTGCAATATTGCTGCAATGTTATAACAATATTAATAATCTTAGCAAACACTAAATAACAGTTATATAACTGTTAGTTATAATTTTCCGCTCAACAAAATAACTGTTACATATTATGTAACAGTTACATAACAGTATGTAACAGTTATATTGTTGAGTGGGGAAAATTACAACTAACAGTTTTATAAATGTTACTTGCTAGAATATTGCTGCAATATTCTGTATGAGAAGTAACACCCTTCTAAGAGTGTTATAATTTTTGCTCCATTTTTCTGCAGTACCCTATTCAATGTATAATTAACATGTAATTATTTATTGGACGACTGGTAAGTCTGGCTCAGAGAGGAAAATTACGAATAATTTTTCCGTCTGATTTCCACTATCATTTTCCATCGCAATGACGAATCATCAACATCAATCTAGCGATACCGACTATGCAGGACTGGGCAGAGTCGGATTCCTCGAGTTTCGCGTTTATATTGTGACTCTCACGCCTCTGTATATCTCACTGTATATTCTCATCGTTATCGAACTTATAGAAGCTACTGAAACTGTGGACGAATCCGTGTAGCTCTTTTTGATATCGCGGCGATTGAGCGTCGGGGGGACAAAAATAATATCGTCGACCTGGCGAGCGAGCGAACTCTCGAAAAAAAATGCTGAAAGGAACGCAAGATGCGCCCAATGAATCCTACTTTTTCCGGACGTTTCTTTCGGTAGACATTTTTAGACGTAAGGCACTGGGTTTATTTCACCTATTAGGTGTCGAATAGAATAGATTGTAGTGCCCCCCCTCCCCTCTCCGCGTCCCACACACACAGAAACACACAAAAACACACCCAGGTCGATATGCGTCAATAATAATCTCGCAGAGTCCGTTTGAGGGTCTTGCTGTCATAAGAGTCCTCGTGTAAAGTATTTCATGGCTGTTTATTTTTGAAACAAATTTGTGCACTTTTTGCGCTGGAGGTAAATAGAATTTAACGATTGTCGATCGAAAGTTTGATTTTTTCCGAGATACTTATATTCTAAATTCAAAAGGATCTTTATCGAATAAAATTGAGAAATTTCCGAGGTCTATTAATCTTAAACGGATGCTCCAACGAGATCAATGACGCTCTGTCCTGGGATCCTTTGTTTCACAGAAAGACTCCACTGACAGAGGGAAAGAGCACGCAATAAAACGAATCAAAGTGACCGACAGAGGGGCGGTATAAGAGGAGAGAAGCTATCCGGGTGGTATTAATTAATTAGTCGCCAATTATTGTCATTCCCAGCAAGCACCAAGTGACATTTATATAACTGTTACTTGGTGTTTGCTAGGTTCTTTCTCAAGACATTAAGGACGTAAGGACTTAAGAAGAGCAGGAGGTAGAGCAAATCGACTATATACATCTACGACATTTTAATATAAAGGAAAAAAAAGAAAATATCGTCTTTTAAGTGTGTCAAGAGAGAAAGAGAGAGCGAGAGAGAGAGAGAGAGAGAGAGAGAGAGAGAGAACGCTAGCTACGTTTGTTATTCAGTAATTTTGCGCTTTATTTTTTTCTATGAATCGGTGCGCGAATCTTATTCCTTGCTAGGCCGAAGTGAAATAAAGAATGGGAAGATAAAAAGCTGCTAAATATATATAAAGAGGAAAGGGAGATTAAAAAAAAGAGACCCACAAAACACACACACAATGTTATTATAAACGATTAATTAATAAAAAACGAATCTTGTTTGTTGTTACTTCTGGTATACCTCGTTGTGTAAGCTAATACGCTAATTTTATTCCGCATATATACCCATACAACACAGAACATTGCAGTAATATTGCGGCAATATTGCAATGTTGCTGCAATGTTACAACAATATTAATAATCCCAACAAACATCAAATAACAGTTAGTTATAATTTCTTATTCAACAACATGTTATGTAACAGTTATATTGTTGAGTGGAAAATTACAACTAACAGTTATATAACCCATACAGCACAGAACATTGCAGCAATATTGCAGCAACATTGTAATATTGCTGCGACATTGTAGCAATATTGTAATATTGCTGCAATGTTCTGTGCTGTATGGGAAATTACTTGGTGTTTGCTAGGATATTGCTGCAATATTCTGTACTGTATGGAAAGTAGCACCCTTCTAAGAGTCTTATAATTTTTGCTCCATTTTTTTGCAATATTCATTGTATAATTAATATGTAATTATTTATATTGGACGACTGGCAAGTCGATCTGGCCCAGAGAAAAAAATTACGAGTAATGTTGCTGCAATGTTACAATAATATTAGTAATATTGCTACAATATTCTGTGCTGTATGGATATATAACGATTCGTTTTTTGTTCCTTTTTGATTCTTCCCGAGACTTGTATTATGTTTACGATTTTTCTATCGTTGTAAGCTTGAAATGTAAGAGAATAGGAAATGTACGAGAGAATAGGAGAATAATCGAATGATCCAGCTGGAGAAACCGGGATGCTCAATCTTTATTTAGCGCGTCATGAGGAACGAGTACATAATCGATAACTGTCGGAGAACATTAAGGGACTAATTGTAAGGATATTTCTTTCTTCGTACGACGACGCGGCCATCCTCGGCGATGTATCTACGTGTCCTCCTCCCAGACGGTCTCCGTCAATATGGCGATGTTGTCCAGGCCGCGCATCGGCGCATATTCGAGCGTCCACATCAAGTTCGTGAAGACAACTGCGACATTGTTACAACGAATAAATTGTTAACAAGAAAATATATCAGTATACGCGGAAACGAGTTCGATGAGTGTCATCAATTTCAAGAGGAAGAAACTCGCTGAATTTATCGCGCCCAAATTCAAGATGGGTCCTTTATAACTCGAGAAATACCTTGCTCGATTTTCAAGAGAAAGTACTTGGCTATTGTAAATTGAATTCTTTATCGCGAGATAGAAGTTGTATAGTATATATATATATCTCCTCGCGACAGAATGCAATTAATTCTCTCGATTCCTCGCAGCAGATGATTGACAATATTACCACAGACAATATTATCGAGAAATTTTATTTTATGAAGATAATCTAGACTGAGATCGTGTGAAATATATATTGAAGAAATTCGACTCATTATAGCCCAATCCCCTGTTCACTCACAGCTTCAGCCGGAAATACGAAACACCTTTCAGCCAGCAAATCGAATTTCAACAGTATAATATAATCTCTGATTATATCAAACGTACTTTAATAATTATATAACTGACTGATAAGAACCTGAGCGTGTGTCTCTTTCAGAATGTTGCCAGCTTATCATAAAGGTGTTCCGTACTTCAGTCCTCGAGTCACTTACGCATCTCGCCCTGATGCAAGTCGGCGATTAGCTCCGGACACGAGCTGTTGCAAGGATTAATAGGAGTGAGGCGAAGCTGAGTCGCGCCGCGAAGCTGCGCGAGGGCGATCAGACCGGAATCGAGCTCGACCTTCTTGTAGCTCGGGCTGTTGTAGTCCGATGACATCAATACCCAGTTGAAATGCGCCGGCGAGACGGTGCTGGAAAGGAAGTACGGCCGCTGGTAGTACTTTCTGAGCACCTTCACAGCGTTGATGTCACAGTTCTGCCAGTGGACGAACCACTTGGCCACCTCGGGCGCGTGTACGCGTCGCAGGAAGGCCGCGAGGTCGGACGAGCCGGTGCGCAGATTGGAGGTCAGGGCGCAGGGTACCGTCTCCATCAGCCGTTCGTTCTCCAGGTAGAGCTGTTGAGAAATAATCGTTTTTATTCCTCCACTCGTTTTTGCGAGAACGAATTTAGCAGAGATGAGATGGTAAAGCTCTGCTACTTACATGGGTGATGTTGTCGAACCAAAAGTAATCGGTGTTCATCACCGCCCAGGAGTCCATCGCATCAGTGATGATGGCCGGTGCATCGCGACTCAGGTAATTGTCGACCAGATTACGATACCGCACGTCCGACAGACGATCGATCGTCTCCAGCGCCTCGCAAGTCTACGAGAAAGTGTCCTGATATTGTTTCTCTCTGAATATACAGGGTGTTTCCACCCGTATCACCCATTTAAAAGAGACGTGATTTACTAGAGAAGTGGTTATTTCAAAAAAATAAAAACATTTTCTTTATAAATCGGGTGCGCTCTGTCGGATGGTGATATTTTCAGCTTCTGGTTCCGGCCGGAAATAGGCGATTCAGACCGAAAGTGCATTTTTTTAAATGGAACCCCCTATTTTTCATTGCACATTTTTGTAGCTTATCTCGAGAGCTTTTCAAAACACCATAATAAATTATTATTCCATGAAGTACTTTTCGAATTATGAGGCTTGAAATCATTTCTTAGTTTTACATAAGCCATAAAATACCTTGTAAAATATTCATTTTTCGATTATCTTACCTTAATAATATTATGTATAAAATAATGAGAGGAATCAATTGGTGTAAAGAAAATACATAGTTGTTTCTAAGAAAATATATGTGATTTGCAATTAACAATTCCATATTTTTTCTTAAAAACAACTGTATGTTTTCTTTACACCAATTGATTCCTCTTATTATTTTGTACATAAAAATATTAAGGTAAGATAATCGAAAAATGAATATTTTATAAGATATTTTATGATTGATGTAAAATTAAGAAATGATTTTAAGTCTCATAACTCTAAAAGCACTTCATGAAAAAATAATTTATTAGTGTTTTGGAAAGCTCTGGATGTAAGGCTACAAGAATATGCAATGAAAAAGAGGGGATTCCATTTAAAAAAATGCACTTCTGGTCTGAATCGCCTATTTCCGGCCGGAACCAGAAGTTGAAAATAACACCATTCAATAGAGTGCACCCGATTTATAAAGAAAATTTTTTTACTTTTTTGAAATAACCACTTCTCTAGTTTTTAAATGAGTAGTACGGGTAGTCTAAAACACCCTGTATACCCAGCAAACACCAAGTAACATTTATATAATTGTTAGTTGTAATTTCCCACTCAACAATATAACTGTTACATGTTATATAACAATTACATAACATGTTACAGTTATATTATTGAGTGGGAAATTACAACTAACAATCATATAAGTGTTACTTGATGTTTCCTGGGTACGATTCTATACGATTTCAGATCATGAAATTTCAAAGCGCACCACGCAATCCTCCTCGGTGATGGTGTAATCGTTGTAAAAGGGGTTGTTGATCATGCAATTCTCGTAATAGAGCGGCTGCCAGTTCCAGATCGGCAACACCTTGATCAGCAGCAGACGACTGAGGGCGGTGAAGTGCGTGCCAACGAAGTCGAGCTGCGCTGCAAGACACGCCAGGGTGCCCAGCACTATCAGCACCAGGGTACCACGGAAGACGAGCTGCAACCAGGAGCGACGCATCGCTGCCACGAGTGGCTGGCAAATGATGTCCATTTCCTCCTCGGTGAAGCCCGCCTGCTGACAATACCTACAAGAAAATTTTATACTTGACAACAGCTAACAGTGAAAAATTATCATTCATTTTTTTTTCTTCATATCAGAAAAGAAGAAAAAAATTTTTTTTAAAGAAAAAAGAAATGAGACAATTGTAAGAAAATTATTTAGCCCCCCCCCCCAATTTTCTATGAAGTTATATGTTGCCAGCAATTATTGTTTTTATTATTGTTGACATGACAGCAACATGATTAATCATATGAATCAACTTGACAGCAATGTGATTAATTATATATTTTATATTACATTTTATATTTATATTAATTATATATTTTTATATATTATTATATATTTATAAATTATTATATTTATATATTATTATATATTACATTTATATATTATTATATATTATGTATTATTAATTAATATGATCAATCATGCTTGAATATTGCTGATTTCTCAATATAAACTTAAAATACATATATATTTTTCTATATTAATTTTTTCGTTATAGGACTAGGATAACTTGAGCAAGGAGGAGATCTACGACAGTCGGCGACCCCATAAAAATGACTGTAGAAAAACTCGTTACTTGTAGAAAGAATTGAGCTCGTCGTCAATCAGTCTCAGCTTCTCGGAGTGCGTCATCTCGTGCTGCTCCTTGATGTACGTCTTCCGGGGTTGCTTGATGCACTTGCTGCTGGACATGGTGACTTCAATGGATCTTCTTAGGGTGCGAGATGAAAGCGATCGTGCGTCGAGGCGGGCGCAAAAATTCGGGACGAACGAATGTGTTGCCACTATCGAACCAGGCTACTCTGCGCGCGCGCGCTTTTATCTGTCAACCCGGTATATTGATCGTCGAATGCGCGCATGGACGCGGGAAATCCGAGACTTGAAATTTTTTATATAAATTCCTCCGATCCCCAGCAAACACCAAGTAAGAAATATCCTTAAAATTAGTCCCTTAATACTCTCCGATGCGAATTGTCGATTGTGTACTCGTTCCTCATCATGACGCTAAATAAAGATTGAACATCCCGGTTTCTCCAGCTGGATCATTCGATTATTCTCCTATTCTCTCGTTACATTTCAAGCTTACAACGATATCTACGATAGAAAAATCGTAAACATAATACAAGTCTCGGGAAGAATCGAAAAGGAACAAAAAACGAATCGTTATATATCCATACAGCACAGAATATTGTAGCAATATTATTAATATTATTGTAACATTGCAGTAACATTATTCGTAATTTTTTCTCTGAACTAGACTTGCCAGTCGTCCAATAAATAATTACATATTAATTATACATTGAATACTGCAAAAAATGGAACAAAAATTATAAGACTCTTAGAAGGGTGCTACTTCCTATGCAGTACAGAATATTACAGCAATATCCCAACAAACACCAAGTAACATTTATAAAACTGTTAGTTATAATTTCCCACTCAACAATATAATTGTTATTTATTAACAGTTATATTGTTGAGTAAGAAATTATAACAGTTATATAAGTGTTACTTGGTGCTTGCTGGGTTCATTTTTCCCCCGATAAGCGAAATACTTCCCTTCATACGCCGAGGAGTTTGCGGTCCTTCATCTGTCAAACGCGCGCACGTGCTTGATGACATTTGACGTAAGGAGCAGTTTTAAAACGCTCGCTCTTTTTACAGAGCTAAACTTTTACACGCAATATGTTTAGATGACTGTCTCTTCTTTAAGAAGATTTTTTTTTAATAATTATTTTAAAAAAAATATAATTTTAAAAAATTAATTTAAATTATAATATTAATTTAAAATATTTCTTTTAAATATTAATTTAAATTTATAATTTTAAAAAATGTAATTAAAGAATTAAAGAAATTTTTAAATAATTAAAGCTGGGCATTTTTGGTGCATATGTTTTACCAGAGAGAAACCTGAGAGCGGCCACCAGCCTCGACGGGCACATTTCTCGATGCTTGACGAGCCGTCTGACAAAGTGGACGTGAACTATGTCCATTAGCTCGGTAACGAAACATGGTTTGTGTCTATGATATAGGTTCATGTCCGAACTATTCAGAGATGAACAGTCATTATATGTATATTTATATTATCAGGAGAATATATTTTGCGAGCAGGTCGATGATGCGTTGATGACTTCTTTACAAATCATGTTCTCCTAATAACGCAAACGTGAAAATTTTCGAAAATTCGTTTCTTATTTTTTTATATTATCAGGAGAATATATTTTGCGCGGAGGTCGATGATGCGTTGATGACCTCTTTACAAATCATGTTCTCCTAATAACGCAAGCGAGAAAATTTTCGAAAATTCGTTTCTTATTATTTTATATTATCAGGAGAATATATTTTGCGAGGAGGTCGATGATGCCTTGATGACCTCTTTACAAATCATGTTCTCCTAATAACGCAAGCGCGAAAATTTTCGAAAATTCGTTTCTTATTATTTTATATTATCAGGAGAATATATTTTGCGTGGAGGTCGATGATTTGTTTTTTTTTTTTAAAGCGCGTTGATGACCTCTTTACAAATCATGTTCTCCTAATAACGCAAACGCGAAAATTTTCGAAAATTCGGGTTATATAGGAAAAATATTTGAGAGGTCATGACGTATGACCTCTTTACTCATGTTTTAATAAGAAACGAAATTTTCGAAAATTCGGGTTATTAGGAGAACATGATTTGTAAAGAGGTCATCAACGCATCATCGACCTCCTCGCAAAATATATTCTCTTGATAATATAAATTATAAGAAACGAATTTTCGAAAATTTTCACGCTCGCATTATTAGGAGAACATGATTTGTAAAGAGGTCATCAACGCATCATCGACCTCTTCGCACAATATATTCTCCTGATCATATAAATTATAAGAAACGAATTTTCGAAAATTTTCGCGCTTGCGTTATTAGAAGAACATGATTTGTAAAGAGGTCATCAACGCATCATCGACCTCCTCGCAAAATATATTCTCCTGATAATATAAAATAATAAGAAACGAATTTTCGAAAATTTTCGCGCTTGCGTTATTAGGAGAACATGATTTGTAAAGAGGTCATCAACGCATCATCGACCTCCTCGCAAAATATATTCTCCTGATAATATAAGATAATAACAAACGAATTTTCGTAAATTTTCACGCTTGCGTTATTAGGAGAACATGATTTGTAAAGAGGTCATCAACGCATCATCGACCTCCTCGCAAAATATATTCTCCTGATAATATAAAATAATAAGAAACGAATTTTCGAAAATTTTCACGCTTGCGTTATTAGGAGAACATGATTTGTAAAGAGGTCATCAACGCATCATCGACCTCCTCGCAAAATATATTCTCCTGATAATATAAATTATAAGAAACGAATTTTCGAAAATTTTGACGTTTGCGTTATTAGGAGAACATGATTTGTAAAGAAGTCATCAACGCATCATTGACCTCCTCGCAAAATATATTCTCCTGATAATATAAAATAATAAGAAACGAATTTTCGAAAATTTTCAAGCTTGCGTTATTAGGAGAACATGATTTGTAAAGAGGTCATCAACGCATCATCGACCTCCTCGCAAAATATATTCTCCTGATAATATAAAATAATAAGAAACGAATTTTCGAAAATTTTCACGCTTGCGTTATTAGGAGAACATGATTTGTAAAGAGATCATCAACGCATCATCGACCTTCTCGCAAAATATATTCTCCTGATAATATAAGATAATAAGAAACGAATTTTCGAAAATTTTCACGCTTGCGTTATTAGGAGAACATGATTTGTAAAGAGGTCATCAACGCATCATCGACCTCCTCGCAAAATATATTCTCCTGATAATATAAAATAATAAGAAACGAATTTTCAAAAATTTTCACGCTTGCGTTATTAGGAGAACATGATTTGTAAAGAGGTCATCAACGCATCATCGACCTCCCCGCAAAATATATTATCTTGATAATATAAATTATAAGAAACGAATTTTCGAAAATTTTCACGTTTGCGTTATTAGGAGCACATGATTTGTAAAGAAGTCATCAACGCATCATCGACCTCCTCGCACAATATATTCTCCTGATAATATAAATTATAAGAAACGAATTTTCGAAAATTTTCGCGCTTGCGTTATTAGGAGAACATGATTTGTAAAGAGATCATCAACGCATCATCGACCTCCTCGCAAAATATATTCTCCTGATAATATAAATTATAAGAAACGAATTTTCGAAAATTTTCGCGCTTGCGTTATTAGGAGAACATGATTTGTAAAGAGATCATCAACGCATCATCGACCTCCTCGCAAAATATATTCTCCTGATAATATAAATAATAAGAAACGAATTTTCGAAAATTTTCGCGCTTGCGTTATTAGGAGAACATGATTTGTAAAGAGGTCATCAACGCATCATCGACCTTCTCGCACAATATATTCTCCTGATAATATAAAATAATAAGAAACGAATTTTCGAAAATTTTCACGCTTGCGTTATTAGGAGAACATGATTTGTAAAGAGGTCATCAACGCATCATCGACCTCTTCGCAAAATATATTCTCCTGATAAAATAAGATAATAAGAAACGAATTTTCGAAAATTTTCACGCTTGCGTTATTAGGAGAACATGATTTGTAAAGAGGTCATCAACGCATCATCGACCTCCTCGCAAAATATATTCTCCTGATAATATAAGATAATATGAAACGAATTTTCGAAAATTTTCACGCTTGCGTTATTAGGAGAACATGATTTGTAAAGAGGTCATCAACGCATCATGGACCTCCTTGCAAAATATATTCTCCTGATAATATAAAATAATAAGAAACGAATTTTCGAAAATTTTCGCGCTTGCGTTATTAGGAGAACATGATTTGTAAAGAGGTCATAAACGCATCATCGACCTCCTCGCAAAATATATTATCTTGATAATATAAATTATAAGAAACGAATTTTCGAAAATTTTCACGTTTGCGTTATTAGGAGCACATGATTTGTAAAGAAGTCATCAACGCATCATCGACCTCCTCGCACAATATATTCTCCTGATAATATAAATTATAAGAAACGAATTTTCGAAAATTTTCGCGCTTGCGTTATTAGGAGAACATGATTTGTTAAGAGATCATCAACGCATCATCGACCTCCTCGCAAAATATATTCTCCTGATAATATAAATTATAAGAAACGAATTTTCGAAAATTTTCGCGCTTGCGTTATTAGGAGAACATGATTTGTAAAGAGATCATCAACGCATCATCGACCTCCTCGCAAAATATATTCTCCTGATAATATAAAATAATAAGAAACGAATTTTCGAAAATTTTCGCGCTTGCGTTATTAGGAGAACATGATTTGTAAAGAGGTCATCAACGCATCATCGACCTTCTCGCACAATATATTCTCCTGATAATATAAAATAATAAGAAACGAATTTTCGAAAATTTTCACGCTTGCGTTATTAGGAGAACATGATTTGTAAAGAGGTCATCAACGCATCATCGACCTTTTCGCAAAATATATTCTCCTGATAAAATAAGATAATAAGAAACGAATTTTCGAAAATTTTCACGCTTGCGTTATTAGGAGAACATGATTTGTAAAGAGGTCATCAACGCATCATCGACCTCCTCGCAAAATATATTCTCCTGATAATATAAGATAATATGAAACGAATTTTCGAAAATTTTCACGCTTGCGTTATTAGGAGAACATGATTTGTAAAGAGGTCATCAACGCATCATGGACCTCCTTGCAAAATATATTCTCCTGATAATATAAAATAATAAGAAACGAATTTTCGAAAATTTTCGCGCTTGCGTTATTAGGAGAACATGATTTGTAAAGAGGTCATAAACGCATCATCGACCTCCTCGCAAAATATATTCTCCTGATAATATAAATTATAAGAAACGAATTTTCGAAAATTTTCACGTTTGCGTTATTAGGAGAACATGATTTGTAAAGAGGCCATCAACGCATCATCGACCTCCTCGCAAAATATATTCTCCCGATAATATAAAATAATAAGAAACGAATTTTCGAAAATTTTCACGTTTGCGTTATTAGGATAACATGATTTGTAAAGAAGTCATCAACGCATCATCGACCTCCTCGCAAAATATATTCTCTTGATAATATAAATTATAAGAAACGAATTTTCGAAAATTTTCACGTTTGCGTTATTAGGAGAACATGATTTGTAAAGAGGTCATCAACGCATCATCGATCTCCTCGCAAAATATATTCTCCTGTTAATATAAATTATAAGAAACGAATTTTCGAAAATTTTCACGTTTGCGTTATTAGGAGAACATGATTTGTAAAGAGGTCATCAACGCATCATCGACCTCTTCGTACAATATATTCTCCTGATCATATAAATTATAAGAAACGAATTTTCGAAAATTTTCACGTTTGCGTTATTAGGAGAACATGATTTGTAAAGAGATCATCAACGCATCATCGACCTCCTCGCAAAATATATTCTCCTGATAACATAGAATAATAAGAAACGAATTTTCGAAAATTTTCGCGCTTGCGTTATTAGGAGAACATGATTTGTAAAGAGGTCATCAACGCATCATCGACCTTCTCGCACAATATATTCTCCTGATAATATAAAATAATAAGAAACGAATTTTCGAAAATTTTCACGCTTGCGTTATTAGGAGAACATGATTTGTAAAGAGGTCATCAACGCATCATCGACCTCCTCGCAAAATATATTCTCCTGATAAAATAAGATAATAAGAAACGAATTTTCGAAAATTTTCACGCTTGCGTTATTAGGAGAACATGATTTGTAAAGAGGTCATCAACGCATCATCGACCTCCTCGCAAAATATATTCTCCTGATAATATAAGATAATAAGAAACGAATTTTCGAAAATTTTCACGCTTGCGTTATTAGGAGAACATGATTTGTAAAGAGGTCATCAACGCATCATCGACCTCCTTGCAAAATATATTCTCCTGATAATATAAAATAATAAGAAACGAATTTTCGAAAATTTTCGCGCTTGCGTTATTAGGAGAACATGATTTGTAAAGAGGTCATCAACGCATCATCGACCTCCTCGCAAAATATATTCTCCTGATAATATAAATTATAAGAAACGAATTTTCGAAAATTTTCACGTTTGCGTTATTAGGAGAACATGATTTGTAAAGAAGTCATCAACGCATCATCGACCTCCTCGCAAAATATATTCTCTTGATAATATAAATTATAAGAAACGAATTTTCGAAAATTTTCACGTTTGCGTTATTAGGAGAACATGATTTGTAAAGAGGTCATCAACGCATCATCGATCTCCTCGCAAAATATATTCTCCTGATAATATAAATTATAAGAAACGAATTTTCGAAAATTTTCACGTTTGCGTTATTAGGAGAACATGATTTGTAAAGAGGTCATCAACGCATCATTTTCTTATAATTTATATTATCAGGAGATTATATTGTGCGAGGAGGTCGATGATGCGTTGATGACTTCTTTACAAATCATGTTCTCCTAATAACGCAAACGTGAAAATTTTCGAAAATTCGTTTCTTATAATTTATATTATCAGGAGAATATATTTTGCGAGGAGGTCGATGATGCGTTGATGACCTCTTTACAAATCATGTTCTCCTAATAACGCAAGCGCGAAAATTTTCGAAAATTCGTTTCTTATTATTTTATATTATCAGGAGAATATATTTTGCAAGGAGGTCGATGATGCGTTGATGACCTCTTTACAAATCATGTTCTCCTAATAACGCAAGCGTGAAAATTTTCGAAAATTCGTTTCTTATTATCTTATATTATCAGGAGAATATATTTTGCGAGGAGGTCGATGATGCGTTGATGACCTCTTTACAAATCATGTTCTCCTAATAACGCAAGCGTGAAAATTTTCGAAAATTCGTTTCTTATTATCTTATTTTATCAGGAGAATATATTTTGCGAGGAGGTCGATGATGCGTTGATGACCTCTTTACAAATCATGTTCTCCTAATAACGCAAGCGTGAAAATTTTCGAAAATTCGTTTCTTATTATTTTATATTATCAGGAGAATATATTGTGCGAGAAGGTCGATGATGCGTTGATGACCTCTTTACAAATCATGTTCTCCTAATAACGCAAACGTGTAAATTTTCGAAAATTCGTTTCTTATAATTTATATTATCAGGAGAATATATTTTGCGAGGAGGTCGATGATGCGTTGATGACCTCTTTACAAATCATGTTCTCCTAATAACGCAAACGTGAAAATTTTCGAAAATTCGTTTCTTATAATTTATATGATCAGGAGAATATATATTGCGAAGAGGTCGATGATGCGTTGATGACCTCTTTACAAATCATGTTCTCCTAATAACGCAAGTGTGAAAATTTTCGAAAATTCGTTTCTTATTATTTTATATTATCAGGAGAATATATTTTGCGAGGAGGTCGATGATGCGTTGATGACCTCTTTACAAATCATGTTCTCCTAATAACGGAAACGTCACAATTTTCGAAAATTCGTTTCTTATAATTTATATTATCAGGAGAATATATTTTGCGAGGAGGTCGATGTCGATTTTCATGTCCATGTTTTGAATGTCCATAGAGGGATTATCACTTTTGGGGTCACTTTATAGCTTGGACATGAACCATAGCTCAGACACGAACCATGTATTATTATCGACCTTAATGGATGTAGTTGACGTCCACTTTGTCAGGGAGCGCATTAGGACAATATACCCGTTAAATCGAGGTGGCCGCTCTCAGGTTTCTCTCTGGTTTTACGATTTTCAATCCTGATCTTTTTATGCATCAACTTTACCGGCCGGTGATATCAAAGAAAACATTTCTCTGATGATATGAAGAATGTATTTCTCCGGTGATACGAAGATTTTTATCTCATAAACGACTTGTTACAAGCTGTGATGACGATGAATGTGACTTGTCAGTAAAAAAATAAACTTGTATTACTACGTTGCACTAAAGTGATACAATATATGCATTAATGTACATATTAATATTGTGCATTAATGTACATATTAATATTGTGCAATAAAATATAGAAGTACATATATACATGTATATATAAAATGTGAGAATATATCGGGTCATCTTTTGCTCGAAGTTCCAAAGGTCGTTCTAATTTGCCACACATGATTTATGAAATGTATGAGTTCTACTACTTTTAAAAGTTTAAAGTCAATACAAATAACAATAGCAATGTTGTGCTCAAGATTACTCGGTGAGTAGATTAGACATTTTCCTAAGTATTATTTATAAATATTTTTCTAGAAAAATAATATATAATAATAATAATAATATATAAATTATATATATATATATATATATATATATATATTATTATTATTATTATTATTATTATCATTCTAACTTGCAGCAAATGTCAATAATGTATCTAGAGGTGCCAGCCGTCACATTGCCTCCCTTTCAGTGTTGCCAGATACGCATCAGATGTTGTACAAAACATGCAGGTATTATTATAACTTGTACGAGAATTTTAGAGATGAATTAAATCTACATGCTTCACATAGAAATATCCTGATCGATACAGTTATATAAAGCATACCAGCTTGGTCATAAAAAATCTTGTAATTATAGGGACTTTGCAGAAAATGAATTGAAACCCATTGCGGCAAAAATTGACAAGAAACATCTGTTTCCAAAGGAACAGATCAAGAAAATGGGAGATCTGGGCCTCATGGGCTTGTGCATTCCCGAAGCATTAGGTGGCACAGGACTGGATACCCTGGCCTATGCTATAGCTATGGAAGAAATCTCAAGAGGTTGCGCAGCTGCTGGAGTTATAATGAGCGTGCAGAACTCCCTCTATCTGGGTCCTATAAACAAATTTGGCACTGACAAGCAAAAAGAAAAGTATATTACTCCCTTTGTAACTGGGGAAAAGATCGGATGCTTTGCGCTGAGCGAACCAGGCAATGGATCTGATGCTGGTGCTGCGTCTACTACTGCCAAAGCAAGTGGAAACGCTTATACAATTAATGGCACTAAATCATGGATAACAAATGCTTACGAAGCCAAGGCGATAATTCTCTTTGCAACGACCGACAAGTCCAAGAAGCACAAAGGTATAAGCGCTTTCATAGTTGATAGTCCAACGACTGGTCTGAGTGTAGGCAAGAAGGAGGATAAATTGGGTATACGAGGAAGCAGTACTTGCTCCTTGATCTTTGAAGACTGTCAAGTACCAAGAGATAACGTTCTAAGCGAACCAGGAATGGGCTTTAAAATCGCAATGATGACTCTAGGTACGCTAATAAAGATGCACCCGAATTTTGAGACAATTATTCTAGTGTAATTTCATCTTACAGACAGCGGCAGAATAGGAATCGCCGGACAAGCGTTGGGCATAGCTCAAGCCTCTCTGGATTGCGCGATAGATTACGCAGCGAAGCGCCAAGCCTTTGGTCAGTCCATCATAAAGCTGCAAACGATTCAGCAAAAAATTGCCGACATGGCTCTGAGACTGGAAAGCTCGAGATTGTTGACGTGGCGGGCAGCTCAGCTCAAGGATAACGACAAGTCGTACACGAAGGTAATTAAAAAAATAAAAATATCGATTAAATCTGTGCCATATTTACTTATCTTATTAGATGTGATATTCTTTATCTTATCGCGCATATAATCTTTATTTTCTTAATGAAGAATTTGAATTTATGAAGCCTGTGCATCATATTCGATGCATAAAATTGCTCTTGCATTCTCCTCAAAGTGAGAATAATTTATTCCAACATTTTCTGCGCATCCTTATCCACAATCTCTCAATCGTTAGGAAGCGGCCATGGCAAAGCTCTCCGCGTCAGAAACCGCCACGTTTTGCGCTCATCAGTGTATACAGATTTTGGGAGGGATGGGATACGTGTCGGACATGCCAGCGGAACGTCATTACAGGGACGCGCGTATCACGGAGATCTACGAAGGCACATCGGAAATCCAGAGGCTCGTGATCGCCGGGAATCTTATCAAAGAATACAGTCTCTGAATCAAAATGATATACATGTGTGTAAGGTAATCCTCCTCGTTGGTGTATCTCTTTTATACTGAAATCAAAATATATTTTGTCTATAATCTATATTATATTAATATTAAATTGTATATTATACAGTGTTTCAGACCACTCGTACCACCCACTTAAAAACTAGACAAGTGGTTATTTAAAAAAAGTGAAAACATTTTCTTTATAAATCGGGTGTGCTCTGTCGAATGGCGATATTTTCTGGTTCCGGCCGAAAATAGGCGATTCAGACCGGAAGTGCATTTTTTTAAATGAAACCCTCTATTTTTCATTGCATATTCTTGTAGCTTACTTCGATGTTACAATAATATTAGTAATATTGCTACAATATTCTGTGCTTTATGGATATATAACGATTTGTTTTTTGTTCTTTTTCGATTCTTCCCGAGACTTGTATTATGTTTACAATTTTTCTATCGTCGTAAGCTAGATATCGTTGTAAGCTTGAAATGTAAGAGGATAGGAAATGTACGAGAGAAATTGTTAATTGCAAATCACATATTTTTTCTTAGAAACAACTATGTGTTTTCCTTACACTAATTGATTCCTCTCTACTTCATGGAAAAATAATTTATTATAGTGTTTTGGAAAGCTCTCGAAGTAAGCTACAAGAATATGCAATGAAAAATAGGGGGTTCCATTAAAAAAAATGCACTTCTGGTCTGAATCGCCTATTTCCGGCCGGAACCAGAAATTGAAAATATCACCATTCAATAGAGTGCACCCGATTTATAAAGAAAATGTTTTTACTTTTTTGAAATAACCGCATCTCTATCTTTTTAAATGAGTGGTACGGATGATCTGAAACACCCTGTATATTGCTAAATTTTATATATATATATTTTTTTTTATATATACGAAGAAAGAAATAAATTTTGTATGCTATGCCTTCTAATTTTATTAATTCTTGACTAAATATACGTGACTGGATCGAGAGACATACGCACATACGCGCGCACACACACATACACATACGTATGCAAAGAAAGGAAACGCTTCATATACATGTGTGCATATATACATATATACACATACACATCTTCATTGTTAGCCCTTTGGCAGCGATACGGGAATTTTCTCTCCACGACTCTCCCTTATCTTCCCTATTTCAGGAACAGTTGGAGTCTATCTGAGTGACTGTAATCGCGTAGGGATAACAGTAGTAATGTAAACCCGCGCATAAGTGTGAAACTGATATATCCAACAGGCGATGCAATCGTGGAATAAAGGCAGATTTGTTAAAGTTACGAGTTTACGTTGAAATGACACACAGAACTACCATTCCTCGTCGAGGAAGTAGCGGATAAATCCGGTTTTCTCTCACTCTCTTTCTCGCGTGTGCGATATCTAATATATCGGATACAAATATTTACTATGTGCATCATCGTGGCTACCTCACGGTTTTGTAAGTGAATACGAAGATAAAGCTACGTCTTAGACTATACCTTCCAACATAATACAGAGGATACATTTATTTTGTGCAAATGACAGAGTTAAATTATATATTCTGTTACTGTTTTTTAATATTTAATCACATTATTTAATTAGAGATCCTATGTGAGAACGCTGCTGATGCGATTGCGCGTTCGTTCAACCCATTAAAAGACCATTTATCCTAAAACTCGACTTAATTAAACGGCAGTAAATAATTATTCCCGCAAAAAAACGCAAGGTTCAAAGGTATATCTAGCAATTCTAATTCTCGTTTTGACAGAAAAAACGAACCATTACATAAACACTTATCGTCGCGTATCTTTTCTGAATGTATTAAGTAAAAAAAAAATGCAAATCTAAGCATATCGCTTGTAATGGGTTTACTTGCAGCGCTCCAGAATACTTTGTCGGTTGTATTCGGAGATCCATTGGAATGCAAAGAAATATTACATAATAATGTCATTTGAATTTGGATGTCTTGTTTTTTTTTCTTTCTTTTTATATATACAATAACGCACCCTTTCATGCCGTTCACCCGCTGTCACCAATAAATTGAAAATAGCCTAAAACTGCTTCTCTATAATATGTGTGTATATGTATATCTGGTGTGAGCACTTTACATAGAATACATCGCCGTTTCTTCATTCTCGTTAAACAATTTAGAGTGTAATGTTAATATTATCGTTAGAGTCGCAGTGTTACAATTAAAAAATCCACCAGTTTGGCTCTAACTTTTTAGAAGATAGACACATTACACGTCTCGCCGTTCGTCGAGAACAGACAACAGAACGTTATATAAAAACGGAATTAATCGTAATAGTACGCTATTTCGTGTGATCGAAGGATCCCACGGATTAAGAATTCCGCAGGAGTACATTTAAGATCCTTCAAAACGTGTTCGAATCAATTTCCTGATCGCACGTATACTTTCGCAAGTTTGATAAAATACTCTCGAAATCTCCTCTGAAAATACACGATCACATTTCTGTTCCGAAATAATAATAGTTTGAAATACAGATCATTAATATGTAACATTTAGATTTGTTTCGATTGTACATTAATATATATATATGCATATATATATATTAAACAGTGGACTTTTTTTTTAACTATTTAACTACGATCAAACTTGCAAAGTTAAATCACATATTTCCTTTGTTTTTTTTTTTTAATACTTATACTTTGCAGCAAGTATCTTTTGTTATTTGTTAATGAACTTTAATAACTATTATTATCGAACTACAAACTGCTTTTAAGTAATTGTAACGTTTTATCTATAGCGATTTTTGTGAGACCAAATTTTCCTCCTTTATAATTATGCGTTAAATGAGAACCAGCTGACCTGATTCTTTTCATTTCTCTTTTTCTCTCATAATAATAGATACATAATAATAATAAGAATAATCTTTATAGATACATTTATCTAAAACGCTTGTAAATATAAAATAAATTAAAGTTGTAAGTAATTTTTTTTCTGTAATAGACACTGAATCTAGACACGTAAACTCCGGAAATCGTCCGAATCCTGTGGAATCGTCTATGACAGAGCGTAACAGGGTGTACATCTGTAGGTATGCGTATGTATTTGTGTTGACATGTATAAGGAAATTGATTTAACCATTCATAACAGAAGCTATCAAAGTCTCAATCATCAGCGCGCATACCCCGCACTTCTCCTTGATGTCTTTGCTGCAAACACATAAAGAATGTTTCAGAATACAATCGGAAACTTCTAACATTTTTAATAATTCAAGAATAATTCATGCACAAAATAAAATCATGGAATAAATTCCAAGAGAAGCACGCCAAGATCCCTTACCCTGTCTAATTCTTCTTTCGTATTGTCTTCAATAGCTCTAATATCCTCCATAGTTAAACCATGCCAACGATCTATCCAGCAGAACACTTGCCTATGAAAATTGGTAAATAGGCGCCGTTCTGCCTTCTGAATAAACCCTTCAACACGGGTCTGTAGACCGAACCATTTGAATTCACAAGTGACTAGCTTGTAGCACGTCATCACAGGCTGAACATTATGCTTCCAATCCTTCCCTACGAGAGGACCCCGTCCCGTTTTCTGAGATTTGAATTTGGTCGGATCCTCGTCCTCCTTGTAATCGGCACTGGCGACCGGGTCATTTGCAATATCTATGTGTACTACTTCTCTAATCTTGAGCTTATCGGGCGGCAATTCGTGAACCTATTTGTGAGAAAAAGACATGATATAAACTGGAGATACTCGTCGAATTTCGAGTCTGTACTTACATTATGTTGATTGCCGACATCGCCAATATGAAAGGATTCTATCATGATCACAAAATTGTCCTTCATATATCCTGGATTCTAAAAAGATAAAACACATGTATATACACTTAACATCTTATATTACCATGTATGTATATATGTATGTCAACAAGCTTACAGTTATGACTGTTTTACAATAGGGGTAAGCGTTCCAAGCCTCTTCATGGATCTCCAGCGAGTTCTTTGGCAATAAAATGCGAATAAAAGCAGGCACTTTGCTAGCTAAGTGATAAATCTTATATGTGTATTGGCCTGACGAGTACTTTCCACCCAGTAGAGGATAATCCGTAAACGGCTCATTCTTCAGCACTTCGATACCTTCTCCGCCCCCTGTATTATTCTTACTGGCCTCTGCTACAGAGTACAGTTGAGCTACTTGATACTGTTAATAGAAAAACAACTCGTGAATCTCTGATCAAGAAACATATGAAGAGATATATAGTTGCATAATCTGCCCGTAGGCAGAAATATATACATATATTGAGATATTAACTCATTTTAAGCACATGTTTATTCATGTCTTTTTTTCTGTTCATTTATCATTGATTTAGTAATTTAAATCACAAAAAGAAATAATTTAAAGTCATATCTGACTAAAAAATCAATTTTGCATGTCACAAAAATTGAACTATTGAAATCTGTTTCCCTCGAATATCACATTTTATCATTCAAGATAAATAATAGTAGAATAAAAATATAGAAGCATAGTCTACGTAACAGGTAGTGATAAAAAGTAGTTATACTACAAATAAAAGGCTTTCAATTATAACTTGTATCATGATTTGCTCAAAATAACTCTATACAAGAACTCCAACATATAGCATCGCGCAAACTACAATTAGATGATTGGCAAGTCTTCTGATTGCATAGCAATGTTGGAAAACTGATTTTATGTCGTCCGTATTATTTTCCTGTCTTCTTCATTTTTTTTTTGCAATCTAATCACTCCGAGCCTGTATTTAAAGTGGGTCATTGTGAGGAGCAAGACCTTTCTGATCAGACACGTACCTCTTCCACTGTGAGGGGCAGAGTGACACGGCTGTAACAAACAAGTAACGAGTTATGTCAACATTATGTCAGACGAGGAAAAAGAAAGGAGACAAGGAAGCGTGGCCTTGAGTCACGTTTCCCGCATCACAAGAGGGGGGGGGGCATCAGGATAAGGGGGGGCGATGCAAGGCTGCTGCCGCAAAGCGCGGTATCACTCCGGCCGATCTTAATTGAATCAGAAATCGAAAGCGATCGATAGAGTTTGAATCCTCCAATCGACCTCACTCTCGATCGAGACAGACCCCCCGAGAAAACCCCCTGAAATTTCAGTCAAGCCCCTCTCTCTCACTCTCTCTCTCTAGCCTTCCGCCTTTAAAGGGAAACGGATACTCGCGGAAGGGAAAAAAGAGAGGAGGACGGGGGGAAGAGAAGCGAGGTGCAGCGAGTGCAGCTGAAACGAGCAGGTCTCGCGAATCAGGCGGCAAGGGATGAGAGGGTCACCATCCCTCCGCCGTCTCTCTCTCTTCCATCATCCCCCTCCAGCCCTCTCGGTCACCGTTAAAGATTAGTAATAATCGTCTCCCCCCGTCGAATGACTTTGAATTCGGGCCAACGGCGAGCCTCCGCTCGAAATTCGGCTATTTCGCTGCGTGGCGCGCACAGCCTGACAGCCCCCCCGTTCGCCCCCCACCCCCGCTCGCGTCTCGGCGCGGTGTCACTTACAATTCCTTGATGAGCATTTTAGGCAGAGGGGCACATGGACCGGGTCAGCGGTCAGCGCGGATCCAGCAGACGACGGCAGAGAAGCCAGGGGAGGCCAGGGGAGGCCAGAAGAGCAGCAGAGCAACAGCGCACCACCGTCTCACCACCGCCGCGACTAACCGAACCACCACCACCACTACCACCACCTCACCTCACCCTGGTCGCGGTCCTTGTCCTCGTCGTCGTCGTCGTCTACAGCGATGTCTACGGCGGGTCTTTCGCTATCGTCTCGTCCGCCTGCGTTGCTGAGTCATACACGAGTACGCGAGTACAACGCGCGCCGCGCGAGACTTGCCAACCGACTGACACACTCCGCTCCGGGTCGCCACCACCGCTGCTGCTACTGCTGCTGGCACCTCCACGGTCTCCTCCGCACCAGCGCACACCGAGCAACCGCGACGGACACGACCGCGTCGAAGGAGGCGCTTACACACACTTGCGTGCGCGCCCGCGCACACGTGTACGACTCTCCGGCCACCGTTCCGCCCCCTCTTCCCCGCGGCTCCCCACTCCTGTCGCGCGGCTCCTCTTCCTTCCGCCGCTGCTCCTCTTCGCCCCGCCGAGTCCACAACCTTGCCGGTGACGTCAGTCCAGCGAGAGACGCGCGTGCATGCGCGTGGCTGGCGCGACCGGCGCGTCATCTTTCTACCGGACGGGCCAGGTTTTCTCGCGCATGCGCGTTGAATATGATATGACTGAAGTCGCGATGAAATGGGGTTCTGTATTCCCTCCCATTTAATCTTTTTTAAATTATTAAAAAATTTTAAATTAAAAATATGAAATATAAAAAGAAACAAAATTCTATAATGTATGCAAATTACGAGTTTAATTTGTATAATTTGTGATTTAAAATATTGATGAATATTATAATATATATATATTATATAATATATTTTATAATACGATTTCTTACTATATTTTATAATACTATTACTATTATATTTTTATAATAATATTGCTTATTCTAAATTAATTTACATACATTATAGAATTTTGCTTCTTTTGATATTTCATATTTTTAATTCAAAATTTTTTATATTTCATATTTTTAATAATAATATTTTCTATAATAATATTACTTATTCTAAATTAATTTACATACATTATAGAATTTTGTTTCTTTTTATATTTTATATTTTTAATTCAAAATTTTTTAATAATTTAAAAAAGATTAAATGGGAGGGAATATAGAACCCTGTTTCATTGCGATTAACTACTTCAATGATATCATATTCAATGCGCATGCGTGAGAAAACCTAACTCATCTAATAACACTGCTTTCCACCTATGACCTATGTTCGGTTTGGTTCAAGGAGAGTATTGGATACTCGAGTTCTTATTTATACGGAATTTTTTATGTAATTGTTATATAATTGTTATGTTATATAATTGTTATATAACTATTATATAATTGTTATATAATTGCGAATCTTGTTTACAGTGAGTATTTTGCGGGAAGATGGAATGTAGAATTTTCAAAGGAATCGCGATTTTCGTGATTTTGACAGATCAAATTTACGTTGGATGCATTGGTTAAGGGCGGGTTTGCAAACGTCTGATTCTCTCGTCTTGTTTGGAAAGTCGCCTTTCGGAAAGAGAGAAATAACCATTGGATTTTATATATTTTATTGCTATCAATTATTAAAGACACGTTCCTGAAAGATGTCTGAAAAACAACTTGAAGGCATTTTATCATCTTTTAAATTTCTTTAAGATATTTTTCACCTTTTTATGCTACCTGGAATGCGAGGGAAAAAATTCGCAGATCTAAAGGTTACTTGTTCTTTTCATCTAAACTAAAATAGAATGACATAAATATATATATATTTACAAATTCAAAAGAAAGAGAGAGAAAAAATACGAAAAGTTTGGCTAAAAAACTTATAGCCCTATAACAACACACATGTCCAAAAGATGTTCAGAGGTCATCGAGAGGACATCCAGAGGACATAAAATATCCTTTGGCTATCCTTTAGATATTCTATGGACGTCTTTTGGATATGTGTGTTGTTAGGGAGGTGTTTGAAATTCATAATGAATCTTTCAAAGATTTCTGGGATCATCTGAAGACGATTTTTCCTGTCGAGGCACTAATAATTTTCGAATTATAAGTGATTGGAAATAAGGGGTTTTTCGTAAACTAAGCTTTGTAGAAATAAAATATTAACAAAACCACATTCTTCGATTAATTTTAAATAGAGTTTACTTTAGTTGAGTTTTAATTTAAAGCTTAATTGCAATGATACATGGTGACCAAAATCGGAAACATGCAAAAAATGATGGCCTTCATCGACATTTTCGCTGAGGAAAAATCGTCTCCAAATGATCCCAGGAATCTGTCATTGAAAGATTCATTATGAGTTTTGAGACACCCTGTATAAGCTGTTTCTAACATGACATAATTTTGAAATTTCTGATGAAGTCATCAATGAATAATCTGAAAAAAAATGAATTTATAATAAAAAAAATTCTATATAAATTCGCTTCTAATCTATTCCTTCCTTTCAATTAAACAAACCAATGAAAGACCGATAATTCTACATTTTACATATAAACAAAAATACTACGGATACAATTTGACAAAGAATAATTTAATCGTAGATTAAATTATTTCTCGCAGCTCGATCAAAGTCTGGCTGATGATTAGTCGACTGTTGACTTGAAAAAAAAAAGACGTCATTGTTATTTATCACAGGATGTTTCACAAATATACGTGTTTCCCAATCGATGTGTATTTTATGAGACACCCCGTATGACAAATAACGAGTGAGAATTTTGCTCGAATCAGCATTGGTAGGTCTAGCGTCTAGCGTGTCAAGTGTCAACTGTCAACATCCAGTCGGCGCACGAGGTGGGAACAATTTGACAGAAGGAGCCGGTCTCGAGCTAATATCTTGTCGTATCTCGTCGCAATCTTTAGCTTCTCCGATTTCGCGATGAGCAACGAGGTCACGATGGACGATGTGAGTAACTTTGATCGACGATGCGAACTTTCTTGGACGATATATTATGCGCTACATTCTTCTTTGCAGTTTCCCGCTTTGAGGTTGAAGCATGTGCACATTAAGGATGAGGTTGCGCTTTTAAAGACAATAAATACGATCTTGCAAGGTGGCACGAATAATCTCCAAGTATGCTCTCTTATCTGTTTTTTTTTTTTTTTTTTTCATAATTATTTTTTTGACGAATTGTATACTTTCATTTCATTAATTTATAATTATGTGTACAGGTGGTTACAGATTTCGACTTGACTCTCACAAAGCAACACATAAATGGAACACGTATACTTAGTAGTTTTGGTAAGCATATGATAATTTATTACATTAAAAGTGAAGGAAGAAAGTTATATTCTTATAATGTATTTCTTTCATAATACAATTTGTAACATGCTTTTTTCAATCAATTGTTTTTAATCAAGTTTGCTAGTTGCTTAGAATTTAGATTTAATTATTAATTGTGTGATTTAATATTGTGATTTAATATTTAATTATTAATTATTAATTGTGTCAAATTTTTAAACAAATACAAGTAGGTGTTCATGTTATTTTAATATCTCTAGCTTTAGGATATTATATAATTTAATATGATTTTAGGTATGTTCAGAAAATGCAAGCAGTTACCACAATATTATTTAGATGAGGCCAAATGTCTGTATAACAAGTATAGACCTATAGAGATAGATCCACATTTGTCTTTGGATGAAAAAGCTGTTGCTATGCACGATTGGATGACTGCAGCACATAATATACTAAAGGGCATCGAGTTCAATCCTCATGAGATAGAAGAAGTAGCCCAAGAATGCAACGATATATTACGCGATGGTACAAGAGAGATTTTGGAGAAGCTATACAATGCCAGAGTACCGATTGTAGTGTTTAGCGCTGGTTTAGGAGATATGGTGAAAGCTGTGTTGAAATACAACGATGCTCTCTTTGATAATGTAAAAATAATCTCCAATTTTCTCAAGTACAAAGGAAATCAGTTAGACGGATTTAACAACGATGTGTTTATACATGCTTACAATAAAAATGAATGTGCACTGGCGAAAGATTATCTGACAGTACTCGGCAAGAGACAGAATATATTGTTGATGGGTGATTCGACTGGCGATGCTAGTATGGTAGACGAAATAGAAGACACCAAGACAGTTTTGAAAATAGGATTCCTGTACGACCATGTAAGCAATTCAGTGGAATGTCGAGTAAGATGTAATCAAGATGTAACGACTAATTTCTTCTGTTCTCCAGGTGGAGGCTAGCTTGAACTCATTCATGGAAAAGTTCGATATCGTTCTTGTCGATGATCAAACGATGCGAGTGCCGATGGAGATACTGCAAAGTATCTTATAATATATCTGTATCAATTAATATTTTTTTCATACTCGCGTGCATGTACATATCTATAAAGATGCAAATACGTGATCGTATACATAATACTCTATAATTCAAAGTACATGATGATTTACACTTTACTTAAATGAGTTTAATTTAAATACAACAAATTATTATATTATAATTAAATATAATATATTATAATTATTATATTATAATTAAATATAATAATCTAAATGTAATAAATTTCCTAACGTATGATTTTTTAACATTGACATATGTGTATTTTATATGCATATATCAGTTATATTGATTTTTTTTTATATAAAGAATGTATATTTGTAATTGTATATTTTAAATACAATCACAAACTGTATATTTTAAATAAATTGATTTTCATCAACTTAACAAAACTAAGAAATCTAATGTACCTGCTACAATTTTGTAAATTTCTGTGCATACATGATGTATATTAATATCCACTGTGATATGTAATTAACTATGAAATTAAACAATTATGATTTATGCAATTTATATATTGATCAACCGATATTTATAACTGTTTTATTGATTATCTTTGTTAGAATTGATATTTTAATTTCTATGATATTTTCTTGTAATATATTTAAGTATGATTAATATATTAATATTAATTATAATAAAATATATTAATATATTTTAGTCTTCAGATAAAATTTTGAATTTTAAATAGTTAATATTTTTTAATAATTTTTAATATTTACAAAAAGAGGTAAAGCTCTCTGTAAATTCAAAATTAAAGTCTCTGTAAATTTAAAATAAAATAATCTACGCCTAATTGACCACTTTAATTTTTAATATTTAATTAAGTAATTTTCTTTTAATAATTTTTTAATATTTAATTAAAAAGAGATAAATATAAAAGTAGATGTAATTGATAAAATGCTTAAATAAGCGCCGTCTTCAGGAGCGTCGTATGAAATATCTTAATTTTCAACTATGAAGCTCGGAGTCCAACAATATTCGGACTAAAAGAGAAAAAAATATTTTTGCATCGATTCTGATACGATTATATTTCCATATTTTTTGGCAAAATATAAAAATCAATATTCTAGTTTGATTTTATCAAGATTTTAAAATTTAGAATTCTTATCACTAACCTAAAGCCTATTGTACACTGACGGTAAGCATTGAATTGTTTACATATATCTTAACTTTCAATACAGTTGCACAAAGTAATGAAAAAAACTTTGTAAGGTTTGGAAGGGGAATCCAAGGAACATGTTACATTCGGAGGATCTTAGTGAGCAAGAATTAGAAACGTTGAGAGGCGATGCCATAGGCAACAACCTCTGCAGCAGTAAATGGTTAATTAATACTTTGATGTCTCTTTATAAGGTAAATCTTTACAAGAGCTATATTATATTTATAACAGTTAGTTGTGCGAGTTTTAAATATGTTTGATTAAATTTTTTAATTTCTTATCGATATCCTCTAAATTTAAACTATGATCTATCCATATTTTTTGTTAGATTCGTAATACTTTAAAATTAAAAGTGATACTGATGTGTCATAACTCATTTCAGATACATGAAAATGGTTGGACAGAAGATCTAGAAAATCAGCTATGTATTTTGTGGGATCTGAGTATGGAAGAAGAAGTAGTATCGTATCTCATGTCCCATGATTTTCCAAAAATAGCAAAGAACATATTGGAGAATTATGATCAACCACGATTTATTGTATGACACATTTATTTATTTTTATAGTTTATTTTATGTCTTTATTATATTTGATTGTTGTAAAGAAATTCTATTTTAGGAAGCAGAAAATTTTAATCATTGTATTTTAATATTGAAAAAAAATATGTTTTTAGGAAATAATTTTAGGTATTATTGGCAATATATGCTGCAACAATGAAGCAATTGATACGATAGGTTCTGATAAAGATCTTGTTACACAAATTCTGAATCGCTTGACATCTGATGACACACTAATATTAATTCAACTTCTCAGAATTTTACAATCAGTTACATGGAACATCCGGGAGAACCCTCAATCAAATTGGGTGACTCACTTCACAGAATGCGAATTTTTTGGAGATACTATAATTTTCATGTTAAATAATTCTATTAATGGTATGCTAACATACTGTAATGTTTTATAGGAGAATTGCTTTATACAATTGGATAATCTATGAAATTTTCATTGCAGATGACTTATTGATGGCAGCAACACATTTCCTCGAGTCTATATCTCATACAAATTTGCCACACAAAGACAGTTTTTTGAAAGAATTGTTCAAGATAGATGATTTGATTCGTGCACTGTTAGAATCTTTCATGCAAGTTATATCAGCGGAAAAACTCAGTTATTCCAAGACAGAAATTATGTTTATTGAACATTGGTTGGAAGTATTAATCGTCATAATAGAACTGGGTTCACTCAAATTTGAGGATTTAGAAAATGACAAAAATTTTTCAAAACTAATGGACATTATATATAGGATATTAAAACCATACAAAGAATCGCATAATTTATTTCCAATTAAGGAATTAAATGCTAACGTGATTAACGAAACTATGCGTGTATTGTTAAGTTTTCATAGCTGTGATGTAAATATCTCACCAAAAATAGATTATATCGTAGCGACTATAACTTTTCATCTTAAAATAGGTACGTAATTTTATCTTGTGTTATAATATGTACACAGTAATATTTTTTATCTACTGATACACATTTGTACATACATTCTAGATTCAGATGCAGAAAAAGAAGAGCTAGATCCAGAAAATTTAATGAGTACACTTTTACATAGTCTAAATCAATACTGGTTCCACATCATTGGACTTTGTTCCAACAATTATATTGCAGAAGTATTTCATCAATGTAAACACGAAGTTCGTGATTATTTAATAAATCTTGTGCAATCTAATTCTAAAGTGGCGCCTGAAGTACTTGAAAAAGTGAAAAAAGCTGCTGCTACTTGTGAAGAATCGTGAAAGATTTCTAATATATAATTAAATCAGAAAGTAAATTGTCACTATTTTTGTATAAATAATTTATCAGGTTTAATTTTATAAAAATCGGATTATAAACAAATTATATATAGATAATAGCTGTATATGACAAAGTGAATAATGTATCTAGATAAATGTAGAATCAATGATGAATGATGATCTTTATTATTTTTATTTTTTAATTATTATTATTAATTTTATTTATAAAACTATCAAGTTATGTAGCAAATTTACATAATTTGAATATAACATTAAAAAAATTTTTATATATTATATAAAGCCTTAGAAACCAGAGAAAGATATAAAACTTGTGAATTAAACCTGTAAAATAAACACAATTGAGTTTTTATTTTGCTATATATATAAAATATCTTTTCCAATCTATCTCTATTATTTTTCTTTCCTTGTTTTATTGTTTTAATTGAATATCTATCAAATTTCTCTACTCTTAATAATTTCTTATTTTCTATGATTAAATTCCCGTGAATTAATTTTTTTTTCCCGCGTTCTTGTATTTCAAATTTACTTGACATCGCATGCGCAGAATATTTTGACTCTGCGCATGCGTCACAAAAGAATAGTTGGGAAAAGTTTGCCGGTATGTATGTGTAGGTTGAAACAGAAGATTTCAATTGTTTTTCTTATTGTTAGATGTATGAAATATCAATCAAGAGTCGAAAAAAACGCATCTCTTCGAAATGACTTTATCAAAGGACGCGTAAGGTATTTCGTAAGATATGATACTTTTTTTTTCTCCCTTCGATCGCGAATTTTTATATCTGCGCAGAAAAATCCCATACATCGCAGTTGTTACATTGCAGCAATATTGCAGCAATGTAACAACAATGGTCTGCTGTATGAAATTCGAGATTGACAGGATCACAATAAAGACAATTAATTCGCGATAAAATACGAAAATAAAACGAGTCTTTTGACAGAAAAAAAAGACTCGCAAGGTTAAGATTCTGTTCAATCTTCGAGAGCAACAGGTTCTTTTGTTCCTTAGCCTTTTGTTCCTTTTCTCATTCTTTTTTTTCTCGCTTTTATGCATCCTGGATGCAGAGATACGTTTCCTGCGAAGAGCAATTTCGTACAAATTTTTCTTATGTAACGAAGTTATCTTTGACGTCAAAATTGTATCTGGATTCGCGGAAAAAGCGCATCGAATTATTTCAGGGAAAAAAGACGCGAAAGAGCGTCGATGACAGATGTCAAAACCAGCTGATCTCTCTCGGAAACGAACTCGCGCGATGATTCCCGCCCCCAGATAAGCGACAGACACGAGAATCGCGGTGAATGGTGAATGTAAACAGACGACTTGAGAAGTCGTACCCTCCCTCGTCTCCCTCTTCCTTCACCCGACACGGGGTAGTCTAGTCTCTCGTCCGGGCTTTTCAGTAATTCAATATCGGTCACGAATATGTCGGGTTCGAGGTGCTCGAAGGTGTCGTTATCGTGATAAGCGTGATCTATCATTGAAATATAATCATTCTGGATCCGCGAATCCCTCCCCCTTTTCAGTTTCTTCTCCCGAATGTTTTTCTTGGAATTCCGTTTAACGTTTCTCCGCATTCATCATGTCTGCGATTGAACTGGAGAATGGTAAGTCAATCAAATTGTCATATCATCATTTGATCGAATTTTTCAAGGACCAAGAGCGACTTATCTCGCGAGGATCGAGAGAGATCGCTTTCCGAACAATTCGCCGATTAGATACTTAAATTTTGGTACACGGGGTATATTTTCGATTTATTAAATTTCTAATATTATTTTATAAATTTCTAATATTTATTTAATTTCTAATTCTAATATTTCTAAAATTTCTTCTATAAATTTATTAGATTCTCGTTTAATTAAAAAAAAATTTTTAATAAATTTCTTTTACGTTCGACCACTTTCAATTGACATTTAAATGTCCAATGGCATCGGTATCTTTTAACTGCTCCGAGATGATTCGAGTCTCTCTCTTGTGGTTACTCGAAAAAAAAATTGATCACGAATTAATTAGTTGATAAAAATGATTTTTTTTCTTTTTTTCTCTTTCAGTTTTGCAGCAGATATTCATGGAATGCGACGCATCCTTGTCAATTTCGACGCCGGAATCGACGATGTCTATAGGTGACGAGGTGCCGATCTCCAAGATCGTCCAATACGTTCAGGAGCAATTGCCGACCTGGTCGTGAGTGTCCCCGCCGAACAATGTTATCTCCTTTTTTTATTCGTACACGCCACGTGAAACAGACACGTCATTCGTCAATGTTGATACACGATCAAACGTGAGACGTGAGAGATAGAAAGAGAGGGCAGTCGAGAACTTGAAACAAATTATATCGTGTGTATGCTCGCCGATCGATACAAGGACAAACGCGATCGACGACTTAGCGCAAAGTTTTCAGCGTGATATATAGATTTTACACATGTATTTTTGCAAAATGAATATTTGGAACTTTTGTGTATATTCCTCTCATATATTTAATAATAAGTAAATAATTAATATATATAAATATATTAGGATAACTAGTAGACATAAATATATTAAATAATTAATAAATATAATATCAGCTAATTAATCCAATCCAATATTTATTATATTTAATGTTGGAATAATTAATTGTATTATATTTCTATTTATTAATATCCAATATTATATTTCTACTTACTAATTTTGAATTAATTGGATTAATTTAATTAATAATATTTATTATATTTATTAATGTTGGAATAATTAATTGTATTAATCTAATCGGAATAATTAATCGGAGTAATTATATTTCTATTATATTTCTATTAATTTTGAATTAATTGGATTAATTTAATTAATAATATTTATTAATATTTATTTATTTATATTTATTAATTTTAGATTAATTAATTGAAATAATCCAAATTAATCTAAAATTAATAAATATAAATATAATAAATATTAATTAAATTCAATTAATAAATATAAATATAAATAATATAAATGATTATATTAATTAATCTAAGCAAATAATATTTGTTTGTATTTAGATTATCTTGTATTAATCAGTATAATCTTAATAATCGATAGAATCGACGATCTGGCAGAGTTTTGGAAATGTCTGACCGCCGTTTCGTCGAACGATCGCGTGAACTTGTGGCAATTCAAGGAGGCGACCAAGTGCTGGATTACCAAGATGCAACAGATACATTCTTCGCAGGACGATAATAACAACGCGCGGGAAAAACTCTAGTAAGTAAGAAATGCAGCTCTATTTAGACAAATGAGAAATGCACGCATGCATGGTATATAATAATATACGATGAAATAGACTAGAGTTTATTGTTGCTCGCGGCAATCGCCGTGCGATTTTGCGATTGCAGTCGTAACGCAAATTACAGGAAACGCAGAATTATTATCGGCTGTACATAGATACTGATACTCTGGACTCGGAGATTTTTCTTATAGGAGGAGAAAAAAACCGATGCGCTTTTCAATGGAAGCGGAATAGTTCGCACTTGAGGTCTCTACAAAGAAAAGCTTGAATCGAATTGCGCCGTAAATTTTAAGACACCATATTGCATGGAAAATGTAAGCGTAGAATTCACTGAACCGTAAACACGATATATATGGAATGCCGAGCGAGAAAAGAGCAACGGGCGACGATGTGTGTCTAGATAAATGGAGTAAACACTAACTGAATTAACGTTTCATTCGCGAAAAGTATTATATTTCTATTCATTAATTTTGAATTAATTGGATTAATTTAATTAATAATATTTATTATATTTATATTTATTAATTTTATTTATTATTTATTATTATTATTTATTTATTAATTATTATTAGCGAATGTTATTTAGCTATTTTCAATCGAAGCCATTTCAAAGAAGCAAACAAGTCTATATCGACTCGACTTTATTTCATTAGTAGTTTATTAGACATATATGAAAATATGGATTTGTAATTATTTGTGACTCTCGCATCGCGAGGGAAAGTCGAGTAAACTGGCGATGTATTTCGACATTATGGCATCTTTCGGATTATTTCTGGAGGACCGGTCGTAAAACGTTGCGTTCCACAGACGATAATAATTTTTTCTCGCCCATTCAATACGACACGACTTTATCGTGGCTTTATACTCGATAAGCAATTCGGCTGCTTTAATCGTGCGGTACCACTTTGAGTCTACTTGGCTTGGGACAATATTATACACCTTTATTCAGAGACATTGAAAAATTATTCACGGTTCTACGAGCACACGATATGTGCAAACAAACGCGCACACATGTGTACATGTATATCTGCACAGATAGACACTTGTATATGTAAATATTCTCAAGCAAGCATCGAGCCAGTCTACTTTCTGTGCTCTTTACCTCGATGCGTATAGCACGAGCTACGTGTATGGCTCGTTAAATTTGCAAAAGTAACCTTGTTTGAAGAAACCGATAAGAGATCATAGGGATGGATTCGAGGCTTATGCGATTCCGTCGATTATTTGATTTTAATCTCGTTTTGCTGAGTTTCGCAAAAACATCTGTTCTTTGATTTTTATCGAATCAAATTTTATAATTGATTAAACACTTATCCAAATGTACACATGCGTTTTTCTACACAATAACAAGTAATATATATATATTTCAAAAGCTTCGGGAAAATTCTTGTAAAGGAAAAGTTGTTCAAACTTGAAGAATCAAGCATAGTTTAAAGAAAAAATGCGTTTAGTGAGAAGCATTTGATATATTGATGTAAATATAGTAAGAATGGCTGGAAGAAAATATAGGAAGAAGGGATGGAGAATTTATTGGAAAACATAAAGAATAAAAAATTTGATATTTTTAGATAATCGTTAATTTTAAACAAAATTAATAAATAATTGGGGCGCAAGAAAAACATTTTTTTCCCTTTTTTATTATATTCAAAAATATTCTCAATTTCGTTAAAATATATTCTCTAAAAATACTTATACTTTAATGAAATTTAATATCTTTAAATGTATTGATAAAAAAAGTTTCGTTTGACCTGAACTTTAATTATTGCGCCTCGGTTCTTATTTGCCAATTTTGTCACTTATGTTAATAATTGTTATTACTTTGAGCTTATTTTTTATTTTTATTTTTAAATTATAAGAGAATATAATTCGACCATATATTCTTCTATTTTTATTTATTAATTCTATCCGACATATTCTTTTATTTTTATTATTTAATTCAATCTTTTTTTCAATAGAAAACACATCTCCTTCTTATTGTATTGCACCTTGGGATTACTCGTTAACGTTACGCCTGTATGTTCACTTATATATGTGGATGTGTGTGTGTGTGTACAAACACTGCTGATCGCTCGCATACATGTCATTAAGTCTCGTGAATTATTCGCGGTCGCGATAAGCTATACAACTGCGATTGTTAACTGGTAAAAAGTATGTGCGCTAAAATCTCTTCTCTTTTCGTAAAATTCTAAGAGAATTTCTGCGAAATCGACACGCGTAGCTGAGTGTTGAGTTTTCACGTGTTTTCATCACAAGTGTTTTTAACGCACACGTGCAATTGCGTCCTCTGATGATCAAATTATTCCGATTATGAGCGATTCGGCCGCCGGTTTTTCATCGTCGATCACCGGTACATAAGCGTGTGTTTCTCGGGTGACATATGACGCGTGGCTATTGTGTCTACCAACTGGAAATCAGAAGCACGATATCTCTTATGCAATTCGCGCGTGATGGTTTAGTCGCTCGCGATCGTATCTGGTGAAAAAAAATCTATATTTCGACTATATTTCGACCGATTTATTTTTGAAATTACATACTGTGTAATGTCTCTTATACAATCACTCGGAGATTCTCTCGTTGCGAGCCGTGAAATTTTTTGATTATTATCGCTAAAGAGGCAGACATAAATTCTCTTAGTAATAAAGTGAAGCCTTCAGTGTATCGAGGCTGCTTATGATAATAATAGTGTCTCGAGATTCTGCATCACGACTTGATTATGATTTGTGATCGATATAAGAAGTAAGTGAGGGGTTTGGGGTTTATATCGAGATTATATTAATATGGAGCTGAAATATGAATAATTAAAAGATTTATTAAAGGACTTTATTAAGTAATATATACATTTACAGTATTTTTTCTTTTATTTATTGAATTAGAATTAAGGGGACACAGGGTGGAAAAATTGTTTTACATTTAAAGTTTAAATTAATTCAATAAAAAAATCAGAGATAGTCTGAAATTCATAAGAGGTTGAATTAATTATGTATTGCCTTACAATTTCTTTGCAAAATTTTTAGTTTCTGAGATCATCTTGGCATTCCTCCTTAAGTATATAAAAAATATTCTTTACATAATGAACTATAATTTAATTATAATTTAATTACAAATTGTTGAAATTAATATTTCAATTTTCTTGATACGCATTTTAAGTACATATATTATGTACAATACGTAAGAAAATGAATGTAAAATCGCATCTCTAGCATTGTAATTACTGTGATGCACAAAAAAACAGTTATTACTAAAATCATTTAGTAATAACTGTTTTTTTGTGCATCACAGTAATTACAATGCTAGTGAGATGACGTGTGCAAATTGTTGCAGCTTCATGAGCGACACAGATTCATCGATGAAAGACATGGACATAAATAGAGACATCGTGGAATTGGGACTCCGCGTAAAACTTCGGGAACTTCACGAGGAGAACATCCTCCTTCGCGATGAGCTCGAACGGCATGAGACGTCAATCGACAATCTCAAACAGCAATGTAACATTGCTGAGAGGCAACTGTACGTATGTCCCTTATACTTGAGATACTTGTAAACTGAACTCGCAGATAAATCCCCGAAATCAATATACAGAGTGTTTCAGACCACCCGTATCACCCATTTAAAAACTTATTTCAAAAAAGTAAAAACATTTTCTTTATAAATCAGGTGCGCTCTATCGAATGGTGATATTTTCAACTTCTGGTTCCGACCGGAAATAGGCGATTCAGACCAGAAGTGCATTTTTTTAAATGGAATCCCCTATTTCTCTTTGTATATTCTTGTAGCTTACCTCGAGAGCTTTTCAAAACACTATAATAAATTATTTTTTCATGAAGTAATTTTCGAGTTATGAGACTTGAAATCATTTCTTAATTTTACATAAACCATAAAATGTCTTGCAAAATATTTATTTTTCGATTATCTTACTTTAATACTTTTATGTACAAAATAATGAGAGAAATCAATTGATGTAAAGAAAACACATAGTTGTTTCTAAGAAAAAATATGTAATTTGCAATTAACAATTCTATATTTTTTCTTAAAAACTAATGTATATTTTCTTTACACCAATTGATTCCTCTTATTATTTTGTACGTAAAAGTATTAAGGTAAGATAATGTGAAATGAATATTTTACAAGATATTTTATGGTTTATGTAAAATTAAGAAATGATTTCAAGCCTTCTAACTCGAAAAGTACTTCATGGAAAAATAATTTATTATAGTGTTTTGTAAAGCTCTCGAGGTAAGCTACAAGAATATGTAATGAAAAATAGGGGGTTTTATTTTAAAAAATGCATTTCCGGTCTGAATCGCCTATTTCCGGCCGGAAGCAGAAGTTGAAAGTATCATCATTCGATAGAGCGCACCTGATTTATAAAGAAAATGTTTTTACTTTTTTGAAATAACCACTTCTCTAGTTTTTAAATGAGTGGTACAGGTGGTCTGAAACACCCTGTATATCTAAACTTTTAAAATTGCCCGCTTTATCGATGTAGAGATCGTTACGTTCAGAAATGCCAGCAACTCGAAAGAGAGAACGACGAGCAGAGAGATCAATTAAATGAGGCAATTAAGAACGGAAAGGCTACGGCCTTGACTCTTCAAAGATGCACGAAAGAGCAGCAAAATTTGTCGAGGCAATTGGAAGCCGCAGAGATTGAGGTAAAATTGATGGCGATTTTTTATTCGGCAATCTGGAAAGATTTATGATTTCCGCTGCACAGAGATTCACATATTGCAACGATACAGAGATATTAAATTTTCCCGCATTTCTTATAATATCAAATTCATAATTAATATCCCAAAATAAATTCGCGTTTTCTTTATCATAAAATACTCTATACGTTGAAGTATTGAACTGTCCATTTTTGTATAAAAAATAGGTACAAACTATACCATCTTTAAAATGTAAAGTGGAAAAAATCAGCAAAGAGAAAATTGACTTTATGAAACAAATCGCTAAATTGCAAGAGAAATTTGATGAGACAGAAGATGAGTGTAAACAATTAAAAGTCACAATAGCTGAAATGGAGGAAATAAATATCAAGATGAGAGAGAGCTACGATCAGACGATTCATGTAAGTTTAAAAAAAAACAACATTACGATATTATACATCGTATGCAATGTATTGCGTAAATAATAATGCTACAGCGAAAAATGTATATTGTAGAGTCTGCGCGAAAAAAACTGTCAACTTACGGAGGAGAACACGGAACTGCAATCGTTGTCGGTTATTAATAGACATTCTTCCGGAGAAAGAGTAAAATATTAATTAATGTATCATAGAAATAAAAATGACTTTTCCCACAATATATAATTTCTTTACAGCTTTCGTTATCGACAATTCCTGATATAGACGGATGTTACACACACAGCACACCTTATAAATCAGGAAAGATATTGCTGCAAGATTCATTATACGCGGAATTGAAAGCTTCAGTAAGCTAAGAGAAATATTTATTTGAATTAAATATTGTTTTAACGCTCAATAAATTCCTATAATTTTATTATTCCTATAATTTTATTATTTATATAAAGTACGAAAGTTTTAATAAAATCGTTAGATATTATTTGTTTTGTTTCAATAATTTTTCTGTATTTTATATATCTCAGGGTTTTGTGACTGAATGCAGCAAATATGACTCATGTAGACAAGAATTGGATGAATATGACACTGCGATTTCGACGACATTGGAAGAGCTGGATAAGTTTGTGTCTTTAATTAATTTGTATTTTTTCTATATTAATCATTTTTTTTTAAATTACAGTTTCATCATTTGTGTCGCGTTCGCGATTGATTTTCAGAGTTGTACAAATTTTTGGTAAAACGCGGAGCTTTATCGACGATGTATCCAAGTCCAGCTCGCAAGACATGAACGCGGCAACTTGGAATATCGAGGCATTGAAACACAAAGTGACTTTCTTACAGAATATGGTTAGTTTTATTTCGGGTTTTTTCCTCTCATCGCAAGTGTCACTACGATTTGAATGATAAGCGATCGCCTTGACACAAGCGCCATGCAATCTTTTATCATCGGATATCGGCGTTCGTGGCAAATATCTCAACATTTTCATGACAAAGCCACGATTTCACATTCTCTCTTTTCTTATCCACGTAAAATAAATCATTTTTTTGTAGGCAAACGAAGAGGTCACGAGGAAGAGCACCAAGGATTCGAGCACGCAGCTTCGAGCCGATCCAGTGATTGGATCGAGCGACGATTTGGATCAATTTGGCGTCACGGGTTTCCGAGATTTATTGCTGACACGCGCGTAAGTTGACAGAAACAATGACGTAAAACAGTCAGTCGATTAATTCAATCCCAGAGGAAAGAGGTGGTTTTGTATCGAATAATTTGATTTTACGTAAACAAGAGTGGGAAACCTTGCGCGTTGAATCGTCCAGATTTTTATGAAAGGCCATCCGCTGTGTTTTATCGGCGTCACACGTATCTTAAAAGCGATACACAGGAAAGATATCACCCCGACTTACAAAGCAGATGACCATTCGACTCGCATCTCGATCTGGATCAAGGTCGGGCATAGGCGGGCGGGTTTCCCATAAAAATAGCAGTTATCGTGCCCGCTGCATATATGACAGCGCCCTCGAATGGGACACTCCATGTAAAAATAACTTCGGAATCTCGTCTTAAATCACCATTTTCAATCCGCTCTCGCTTCATTGCACTTCGATAAAAATGCCTATTCACCTAATTTGCGTTCAGAGAACATTCTTGCTTTTTTTCAGTCTCGTAATTTATAAATTTAAATAATTAAATTAATTTAATAATTAATTCAATTAAGTATTAAATTAATTATTAAATTATTATTTATTTAATTAATTAATTTAATAATTTAATAATTAATTTAATTAATTTAAAATTAATCTAATAATTAATTTAATAAATTTAAAATTAATCTAATAATTAATTTAATCAATTTAATAATTAATTTAATAATTAATTTAATTTAAAAGCGTTGCATTCAAAGATGCCAGAATTTATTTTCTTGAAACGCATCCCTTTCGTTCGAAAAATGTTACGACGATATTAAGACACAGAGAGAGATACATTCTTTTCTTTATGTTAGAGCAGATGAAATCGTATAGACATGGTTTGAAAAAAAAATTACCATAAATTACAATTGATCTTTTTTGTGCAAGGGAAAAATATTCACAAGATGACAATGGATTATAATATTATAATTGAAATGTGGATATTTCGGACATGAATATCATTCTTCGATATTTATTTTTTCTTTTCACTGACAATCTTACGTAAAAAGACCTAACAATATTAAAGTAATGATTTATAAAAAACGCATTGTATTCCTTTATATATACATATTTTTTTACGCGAATGATTATCGCAGTTGCATCTCTCAAAATGCGTTTCCATGATCACCTCGTGTGATTGTGCGTTGCACGAAAACACGATGGTACGAGAAAGAGCTCAGCGCGAGGAACTCCTTTCGGATGCAGTCAGTTCATTCCGGACCTTCTCATCGCGCGTGTCGAAAGCTGACGCAGCAAACAGTAGTCCTAAAAATCCCATCTCCGACATCGCAGAGTGGTTTGTTTATTTTTGTCCAAGAAATTATTTTTCTTATCACGGTGAAAATTCTTCTCGCGGGATGACATTAATTTTATTGGTCATCGGCGAGTTTCTTAGGCAATTAATCTTAAAATCAGAGTCGATACGGTTAATCGTTAATAGAAAATTCTAAAAGAATTCTTCGTATCAAGATAAATTCCCTCGGAATTATAAAAACTGTTCCAGTTAATTTGCGCATTATTTCGATTAATGAAATAATTAAAAAAATTATGTAGAAACACACATGTACCTTCTGAATAATAGGACACAGATATATAGGTAGCGTTGATGTACATAATTGCCGGCATTAACCGTAGCAAGGACAGTTTGATTATTCGCTTTAACGGCACGATCATCGCGTTAAATCAATGCATACACGCGATGCAGTTTTAATTAGTCGTAATCCGCACAAATTGTTTATATCATCGAGATTGACCTTATTAACAAACAGACGTGGACGAAGCGCAGAATTTATGAAGATTTTACGTCATTTTAAGAAGATTTTTATTTCATTAAATGAGACAGTTTTTATTTTAATTATGTAGAAACAGCCTCTTTGTTTCCCATAATTGTTCTATGCATTAGACATTTATAACTATCTTTTTTTTTTCATATCATAAATTGAAATAACAATTCTTCCTGCATATCCCTTTGGCTCGATTTACTTGAACAATTGAGGCTTCAAAATGATTAAAATTTTAATTTGTGATGTTTAAAGAATCAAATAGTCAACATTCTGTGCAAAATTCTGATTCTATTATATTAATAGAGCCAGTTATCCAAAGCATTGATTGTACAAGTTACATTAATTCTATTAGACTTTTCCATATTTTTTGTTTAACTTGAATAATTATTATTTTAGCCAGCCGTATACAAAGACTGAAACGGATCTGCGCCTTATAACTTTATGTAACCTCGTGAACAACGATGATCATGATGATTCATTCTCGAGAGTCATAAAAACATGCAACACGGGCACTCAAAATCGACTCCGTATCATTGAACCTATCATCGAAGAGCTATACGACATCATCGAGAGCACTCATAAAGCTCTTATCAATCACAGAAATCATTCACCGTCCGGGAACTCAAGGTCTAGTTGCGTACAATCTTATAGAATATCTAACTACTGCTTCGATAAATTCATTTGTCGCGAGATTTCACTATCAAAAGATAGGAAAGAACATGGAAAAAGCGTTGAACACTTGTGTCGAATGAACCATACAATATCTTTTCACAAACAAGTTTTTTGTTCATGGTAATCACGAGTTGCTGTGCAATTCAAGTCAATTATTTCACTGTTAATAGGTATCGATCGGTGCACACGTTGCCCTCGCACTCTCCGCAACCATCTTCGCCGAAAGAGCAGCGGACATTCAGCTGTCAAAGTTCAATCATAGACTTCCCCGATGTTTCCCTCGCGCGGGGGGACTTTTGTTTGAAGCGGGAAGACCACGACGGGAAATCATCCCCTACAGAACCGCACGATGTTTCCGGAAAAGGAAACCTGACCCCGAAAGAATCGAACATCCTGCAAATGGATTCGACGACATTAGCAACGACATCAGGGGAGGAAAAGACGAGCGCCAAGATTGTCGAAGAAGCAACCAGCGCGAGCAACTCACCAAGTCCCCGTAGGAAAATTTCGGTCTACTGTCGATCCTTCAACGTGGTGACGGTGCAGGACGCGTGCGAGGATCCTCAAGGATCCAATAGAGAAGTCAGACGATCGCCGAGTAATCTTGGCGAGTCTTCCGCGCGAATCGACGAGAGGCTCGTTCCAGAGAAGGATCAAAATAGCACGTCTAAGTATCCATTCGATCACAATTATCGGAACACGAAGAACGACAGCGATTCGTCGAACGGCTCGACGCCGCAGAAGCAATTCCAGGACAGTCCATTGGAAGACGAATTGCCGATCGAACAGCCGGTACTTAGAAGAGTCTGCTTAGCGCCTACGCGTTTGAAACTTCCGCAAAGAATTAACAAATTAAACGATACCGCTTGTGTCCCCGACTCCACCGAACCGAATGTTTCCAATTCTTCCCTGTCTTCTGTCGCTGACGATGAATGCGACGAAGACGACAATGCTTTGCGCTCGTCTGCGACGTTCATCATAGACAAGTGCGAAACGGAAATACAGGATGGATTAGGTGAATCGAAATCGTGTTCGGGGAATTTTCCTCGGGAACGTTCTACATCAGCTCGTCGCTTATTTCCATGTAATCACACCGGTGAGTTTTTCAATCTCGCTCTTGACGGATGATTGATGTCAATTAAGTTAATTAAAATACATAGCATCTGCGTTACATTATGCTTATAAATAATATGCAAAACGAGAAAAATGTATCGAGCATATATCCTGCACAGAGGAAAATATATACTGTATTCAAGTAAATATTATTTATTTTAAGTATCGTAAGTTTGTATATCCGCAAATATATTATAAGTTCATCACAAGTATTAAATTTAATTAAATATATAATATTAAATTTAATATGAAATAATATAAAAATATAATATAAAATATATTTAATATATTTAATATATAAAATATTATATTTAATATAACTATATTAAATATAATTATATACTATATTAAATATAATACTATATTTAATATATAATACTATATTTAATATAAAATAATATAAAATACTGCACTTACTAAAATTCAGAATATATTAAATTTAATATTTAACATAAAAATTAAATATTAAATTTAATATATTCTGAATTTTAATAAGTGTAGTATTTTAGTCAAGAATATTAAATTAAAACAAAAATTTGGCTTGCTTACTACATGAATTGGCATAAAGTAAGTTTGATTTTTCTTTGATACAACTTTATAATATTCTTGAAGAGAAAATCATTTCTCCTTTTGAGTACATGATAATGAGATTTTCTAACACTTGTGATGTAATTGTGAGTATAATTTAAGACTATTATCAAGAATATATTCTTTATTAAAGAAAACTATTATTTAAAAAAAGAAAAATAAATTGAGTAATCGCTTTTCTTGATAGTAGAATGATATTTTTCTCTGTGTTGTGGATAGATCAAGGTGCAATGCTGGAAATCGCGCGAGTAGCTCATTACATCCGCCTTGAGATGAGACATCCTGTAGATTTCTCTCAAGTTGTTTCGCTTTATCAATTTCTCCATTTTATTTTCTCCCGCAGATTCAAGGAAAATCGTGGATTCAGAGAATCCCCACTCTCAGGCGAGCGTGCAAAGAGTCGAGAGTGAATCGCGAATCGCGCGGTCAGTCGATGGCCAAATGTCGAGTCGCGAGGATAGTTCGGACAGCGAGTGCGAGCCGGCAACGAAGTCGACTGATCGAGGCATTGCTGAGAAAATCGATACAGCCGCCAGTGCCGTGTCGTCCACATCGTCCAACGATCTGGCCTCCGCGGCGATAGTTTCTTGCAAGAGCGAGGTGCAGGAGAAGACAAAGACATGCGACAGGAACCTGTTGAACGCGAAGCAGGAAAAACGACAGGTTGGTGTCACGCGAGAAGTAAAGAAGTAATATCTCAAAAAATGAGATATTAAGATTTCCATCAGTTAATAATATTGTAATAGCTCCTGCTAGAACAGGAAGGAATAGAAGAATAAGGATAGATCAAACTAAAAGGGGGATTTTATCTAAGGAAATATTAGAATTATATATATTTAAAATTGTTGAAATAAAATTGATTGCACCAAGGATGAAAGATATACCAGCAATATGAAGAGAAAAAATAGTTAAATTTAAATATAATTTCAGTTAAATTTCTTCACTTGATTTAGCGTCATTTTAGCGAAGAAATGAAACATTGAGTTCTTTCTCTCTTCTCGCTTCTTCCCTTAGGACAACCTACACTGAATAAAGAGAAAGTTAAGAAGTCTGTAGTATCAGATTGAATTAAATGATGGAGTAGCATGTTTGACACGTGTTGTTCGAGCACCAATTGACATTAATTACTCATAGGAAACGTCATAATTATCCGACATGCGGTCGCCATATCTATTACTACAACCCGCTATCGCTCGAGTCGTCTTACATTCCGCTAATTAACATGCGCGACTTGTAGTATTTTGCGGTAGATTTTATATAAACTTGAAACGCACATATTTTATATCACTTTAATATTCCATTATCTCTTTTATTATATAAGAGATTCGCTTCAATTGTTTTTCCACGTATCTAGAAACAAAGAATAGCTTGGAAGGAGAAAGATTGTATATAATTATCCTTTTTTATTTCTTATAATGTAATGTATCATTTATTAAAAAATCTTTCGTGAGAATGCAGATTTTATAATAATTCATAATAATTATTCATAGATTATAAGACTGTATCCAATAATCTGGAATTATAAAAATAAGGTAAACAGTTTTATCTTGAGATGTTACATGAAAATAATATCTTTTTTTTTGCTTTATATCTACGTTTATATGCTGCATAATTGCAAATCAGCAAGTTCTAGCGCAATATCTAAAGAAAACTCATGTGTTTTGTTTCAGCTCGTTTTAGCGACACGCTAATCAACTCGTCATCAAACATCACGCCTATCGCAATTTATCGGATCTCCGCTAATAAATCCCTTCTCTATCGCAGATATAGAGACGGTGTACTCGATCATTTATCACGAAAATGATGCTGCAGCGATCATTTGCATTTAATCTGCGTTTATCTCGCAATTGCTGTCATAATATACTACTTCATGAAATCGAAATATCATTCTGCGAAATCCGCCAATGGCATGAAACAAATGATTAATGTACATTATTATCCGACTCGGTTGTACTGACTTTTATTGACATAGTTGGCTAGATTAATTGTGAACACATAATGGTTATTTGCGAGTTTTTATAAGTTTCTTATATGTCCTTATACTTGGCGACGATTTTCACACGATCGAGCCAAGCTTCTTTTCATCATTACTGGGCTAAATTAATCGATAATCGCCTTGCTTGTACACGCATTTATTTATGCTTTTATCATCAAATCAAGAGGAAAATTACAATATCATTAAATCAGTTAATTATCTTGTTTAATAATGAAATTTTTTAAATAACGATCAACTGTCAGTTTCGCAGATGACACGATCTAAATTAGAACATTTACGGAAATTCATCATATTCAGGGAATAATAATCTTCCCACACATTTCTTACAGTGAAATATAAATTTAATTTTCTCAAGATTCCACCGGGATATCATGGAATTATAAATATTATATTAAAGTGCGATAGCATCACAACGCACGTGCCTCGTCTATATCCGGCGATCTACCTCGTTTGATATGAGAAATAATATTTGCCTTAGAGGTGCCACGTAAATATTCGACCGATATTAATGGAAAAGCGAAGAGAGAGAGAAAGAGAGAAAGAGAAGATCGCCGAAAATCTCTATGTGTTCTTTCAATGACATATTTATCGATGATTGATTAATCACTCACGAAGCTAAAGTGTAATGATAATCATCGTCCTCTGTAATTCAGTCACGTGGAAAATTTCTGCTTTCGAGCTCTCTGCGAATCTCGAGCTCGAGTAATTATTTATTCGAGACTTGCATGCGCGATTTTCTCATACATATTCTCATCCTCCTCTCTTCTCCCAATAGTATTTGCACGAACGCGTTTGATAACGCTTGCAATCCGTAAGAACGAAGGTCATATTTCTACTGAAAAAGTGCGATCTGTACCAAATGAACTGTTCTTATCACTCTCGAGCAAGCCTAATCTTTGAGTATGTTACAGTGATCGTTAATCGACAGCGGTCGACAACTAATTTGCACAAATATACGCTTGGTATCTTTTTTTTCGTCATTAGAAAAATAGCTGTCGCGGATGGACTTTTGCCAATCTTAAATAAAATCATCATTAAATGTCTAAATTACACTTATAAATTAAATATAACATATTCTTTCTTCATTAAAATTGATAAAAGAAACATTTTTCTTGCTGTTGCAGCGGCTTTTATTCACCAGAAGGTCATTCTCGGAGAGTGAAAGTAACGGCCGATTGAGATGCCGTTGCAAGCATCAGGAAAGCGCGCCTTTGATTCCGGAAGGAGATCAGCGCAGAGTTTTTCCGAGCCTCACGGACTTTCGTCTGCAAGAATCCGGAATAGCCAATTTATCATCGGACACGGACAACAGGTGGGTAGAAATCCATCTCACATCCGGTTGTGTAATGACTTTAATTGATCGTTGAATCATTTTTCTTTCCAGGGAGAACCTCAGCGAGCTCGAATTGCAGGTAAACGATCACGAACACTAAATTACAAGATGTACACTGAGAAAAAAATTTGGTTGCATTAATTAGAATTCTCGTAGATTCAACCGGTATGTCTGTTGGAAAATGGACGAACCAAAATTCTTGTAGGAATTACCAGATGACTCTGATTAATTTCTTCCTGTGAAATTTACCAAATTTTCTGATTAATAATACTAAACTCGGCAGCACCAAGTCGTCTAAAATTTTTTCCATCTAATCTCAAAAGTCTGTTTAATATTCTGAATTCCAACAAGATTATTGGATAAATTCAATCCAGATTATTGAATAAATTATTTTAAATTCAGTTTGTTAGAAATTAAACCGATAAACAGTGATGCAAGAAGAGGATGCAGTTCAAACACACACAATCAGAGAGCTAGCGTCTTTCTGGCACTACTGCTCGTAAGAGAAAAAAATATACTTTGGATTTAATGTTAATACTAATTCTTTATATACATTTCATGACAAATATTGAATACGAGTTAAGTTAAGAAGCAAGCAAAGAAATTAATGTAACAAGAAATTTTATAGATCCAACCAGAAAATACTAACCGAATCCTTATAGTAAAATCTATATCCTTATAGTAAAATCTATTCTAGTTATAAAAAATCGAGTTTTATTATGATAACTAGAAATTCTTGTTTGATTTAACCAAAATGCCTTTAATCATATACGTCTTGTTGATACAATCAAACGATTTTTCTCAGTGTACTTTATCGAATAGAGTCAGACTGTAAAATATTGCTCTTGTTGTAGAAGAGGTACATAGTGTTTTCGCTATGCCTTTGCACAGATAGGTTGACTCTATCGCGAAGGATAGCATTGTCGGTTCGGCAGCGCGATCAATCGGAGAAAAATCTCTCCTGGGAGGTGCAGAAGATGCAGCAGGACATCCAGGCAAGCGAACGCGAGAATATCATCGTTTGTTAATTCGCTTCGTTAACATTTGTATTGAACAGAAAGCTTCAATCGTTCAGTTAAATTAAATCGCGTTAGAGTTTCGAAATTGTCCGCAAAAGATTTTTCTTAGCTAGTCCTTCCATTCTGGTTCGTTGAAGGGATTGAATTTTGCATAACGCCAGGAACTTGCGCCACTATGCACGGACAGGGAATCCGTGGAACGGGTGGAGCGGGTCAGACATCAGTTGGAGATGATTGTGCGATGTGCGCACAGGGTGTCCTGCGCGGCCGAGACTCTAGGCGCCGTTTACCAGGAGCATAGGGTTTCCCGAGCCGTTCAGGTGGCCGACAGGTACCTCCAGTTGCTGCATTCCCGATGCGAGAAGCTGATTGCCGATGTCGCTGAGACTAAGTGAGGGTCAGACTTATTAAGGTCCCTTAGCACTTGCTCATTTTGAGCTTCGAGAAACGTAATATTACTTGCCTCTTCCTGTCGTACGAATGAGAATCTCACAAACTCGTCCTCCAGTTAGTAAATAATTAAACGAATATACAGAGTGTTTCAGACTACCCGTACTACCCATTTAAAAACTAGAGAAGTGGTTATTTCAAAAAAGTAAAAAAATTTTCCTTTATAAATCGGGTGCACTCTATTGAATGGTGATATTTTCAACTTCTGGTTCCGGCCGGAAATAGGCGATTCAGACCGGAAGTGCATTTTTTAAAATGGAACCCCCTATTTTTCATTGCATATTCTTATAGCTTCTCGAGAGCTGTACAAAACATTATAATACATTATTTTTCCATGAAGTACTTTTTGAGTTATGAGGCTTGAAATCATTTCTTAATTTTACATAAACCATAAAATATCTTGTAAAATATTCATTTTTCGATTATCTTACCTTAATACTTTTATGTACAAAATAATAAGAGGAATCAATTGGTGTAAAGAAAACATACAGTTGTTTTTAAGAAAAAAATATGAAATTGTTAATTGCAAATCACATATTTTTTCTTAGAAACAACTATGTGTTTTCCTTACACTAATTGATTCCTCTCTACTTCATGGAAAAATAATTTATTATAGTGTTTTGAAAAGCTCTCGAGGTAAGCTACAAGAATATGCAATGAAAAATAGGGGGTTCCATTAAAAAAAATACACTTCCGGCCTGAATCGCCTATTTCCGGCCGGAACCAGAAGTTGAAAGTATCACCATTCGATAGAGCGCACCTGATTTATAAAGAAAATGTTTTTACTTTTTTGAAATAACCACTTCTGTAGTTTTTGAAATGAGTGGTACGGGTGGTCTGAAACACTCTGTATTTATGAAAGATTAATGTAATAGTTTTTGGTCTAAAGTCTTCTTCCTTCCTGTTTCTTAAACGATGATAAATCGATGATGGTGCACGACTCCTTCTCGTTTCCAGGCGGATCTTGGCAGAGAACAATATAGTGATAGAGGAGAACTCTGGCGAGTTTTGTGATGATCTGCCCCGGATCAGATACAGGAGCGGGACACCCGTCAATAATCGTATAATGGTTCGGAAATATTGAAAGATTCACGTTCGTTGCTTATTTCGCTACCTTTTTTTCTTGCAATGCATTTTAAAGATCGCTCGCTTTTTCATCGATATATTCTCGCACGTTCGCAGGAATTTGACGATTTCACATTCATGGCTTGCATTTTCATTCTTTTTTTTTTTTTTCTTGCACGATGTCGATTGATATGTATGTCCTTCGTCAATTTTTCTTTCTAGATGGCTAGGAGAAGAGCTAGCGTAGCCACAATGTCTCGACCGATTGGCAACACGCAGGATGTGACAAAGGCAAATTTTTCTTTTTTGTCGTCTTATCGTTTGCCCTTGAATTTTTTTTTTTTTTCGCTTTCACAGCTTGGTATCTCCAGGGGGTATCTACTAATTTGCATTACTAACACAATGATTTCTGTATATCTGTTTTTCTTTTTGTTCTATTTATATTATTTACATCTTTGCCTCGACGTAGGATACCGTAAGGCAGCGAAACTCCGTTTCCGGACGCATGACTATCAGGAGACCATCGTTCAACTCTGAATCTCCAAAGTGGGAGGTCGAGAAAATGGATCGTACCGAGTTAGTATTATTATTATTCTCTTGATCAGTTATTTTATTGATTTAAATCTCCCCAAAGAAACGTTTAACATAAACCTTTGCACATTATATCACACAGCAGTTCCAACAGCATCGGTGAATTACGTGGTATCTTCGAGCAAACGGAATCTCGTCGTAGTTCGAGAGAGGAAAATAACAACATGTTACGACTAAACCACTCTAGTAACCAAAATTTAACGAATTACGCGGTTGGCGACAACGAGATTAGGACGAATGCGAAGCAGCAAGCTTTTGAGTTTCTCGCTGATGATGAGGATGTTAATCTAGATGCTACAGCGTAGTAATTATTTTTCATTTCTCCTCTTTATTACACTTGATATGTTTCTTCTTGTATTTATTCTATCCTATAATTGAGATCTTCCGACTTGTTTTTTCAGCACAAGATCGTCGCAATCTTTCTTAAGAAGTATACCATGGCATAAGATGTTCTGGGGTATTATTATCTTCTTTCTCGGCTTTTTCGTGAATCAAATTATGGTGAACGCCTGCAACGGCCCGTTACATGGGTGGTCGATCGATCATATTCTCAGCAGATACATTTATAAGACAACAAACGCGGTGCCTCATCCGATGTAAGTTTCGCGCGATGTATGGTTTGCGTATCGGTAAAATAAGATTAAGTGTACACTGTAACATATGTCAATGATAAAAAGGCTGAATAAATTAATAAATGTAAAATTTGTTCGCCTTTTAACGAAATCGCACGAGGTGAGGTTCTTCTTTCTTCACTGTATTATAAAATATATATTGGACTTAATAGCAACGAGAAAATACGCAAATCTTTTCTTTTAACGATGTAATTAGGAGTCTTAAGAAAATTTCTTAGACAATTCGTTAAGAAAATTTCTTAGACAATAAATTCGTTAATATTTGTTTCGAGAAATTTTGTTGAGCTACTTAAACTATAATTTTGTTTTAACTACTTAAAAATTCTTATATTTAGAAAAAAGATCGCATTTATTATGAATAAAAAACTGAAAATTGATTAAACATCTAATTTAATACAAAAATATATAAATAATTTAATAAAATATAAGGGTGTAAAAATATAATGCGGATCTTTTTGATGTGTTTTTATTCTTATTTAAATATTATAATGGATCATATAGGTGCATTTATATGTATATAAAGTACTTCCTCTCTAATCTAGATTGTATGGTACATTGTTAGATATTCATATATTATGACTTACAAAAGTATCTGAAAATTTGATACAGTAGTATCTGATATATATAAAAGAGTAAATATAAGATTGAAAAACAAGTTGTACATTCAAATTAACTAATTACAATTTATATTAAAAATTAATTAAAAAATGTAATATATTCTTTGTATTTTCTTAATTAATAGTCATAATATATAAATGTACAAATTTATGATATCAAGATATATATGTCGAGATGCGACGTATATCTAGATTCGAATTATTTCTACAAAAACACCTAAGCCAATAAAAAGAAGAAATACTGAAAAGATAAAAACGAAATAACACTTCTGTGAAAAATAAAGCTATTCAAAAGATCCATCGGCCACTTTTCTCTCTGTTTAACAAGATAATCGCGTGTTTGATTATGCTTGGGAATGAATAATCAAATATAGATATACAAATATAAATACATATAATTATATATAAAATGATTAGTCGAATAATTTTTGCGTTATTTTTCGAAAAAATAAAATTGAAGAAATAACAAAAACACAAAAATTATTTTTATAATTATTTTTTCATTATTTTTTTAATTTTTTTTGTAAACAGAGAGGAAGTATATAGACACAGAAGAAAAGTAAATGTATATGGACACATTCCATATATATAAATTTTGTTTTTGAATGTTTAGATATATAGCGAATATTTGAGAAAATTGAGAGATGAGTTATAAGAATAATTAACATTAATTTTCTTTATATTGTAAATAAGAAAAATTAAAACTGCAACTTGTGAATTAGAATAGAACTTATAAATTTCGATGTTTGAAATTTTTATTTGTATTATTTTTTATTTGCTTGTCATTTTTTCCGATATTTTGGAATTAAAATTTTTTATTTAAAATCCCACGATTAAAATACTTTGAAATTTTTAAAATTTCCATTTGTACCATTTCTTTTGATTGTATTTTTATATTCTTTTTTTGGGTTTCAAAATTTTATTTTTTCGCGATTTTTGGAATTTTAATTTATGCTACTTTTTTACTAACTATATTCTGATTTTTCCAATTTTAAAAATTTAATTTTTCACAATTTCTGAAATCTTAATTTATATCAACTCTTTAAATCTCCTGATATTTACAATTGAAAATTAATAAATTCTCTTGACTTGAACTACAATGAAAAATACAATCAGTAAATAAATGATACGACTTGAAAGCACGAAAATTTAAATTCTTGAAAATTGAAAATTTATTATCGGCAAAGAGATAACACAAACTAAAAAATTTTTACTATTTCTATATTATCGATAGTTAGTAATTATTGACTGTCTATAATTATCTACTGTTGACAATTGAAGGGAGAATTTACCAATGTTGATACTAATTTTTCAATTTGAAAAAAATTAAACTTTCAACATTCGAAAAAACATCAAAAGAATAGCCAAGTAGCAAACCTGAAGGGCAGAATTAAAATTCGGTGATTATTTTATTATATCCAATAACAGATATATTCTGATTTTTCTTAGCATACATTACATTTAAGAATGAAGGCCTGATCGTGATAGAATTTTTCGAGGGATGCGTCCTCCATTTTCGGGGGAGGAATAATCGTACGTTTGTGCCTCGCGAATTTTCGCGCGATTTTCACATTTAACGGAATATTGATCTTACATTTAATATTGATATATCTTCCTTTTGGGAAAATCCGACGAACGTCTCATGCCATGGAAAAGGAGGGGAGGGGGAGCGGAAGAAGAGACGTCTTGCCGAATTTCACTCACGATTGAAAGTTTCAAGGATCAAAACACGAAATAAAAACAAATAATGGCACGCAAAAAACGTGTGATAACAGGACCCTGTGCCAATCAAAAATTGTCACGCGAAGAAAGGAATAGATCACCGATGTGTCTCCTGTCGTCCTGTCTCCTAGAGGCCTTTCGCTTCTTACTACTTGGCAAACGCGAGTCTAGGAAGAATAAAGAGCCTTTTTCGTGCTCGATAAAGTATTTTCCCGGATTAGTTTTTTTCAATCGTTTTTTTCATAAGGCCAACGATTATGCATCGCGCACTCTGGAGGATCCTAATTAATATCCTGAGTATTCACGCGTCTCTGTAATTGTTCTGTCATATTTCTTTTTATATTTATATTCGCGTGAAAATTCGCGTATTTAATATTATTGCCAATCTCGCGCATTTATATAGCTCTTAATCGTACAGAACCCGACAAATATTTCGCGAGTTCTTGCGCTCGACTTTCGTATCGAGTGAATGACTATCGACATCGATATATCACGATCTTTTAGTAAAATTCGAGTCGTAAATTTTGACTCAATAATATGTAATTGCGCTTACACCGATCACGCATTATTGTTCTCATTAATTATACAGGGTGAATCTGATAAAAAGTTTATCATATTTTCCTCCAGTTATAAATAGAGGAAGGTATCTATTTTCAAAATTGAAAGACATAAAGACACATACTAAGGACATTCAAGATTAAGGATCCTCAAAATCACTACAAGACCGCTATTAGTTTTATTTTAATTTTATTTTAATTATATATATATATATATATATATATATATATATATATATATATATATTATTCAGATTATTGATGTTACGAAAAATCCAGATCAGGAGAAGATAAATAATTTTCACACAAACGAAGTTAAGAATTTATCATCAGGACGATTTATAATATCTGGGTTTATTGATTGCCAAATACATGCAGTGCAGTTTCTGAATCTTGGATTGGCTTATGATAAGACTCTCTTAAATTGGATGGAAATCTACTAATTTATTCATTGGAGAGTAGTACTGATCGACAATTTGCAGAATAAATGTTTAAAATTGTAGTATGTAAGACAAATCTTGAACTATAATGTTGTTTAAGAACAATACTTTTATAATAATTTAAAATAATATTACAAATGTATAAAGTAATATTATAAAATAATATAGTTATGTTTGATCTAAGAAATATATTCCTATCTTTTCATTATTATTTGAATTGTTATTGCAGGAACAAATTATATACACTGGTATAACAACAGCGCATTGTTTTGTATCTCTGTACACCGGGCCATCTATGATTCTTGCGAAGATGGTTTCATAATTTTGATCAACGAGCTTACATTGGAAAAGGAAGTATGAATGCTCTGTGATAGGTACGATAAATATTACAAAATTGGAAAAAGCAATGGAGATTACCATGACCGAGACTACCTTTATAAAAGTTGGAAATATAATCACAAAAAAGTGATACGACTTGAAAACGCGAAAATTTAAACTCTCAAAAATTGAAAAATTACAATAAGAATAGGCAAAGAGATAGATTAAATTTAAAAAATTACTATTTCTATATTTTTGACTATCAGTAATTATTGACTGTTTATAATTATCGACTGTTAACGATTGAAAAAAGAAAACTTACTAATTTTAATATCAATTTTATAGTTTAAAAAAGGAAATTTAATTTTAACAATTTAAAAAAATATCAAGAGGATATAATCAGCAAACTTGAAAAGCAGAATTAAAATTTGCTAATTATTTTAATGTGTCCAATACTCGATATACTGTAACATGCGTTTTTTTGGCCATTCGTTACAAGAATGAAAGGCCCGATCATGGTAGAATTTTTCGAGGTCTGCGTCTTCCTGTTGCAGAGAAAAAACGGCCCTACGTTTGCAGCTCGCATATTTGCGATTTTCGCATTTAGCGGCGAATATTTATCTTATATTTAGTATTGCTATATTTTTCTTTAAGGAAGATACTCGAACGAATGTCGCGTGCATGGAAAAGGGGGAGGCGAAGGGAGATGTGTCTGTTGTCGAAATTTCGCTCAAGAGTTGAAAGGATCAAAACACAACATGAAAACAAATAATGGCACGTGAAGAACGCGTGATAACAGGATTCTATGCCAATCAGAATTCGCCACGCGAAGAAAGGGATAGATCACCGACGTGTTTCCTATCATCCTGTCTCCTAACGACCTTTTGCTCTTCACTATTGGGCCAACGCGAGTCCAGGAAGGATTAAGAGTCTCTTTCGTACCTCGGTACAGAATTTTCCCAGGTTGGTGAAACGATCGTTTTTCTTAAGGCCATCGATTTTGCATCGAGCTCTGGAGAATCGCGATTAATATCCTGATTCGCGTGTCTCTGTAATTGTTCTGTCATATATTTTTTTATAATTATATTCGGGTGAAAATCCGCGTTAGTATTATTGCTAATCTCGCGCATTTATATAGCTCTTAATCGTACAGGACCCGACGAATATTTCGCGAATTCTGGCGCTCAATTTTCGTATCGGATGAACGATTATCGACATCGATGTATCACGAGCTTTTAGTAAAATTCGAGCCGTAAATTTTGACCCAATAATATGTAATTGCGCTTACACCGATCACGCATTATTGTTCTCATTAATTATATAGGGTGAATCTGATAAAAAGTTTATCATATTTTCGTCCAGTTAGAAATAGAGGAAGGTACCTATTTTCAAAATTGAAAGACAAATAGGGACATATAAGGACAAAGATCAAGATCTCTCAAGATCATTACATATACCCGCTGCTAGTTTTATTTTAATTTTGAAAATAAGTACTTTACTCTATATCTAACTGTTTTCTGGAAAACTTTAAACATTATAAGATTCAATATTTAATTTAATAAATTTTTATCAGATTTATCTTGTACATGATATGTTCTCTCTTTTCTTTTTTTCTAATAAAATATATATATTGTTAATTTTTTATTGTCTTTTTATATTTTTGATGTTCTCGATCTCTTCACTTTCGTCTCGAATCATCCTTTCTATCAGTACCGAGCTAATTATTATTTATTAATTTCCGTCGCATTCACTTTTCCGTCTCTGGCTAGTATCTACATTATTTGCGTATTTTTGTGTGGTTCCTGGCGTTCAATAATCTTGTAATTGTCGCGATTATCTTTCGAGCAGATTGCGAATCGCACCAAAGATGTATCGTGTGACCCCTACACAGTTAAAAAAAATACATAATCACAATACGTTTATCGAATATTGGACATGATTTAATCCTATGTGATTTTTCCAGACTAAATTAACTGTTTTACACCGTTGCCATTTTCTATATCACCATTAATCTGTGTGGCAATAGTCACAGGCTATGATATAATACATATATCATAAATATTTCATTAAATAATTTTATTATTAAAAGACTGAAGCACTTTAGCTGAATAATTTGTGAAAAAAGACGAGTGATATTATATTTAAAGGTAATGAGAATTTTTATTTACACCAAAAATATATTACGTGTATACATTCCTTTATTTAGAAGTAAAATTATTTGCACAATTATTAATTATTATTATTAGTATTATTATTATACATAATGATAAAGTACATGATGATAATATACGAAAAATTGCGTTATTTATTAATTTATTAATTTTCCTTTTGAAAAATCAATTTTACTGTAGTCGTACTAGAAATATTATAGATACAAAGGGAAAGATTTGAAGAAATTTTAAAACTTTTACAGATGACAATGTACATGTTTTATTGTATTGTTTCAGTGGTGATTGTATATATTTCAAAAATACTGCATAATGGTTCGACAAGTTTTTATCGGTCCTATGATTCATGTAGATGACACATATAATGTAGTGGTATATAAGGATAAAATTACGATAATTGTCGTGAATGGCAAGGTATTTAACAATATTTCGTGTATTACTTTTACTATTTTTTTGCTTGATTAGTAACTTATCTAATATAGATAAAATATAGATAATATAAATAAAATAACAATACCTTCATTAACATCTGTATTATACAACATTTAGATTGCAAAGGTTACGGAAAATGCAGATCAACAGATGATAGATGATTTTCACGCAGACGAAGTTAATAATTTAAAACCAGGACAATTTCTAATACCTGGATTTATCGATTGCCACACATACCCAGCGCAGTTTCTGAATCTTGGATTGGGTTATGATAAAACTCTCTTAGATTGGCAGGAAGCCTATACTTATCCATTGGAGAAGGTGTTTATTGATCAAGACTTTTCAGAAAGAGTGTTTGATAAAGTTGTGGTATGTAAAACAAATCTTGACACATTATTTAAGAATAATACTTATATAGTAATTTAAAATAATACTATAAGTAATATATAAATAATATAAAATAATACTATAATGTGTAAAATAATGTACAAATAATATATAAGGTATATTAATATAAAATAATAATAATTATATTTTATCTAAAGTATCCTTTATTCTTTCATTATTATTTTAATTATTATTGCAGACACGAACTATGTTCTTTGGTACAACAACAGCTTGTTATTCTGCGTCTCTGTATGACGAAACATCTACACTTCTCGCGCAGAAATGTTCAGAGCTTGGTCAACGGGCTTTCATCGGAAAAATAAACATGAATGCTCGACGAGACGATGGATATTATGAAACCACGGCAACATCAATTGAAACTACTAAGCGCTTTATAAAAGCTGTCGAAGAAATAGAAGTGAATGCAAATTTATATCTTATTTCCTCTACATTATGATAAAGTTTTCTAATTATATAGATAGAAAATCTCATTAATATCACCCCGGATAGCAAGATGACGTCTCCAGACGTCTTAATGATGTACAGTGACGCCATTAAAACATTATTAAGATGTCATTTGACGTCACTCTGCTACCTGAGATGTAATCATGTAAACAAAAAATGTCATATTACTCAAAACTTCTTGTAGAATCCTCTTGTGCAACCAATTATTACACCGAGATCTGCATTGACCTGCGATATGGAATTATTGCAAAAGCTGGGAAATATTGCTAAAGATAAAGATTTACTTATACAGGTATTATATTATACTTGCGTCATATTCATCACGCTAGTATCAATTTAATGTATTTTTCATTTTGTGTAGAGTAACGTTTCTCAAGACCCAGACGAAGTAAAAGCAGTGAAACATAAATTTGGATTACCGACATACACAGATGTTTACAAAACCGCTGGTCTTCTTAGCTTGAAGGTAAGATTTAATTTTCCTTCAATCTATTATTGTAAAAGGATCGACATTATATATATTATTCTCACACACAATAGAGATATACCGATTAAATATATGTATATAATACTTAATTATTTAATCTCTTTTTACAGACAATATTAGCACATGGGACCTGTCTTGAGAAGTCTGAAGTTCACACGCTTGCGGATAAGAAAATACCTATAGTTCACTGTCCAACTTCGAATTTAAATCTGAGAAGTGGTCTTTGCAATGCGGCCGGTTTACTGGACGATAAAGTCGAGGTCTGCCTTGGAACAGGTATCGCGAGAATTTTATCTTGTAAAAATTTTATATTAATAATGACATATTTTATAATTTATAATCTTCATTATAATAACTGTACAACATAATGTTCATCATTACGTCAGTGATAAATATATATCTTCTCTCAGATATTTCAGGTGGATCAAATTACGACATATTGCATGAAATGAGACAAGCTTTACGAGTATCACGTTCTATAAGTATAAATAACCCTGATTTTTCAAATACCGATCCTCAAATATCACTTAATGTCGATGAAGTTTTCACTATGGCAACATTAGGAGGTGCTAAAGGTAAGGTTCAGGTATTACATATTAGAAACGATAATTATCGCGCAAAATATGTCTTTATATAATAATATATCCTGTGATTTTCAATCTAATTGTGTGTATATTGACAATATTTGACTATGTTTAGCGCTTCGAATTGATAACAAGGTCGGTAACTTTAAGCAGGGCAAAGAATTCGATGCTCTCATCATAGATTTCACAGGAAGAATAGAGCAGGGTTATCTTCGCGAAAATCTCGAAAGATTTATATATAACGGCAGTTCTCGAAATGTAATATCAGTTTATATAAAAGGTAGAAAAGTTAAGTAAGAAAGATTTTATGAGATGTTACTTTTGCACTTATAATTGTCAAATATCATTCTGTAATGAAAATAAGATGTTGAATGTATTATAAAATGCTTCTATTTTTGTATATTATAAACAAATATATATATTTATAAATAATATTATATAATTATATATTAATATTATATATTAATATTATATTATTATATTATTATATATATAATATTATATAATTATATATTAATATTATATATTATGTAATTATATTTTTAGAAAATTAAAATTTTTATGAATCTGTTAATCCTTTTTCTTTTAATAACTTAATAACTATCTTAATGATTACCTTAATTAATGATATAATAAATTAAATACCTCGAGAATAAAATTGCATGTTTATTATTATGTTTGCGATCGAGTTTGTTCATTTATCCTTAAGACTCGTGTAATATTTATTTATGTATGTACATACTTACTATTAATAAAATAAAGATACGCACCCTTTTTTGAAATATTGAACATGGCGTAAGAAGCGCCATCATGAAGAATGATAGAAATCTTTTTCCGTAATTTTCACGTGCAGCAGGAAGGTTGAAAGAATGTGATTAGAATATATAGAATATATAGAATATAAATTATTCGTCTTTTCACGTATGTTAGAAGAACAAAATAATTTTTGCATATCCTTCGTCCAGTCATACGAGATGTTCAAAAAATCAGCATTCTTATATACGACAAATTTTGTCTTTTCGAAGTATCTTGTCAAATTTCACGTGTGACATGTCACGTATTCATATTTTATGATTAATCGAATATCATGAAGTGACGATTTTATTATCGAATTTTATTTCATTTTAATGTAATTTCTTTATTAGTAATAAAATTTTATATTTCTTGATGGAAATCGTTGTAATGAAATAGAACTGGAAGATATATATATATATATATATATATATATATATATATATATATAAAATCAAGAATATATATATGATTCCAAAATTACGTGATTCTCCACGGAATGATCGCCACAGAATTTGACAAGATCTTTTGAAACAAGACAGAATTTCTTATATAAATTATGGTAATCATAGAAATATATCTGGCATGGCAATTATCAATGTTTTCAAAGAATCTGAATTTTTCAACAAATTGTAATTTCTGGGAACATTTTCTTAGTAATATATAATATATTATTATTATATTATTAATATAATATATTCTCAATCACAAAAGGAAGACAGTCGAACAACTTTCAGAGACCATAGTGATGATAGAGGCAAAAGACATGGATGTGGATGTGGAAAAAAAGATAGCAAGGAATAAGTCCCTCTTACGAAGCTTGATCTGGACAGAGATAATAAAATCCGATTATTTGAGCGCATTTATCTATCTCCTTAGCCATCAAGGAATATGAAATCATTGACAAGTTCCTCGGTCCAAATCTGAAGAATGAAGTTCTGAAAATTATGCCTGTACAGAGAGAAGCAGACTCGAGTTAAATGCATTTCAAGGTAAAACTAAAATCTCTTTTTTTTTAATTTCTTTAGCAATCACAGTTGATAAAAAGACGCGAAAATTCAGAGATGTTGGCAAGAATGTAAAAACAAATATTTTATAAGCTTTAATTAATATATATTAACCATAACATTAATTAAAATTTATGAGATGAAAGACACTTTTCCATTGTATATATTGTTCTTAAATGTGTTCTTGAATGTGGTTTCTATTTCTATATTATTTTTATATTACTATAACTTCCATTTTTCCAAATAAATGAATAGATTTTATCCTTGTGAGATCATCTACATTCAAATTTTCAATCTGACTTTTAATTTTGCAAATATCGTTGTTGATTTTTCGAAAAATAAGCTATTATACAAAAATTATTAAATTCTGAGTACTATCGATAGAGAAAAAGTATTTTTTCTTATTTTGAAAGGGAAAATTATGGCTGATATTAATTATAGAATTATAGAAAATGAGTATTCAAGGTCCCTCCAGAGGCCACATTATTTGCTCCTACTTGTCTTACAATTTTTGATAATGGATATCTTTCTCTAACCATTATCGAGAAAAATGTTAACTTTATCAGGTGTATTTGATGTTATATTTGAAGATAATGTGAATTTTTATTCACATCTAAAATATATTACACATATATATGTATGTTCCTTTATATTGTATAGAAGTGAAATTATTTGCACAATTATCTATTTTTTTATTATTATGATAGAGTACATAATAATGAATTATAAAATAATAAAAAAATACGTTATTTATATACTATTCTTATTGGAAAATTAATTTTATGATAATTATATTATAAAAATTATGTAGAGATAAAAAGAAACATTTTAAAATTATTTTAAAGCTTCTACATTTTAAACCTAATAACAATATGTTTCATTATATTATTTTAGTGATGATTGTATATATTAGAAAAATACTCCACAATCTCTTGACAAGTTTTCACTAGTTCTATGATGCATGCGGATGAAAATGGAGAAGTGATTTTTAAAGAGAGCGATGCACTATCTTTCGAGAATGGCAAGGAATTTAATATATTCCATATATTACTTTTCTACTATTTTTATTAATATTTTAATTAGTTTTATTAATAATTCATCTAATATAGATGAAACAATAATATCTTTATTAATATCTATATTGCTGTACAATATCCAAATTATTGATGTCACAGAAAATCCAAAATAGATCAACAGAAGATAGATGATTTTCATGCACTGAATTAATAATTTATCACTAGAACAATTTATAATACGTGAATTTACTGATTGTCATATACATGCAGTGTAGTTTCCAAATGTTGAATTAAGTTACGATAAGAATTTGTTGTATTGCTGGGAACTTATACTTATCCATTGGAGGGAATATATTTATCGACAATTTGCAGAACAAGTGTTTGAAAATTTTGGTATGTAAAACAAATGATGCATAATATCTAAGAACAATACTTACATAATAATTTAAAATAATACTATAAATAATATATATGGTTATAAATATTTTAAAATAATAATTAATAAAATAAAATAAAATAATAATTGTTTCACCTAAAATATTCTTATTTGCACATTATTATTTTAATTGTTATTGCAGAGACGAATTATACAAACTAGTACAATAATAGTATGTTTTCCATCTCTGTACCGAAGCATTTCTCGTGAACATGGTTTCATAGTTTAATCAACGGAGTTTCATCGGAAAAGTAAACATGTACGCACCAATGTAATAATGCACGAAATTACACGAAAAAAATCAATTAAGACTATGGTCTTTATGACAACTGAAAATATAATCGCAAAGAAGTGATACAACTTGAAAATGCAAAAATTTAAACTTTCAAAAATTGGAAAATTATCATGAGAATATTGTCGACAAAAAAAGAGGTAACATAAATTTAAAAAACTTTACTATTTTTATCGATCAATAATTATTGATTGTTCATAATTGTCGACTATCGACAATTGAAAAAAGGAAAACTACTTATTTTGACACTAATTTTATAGTTCGAAAAAAAAATTAATTTTAAAAATTCAAAAAGAATATAATCAGCGAAGTTGAAGAGCAGAAAATTCGATGATTATTTTATCGTGTTCAATATCCGATATACTGTGACGTGTGTTTTTTTGGCCATTTGTTACAAAAACGAAAGATCTGATGGTAGGACTTTTCGAGATCTGCCATGTCATGGAAAAGGGAAGGCGGAGGAAGAGGCGTTTGTTACCGAAATTTTGCTTACGAGCGGCTGAAAGTTCGAAGGATCGAAACACGACATGAAAACAAATAGTGGCACGCGAAGGACGCGTGATAACAGGTTTCTGTGCCAATCAAAATTCGCCACGTGAAGAAAGGAATAGATCATCGACGTGTCTCCTAAAGGCGTTTGGCTTCTCACTATTCGACAAGCGCGTGTCCAAAAAGGACGAAGAGCCTTTTTCGTACCTCAGTAAAGGATTTTCCTAAATTGGTGAGACGATCATTTTTCTTCGTGATTGATGTCCTGAGTATTCGCATGTCTCTAATTGTTCTGTCATATTTCTTTTTTTATTTATATTCGCGTAAAAAACACGAGTTAGTATTATTGCTAATCTCGTACATTTACACAATTCTTAATCGTACATGACTCGACGAATATTTCGCAAGTTCTCGCGCTCGATTTTCATATATATCGGACATATTATCGACATCGTTGCATTACGATCTTTTATTGCGGCTTCCTTTTTCTTCTGCTGCGAATATCGCACAGATTCGATTTATCGAATGCTGACATAAAAGTTATTAAGTTCATTAACAATGGAATGATTAGTATCTCTTCTTATTTAAAAAGGAACATATTTCTATGTTTCAACTTTAATAATGGGTATCTTTCTCTATGTTTAACCGGTTTTTAAGAAAAATAAACTTTTTATCAGATTCATCTTGTATATGTTCTCTCTATTCTTTATTTTTAATAAGATATGATACTGTTAATTTTTCAGATATTGCTTTTTTTATATTTTTGATTATTATTTTATGCTCTCTTATATTTTTGATCTCTCTCTCTTTCTCTCTCTCATCACTCCCGACCAAATTATCTCCTCTGCCAATATCGGGTTAATTATCCTAATTTCCGTCATATTCGCTTCACCGTCTCTAGTTAATCTCTACATTATTTATGTACTTTTGTGTGGTGCGGTTCCTGGCGTTCAATAATTTTGTAATTGTCGCCATTATCTTTCGAATGGAAACCCCCCAGATCGTGCCAAAGATGTATCGTACGACCCCTGTACAGTTAAAAAAAATACATAATCACAATACGTTTAACGGATGTTGGACATGATCTAATAATTAATATAATATGTGCCTTTTCCAGACCAAATCAGCTGTTTTGCAACGCGTTGCTGTTTTCTACATGACCAAATCTATGCCGCAATAGTCACAGACTATGATAATACATATATCATAAATATCTCATTAAATAATTTTATTATTAAAAGACTCAAGCTCTTTATAGCTGAATAGTTTGTGAAAAAAGTCGAGTGATATTATATTTGAAGGTAATAAGAAATTTTATTTATACCAAAAATATATTATATATGTGTACGTTCCTTTATTTAGAAAAAAAAGTTATTTGCACAACTATCTATTTTTTATTATTATTATGATAGAGTACATAATGATAAGTATACGATAATAATATAAGAAAAAATGCGTTATTTGTATTTTTCTTGCTGGAGAATCAATTTTGCCATAGTCGTACTAGAAATATTATAGGTAATAAATAGAAACATTATATGATTATAAATAGAAACGTTTTAAAAAAATTTAAAAGCTTTTGCAGATTACAACGTACATGTTTTATTGTATTGTTTCAGTGGTGATTGTATATATTTAAAAAATACTGCATAATGGTTCGACAAGTTTTTAGCGGTTCTATGATTCATGCACATGACAATGGAGAAGTAATTTTTCGGCAGTGGGCTGCAATATTTGTGGAGGATGGCAAGGTATTTAACATGTTCTATATCACTTTTACTATTTTTTTGTTTTATTAGTAACTCATCTAATATATTTAGTAACTCATCTAATATAAATAAAATATAAAACAATAACAATATCTTTATTAACATTGTATTCAGATTATTAATGTTATGGAAAATCACGATCAACAGACGATAGATGATTTTCATGCAGACAAAGTTAATAATTTATTACCAGGGCAATTTATAATACCGGGATTTATCGATTGCCATACATACGCAGTGCAATATCCGAATATTGGAATTGGTTATGGTGTCCGTCTTTTATATTGGCTGGAAAGTCGTACTTATCCATTGGAGGAGGAATATGTTAATCAACATTTTGCAGAAGAAGCGTTTGATGATGTTGTGGTATGTAAAATCGTGAAGCATAATATTCTATAAACATTCTATAAACATAATTGAAAAACATTACTTATATATATATATATATATATATAAGTAATGTTTTTCAATTACGTTTATAGAATGTTTATAGAATATTATATATATATGTATACACATAATATACATATATATATATACATAATATACATATTTATATATATAATTGTACATATATTTACATAAATGTATAAATATTATAAAATAATAATTGTTTTTGACCAATATATTGTTATCTTTTTATTATTATTTTAATTGCTATTGCAGAAATTAACTTTAACAAGTGGTACAACAACAGCATGTTATTCTGGATCTCTGTATCACGAGGCATCAACGATTCTCGCGAAGAAATGTTCAGAGATTGGTCAACGGGCTTTCGTCGGAAAAATAAACATGAACACGGCACGAGATGATGGATATTATGAAAGTACGGAAATATCAATCGCGAATACTAAGGCCTTTATAGAATCTGTTGAAAACATGAATGTAAATGCAAATTCATATCTTATTTCCTTACATTGTGATAAAATAATAGTTTTCTAATTATATAGATAGAAAATCTCATTAACATCACATAATCATTAAGTAGTAAACAAAAAATGTCATTTTTCAAAACTTCTTATAGAATCCTCTTGTGCAACCAATTATTACACCAAGATCTGCATTGACCTGCGACATGGAATTATTGCAAAGTTTGGAAAAGATTGCTGCAGATAAAAATTTACGTATACAGGTATTATATTATACTTGCATCATATTCATTACGCTAGTATCAATTTAATGTGTTTTTTATTTTTTGTAGAGTAACATTTCTCAAGACCCAGACGAAGTAAAAGCAGTGAAACATAAATTTGGATTACCGACATACACAGATGTTTACAAAACCGCTGGTCTTCTTAGCTTGAAGGTAAGATTTAATTTTCCTTCAATCTATTATTGTAAAAGGATCGACATATATATTATTTTCATACAATATACATATACCGATTAAATATATGTATATAATACATATTTAATCTTTTTTTACAGACATCATTAGCACATGGTAATAATCTATCCGATTATGAACTTAAAACACTTGCAAGAACAGGAACAACTATAATTCACTGTCCAACTTCGAATATAAATCTGGAAAGTGGTCTTTGTGATGTGCGAAAAATAAAGAATAGAAATATCGTCGTCGGACTTGGAACCGGTACGGAAAGAATTTTATCTTGGAAAAATTTTATATTAAAAAAACTTTATTATTATTATTTATTATTATTAATATATAATTATATTAATATATATATTAATATAATTTTATATTAATAACGACATATTTTGATATAAAATTCAAATTTTATATTAATAATTGATTGACACAATGTTCATTATTATGTTGCTAATAAATGTATGTTCTCTTAGATATCTCAGGTGGATCAAATCTCGACATATTGAATGAAATGAAATCGGTTTTAGATGTATCAAATACTGTAGCTACTTTTTCGGGAGATAAAGTATCACGTTATGTGCCACTTAATTACAAAGATGTCTTCGTTATGGCAACAATAGGAGGTGCTAAAGGTAAAGTTCGAGTACCGTGTACATATATATTAGAAATGATAATAATCGTGCTAAGTAATAAAGTATATCTTTTTATATAGTAATATGTATTATAATTTTTAATCTAACTACATATGTACTACATATTGACTGTAACTACATATTGACTGTATTCAGCGCTTTCGATTGAAGACAAAGTCGGTAATTTCAAGAAAGGCAAAGAATTTGATGCTCTCATCATAGATTTGAATGCAGAAGAGAGCTTCATAGACAATTTCAGAGAATACACACTCGAGGAAAGACTCCAAAGATTTATATATTCCGGCACTTTCCATAATATAATATCAATTTATGTAAAAGGCGAAAAAATTGATTTCGAAAAGCCTAAAAAGCATTTTACTTTATAAGCTGTTACGTTTTTACACTGTTACAATTTTTAAATATCATTTCGTAATGGAAATAATATTAAAAATTTAATATAAAATTTTATAAAGTAAAATGGAAATAAACTGTTAAACGAATTAAAATAAAATGTTTTTATTTTTGTATGTTATAAATAAATTTATAAATAATATTCTGTTATTATATTGTTAGAACATTAAAATTTTATGAGCGTATTAATTCTACGTTTTTCTTTTAATAATTTTATTAATAAATATCCTAATAATCACCCTAATTAATATAATTAATATATTAAATCTCTTACGATTAAAATTGTAATTCCTTATTATTATATTATAGTGAGTTCAGTTATTCTTAAGGTCCGTGTAATATTCCTTTAAAAATATATGCGCTGTTTTTAAACATCGGATAAGACGTATGTACATACATAAGAATCGCCATCAAGAAGCACGATAACCTTACATGATTTTACATGCAAGAGAGAAGCCAAAAAAAGTAACGTGATTATTATACATGTGGTAAATCTTTCGTTTTTTCACATATATTAGAATAACAAAATAATATTTGCATATTTTTCACCCAGTCATACGAGATGTTTAAAAACCGACATTCTTATATATGAGAATTTCTATTATTTCAAACTGTCTTGTCAAGTTTCTCGTTGACGTGTCGCCTATTCACCCACACATGCTGTATTATTAAAAAAAATTAAGAATAATATCATAAATATCAAGAGATATTAATTATATTCTCGAGTTTTATTTGATTATAATGTAATTTTCGCTTTCTTTACATTACTAACAAAATGAAATTTTATATTCCATGATAGAAACTGCATTAGTTATATAGAAATAGAAATGAAAACATAATTTTAGATATATACATTTATACTCCATATATGTATATATATATACACTCACCAAACACACACACATATACATGTATATGTATTCTTAATTTTTAATGATGAAGCATGAACACGATTCTCCAACATATTGAGTTTGACAAGATTTTTTGATGCAAGACAGAATTTCTTATGTAAAAATCATGGTGGTCATATACATACATATATATATATCTGGCATGGCGATTATCAATTTTCAAAGAATCAAGGGATTTTCAGACTTCAAGGAGTATAAAATCATTGACAAATTCCTTGATTTAGATTTAAAGAATAAAGTTCTGAAAATCATGCCTGTACAGATGCAGACTCGAGCCTGTCAACGCATATATTTTAACATAAAATTAAAAGCGTCTTTTTTTAGGTACTTTAGAATCAAAGTTTTAAAAAGACATGAAAGTTTAGAGATATTGACAAGAATATTAAAAATATTACATAGTGTCTGTAAAAATATTACTTCAAGATTTTTATGTGCTGTATCGAATATTTCAATGGTATTATTACATAATTTCTCAAGATCCTTTGTGTCAATACTTTAATCGCATTTTCATCAGTTATTTGAATGTTAAAATGTATCTATGGATGGAGCACAGTGTAAGCGTATATTTTTGCCAATACTCCAGAGAAAATGGAGTTACAGAATACAGGAAAGAAATTATTAATACAATTTAACGTATGCTTATTATTAAGTTCATAAAGTCTACATAATTTTTATATATTTGTATTATTGTACTATTGATTTATTATGTAAAAAAGTGTATTGCCTAAAATATATCTCTCGATGACAAAAACGAAAGGCTCGTATGTTTCATTATATTGTTTCAGTGATGATATATTAGAAAAATACTACACAATTGTCTCGGCAAAGTTTTACCGATTCTCATTTATGCAGATGAAAATGGAGAAGTGATATTGAGGATCTTGTTGCATTACTTGTTGAGAATGGCAAGGTATTTTATTTACTAGTTTTATTATTTTTTTATTTCATTATTAACTCCTAGATAAAGCAATAACAATATCTTTATTAACATCTATATTATACAACATTCAGATTATTGATGTTACAGAAAATCTGGATCAACAGAAGATAGATAATTTTCACAGAGATAAAGTTAATAATTCATCATTCAGACAATTTATAATATCTGGACTTATCGATTGCCAAACACATGCAGTGGAGCTTCCACATCTTGGATTGATTACGATAAGATTCTCTTAAATTGGGTGAAAACCTACTAATTTATTCATTGGAGAGTAGTACTGGTCGACAATTTGCAGAATAAATGTTTAAAATTGTAGCATGTAAGACAAATGTTGAATCATAATGTTGTCTAAGAACAATACTTTTATAGTAATTTAAAATAATACTACAAATGTAAAAAATAATATTATTAAATAATATAATTATGTTTGATCTAAAAAATATATTCCTATATTTTCATTATTATTTGAATTGTTATTGCAGAATTGAATTATATACACTGGTATAACAATAGCGTATTTTTGACCATCTGTAATTAATGATTGTCTATAATTATCGATTGTTAACAATTGAAAAAAAAACTTACTGATTTTAGTACTAATTTTGTAGTTTGAAAAAAGATTTAATATTAAAAATTCAAAAAAATATCAAGATATAATCAGCAAAATTGAAAAGCAGAATTAAAATTTGCTAATTATTTTATTGTGTTCAATACTCGATATACTGTAACATGCGTTTTTTTGGTCATTCATTATAGGAACGAAAGGCCCGATCATGGAAGGATTTTTCGAGGTCTGCGTCTTCCCGTTGCAGAGAAAAAACAGTCCTACGTTTGCAGTTCGCATATTTGCGATTTTCGTATTTAACGGCGAATATTCATCTTATATTTAGTATTGCTATATTTTTCTTTCGGAAAAATGCCCGAACGAACGTCTCGTGCATGGAAAAGGGAGAGGTGGAGGGAGAGTCGTCTGTTGTCGAAATTTCACTCACGAGCGGTTGAAAGGATCAAAACATGACATAAAAACAAATAATTGCACGCGAAGGACGCGTGATAATAGGATCCTATGCCAATCAGAATTTGCCACGCGAAAAAAGGGATAGATCACCGACGTGTTTCCTATCATCCTGTCTCCTAACGGCCTTTTTCTCTTCACTATTGGGCCAACGCGAGTCCAGGAAGGATTAAGAGCCTCTTTCGTACCTCGGTAAAGAATTTTCCCAGGTTGGTGAAACGATCGTTTTTCTTAAGGCCATCGATTTTGCATCGAGCTCTGGAGAATCGCGATTAATATCCTGATTCGCGTGTCTCTGTAATTGTTCTGTCATATTTTTTTTTATAATTATATTCGGGTGAAAATCCGCCTAGTATTATTGCTAATCTCGCGCATTTATATAGCTTTTAATCGTTCAGGACCCGACGAATATTTCGCGAGTTCTTGCGCTCGATTTTCGTATCAGGGGAATGGTTTATAAACATCGATGTATCACGAGCTTTTAATAAAATCCGAGCCGTAATTTTGACCCAATAATATATAATTGCGCTTACACTGATCACGCATTACTGTTCTCATTATTTATACAGGGTGAGTCTGATAAAAAGTTTATCATATTTTACTCCGAAACAGTTGGAAATAGATAAAGGTATCTATTTTCAAAATTGAAAGACAAATAGGGACATATAAGGACATTCAAGATCAAGATCCCTCAAGATCACTACATATACTTGCTGCTAGTTTTATTTTAATTTTGAAAATAAGTACTTTACTCTATATTTAACTGTTTTCCGGAAAACTTTTAAATTACAAGTTTCGATATTTAATTTAATAAACTTTTTATCAGATTTATCTTATACATGTTCTCTCTTTTCTTTTTTCTAATAAAATATGATAATTTTTAATCTGTTAATTTTTCAGAAATTGTCTTTTTATATTTTTGATGTTCTCGATATGCTTACTTTCGTCTCGAATCATCCCCTCTATCAGTACCGAGCTAATTATTATTTATTAATTTCCGTCGCATTCACTTCTCCGTCTCTGGATAGTGTCTTTATTATTTGCGTATTTTTATATGGTTTCCAGCGTTCGATAATCTTATAATTGTCGCGATTATCTTTCGAATAGAGATCGCGAATCGCACCAAAGATGTGTTGTGTGACTCCTGTACAGTTAAAAAAAATACATAATCACAATACGTTTATCGAATATTGGACATGATCTAATCCTATGTGATTTTTCCAGACTAAATTAACTGTCTTACAACGTTGCCGTTTTCTACCAATAATCTGTCACATTAGTCACAGGCTGTGATAATATGTATATCATAAATATTTCATTAAATAATTTTATTATTAAAAGACTAAAGCACTTTATAACTGAATAATTTGTGAAAAAAGACGAGTGATATTATATTTTAAGGTAATGAGAATTTTTATTTACACCAAAAATATATTATTTATCATCATTATTATTATTATGATAGAATACATAAATAATGATAAAGTACATGATGATAATATAAGAAAAAATGCGTTATTTATAATTTTCTTTTTGAAAAATCAATTTTACTGTAGTCGTACCAGAAAGATAGATACAAAGGGAAATATTTGAAGAAATTTTAAAGCTTTTACAGTTGATAATGTACATGTTTTATCGTATTGTTCCAGTGGTTACCATATACATTTAAAATATAATTCACAATGTCTCGACAAACTTTCACCGGTCCTATTATTCATGTAGATGAACATAATAAAGTGGCTTTTAAGAATAAAGTTACCATACTTGTCGAGGATGGCAAGGTATTTAACAATATTTGATGATTACTTTTATTATTTTTTTGTTTCATTAGTAACTCGTAGATAAAATAATAGCAATATTTTATTAACATCTGCATTATACAATATTCAGATTATTGATGTTACGGAAAATCCAGATCAGCAGACGTTAGATGATTTTCACGCAGACGAAGTTAATGATTTATTACCAAATCAAATTCTAATACCTGGACTTATCGATTGTCATACAAACGCAGCGCAGTTTCCGAATCTTGGATTGGGTTATGATAAAACTCTGTTAGATTGGCAAGAAGCCTATACTTATCCATTGGAGATGCTGTATATTAACCGAGAACTTGCATACAACGTGTTTGATAAAGCTGTGGTATGTAAAACAAATCTTGAAACATTATCTAAGAACATTACTTACATAGTAATTTAAAACAATACTATGAATAATACATAAATAATAATAGCGTATAAATAATATAAAATAATACTATAGTATATAAAATAATGTATAAATAATATGTAAAGTATACTATTATATTAAAATAATTATTATTATATTTTATCTAAAATATTTCTTCATCCGTTCATTATTATTTTAATTGTTATTACAGGAACGAACTATACTCACTGGTACAACAACAGCTTGTTATTCTGCGTCTCTGTATCGCGAGGCAGCTACGATTCTCGCGCAGAAGTGTGCACAATATGGTCAACGGGCTTTCATCGGAAAAATAAACATGAACGCGGTACGGGAGGATGGATATTATGAAACCACGGAAAAATCAATCGCGAATACTAACGCCTTTATAAAATCTGTCGAAAAAATAGCGGTAAATGCAAATTCAAACACATCTTATTTCCTGTACATTGTGATAAAATAATAGTTTTCTAATTAGATAGAAATTTTAATAATAGTTTTCTAATTAGATAGAAATTTTCTAATAGATAAAAATTTTAATAATAGTTTTCTAATTAGATCTAATTAGATTAGAAATTTTCTAATAGATAGAAATTTTAATAATAGTTTTCTAATTAGATAGAAATTTTCTAATAGATAGAAAATCTCATTAACATCACGTAATCATTAAGTAGCAAAAAATGTCATATTACTCAAAACTTTTTGTAGAATCCTCTTGTGCAACCAATTATTACACCAAGATCTGCATTAACCTGCGACATGGACTTATTGCAAAAGCTGGGAAATATTGCTAAAGATAAAAATTTACTTATACAGGTATTATATTATACTCGTGTAATATTCATCGCGCTAGTGTCAATTTAACGTGTTTTTCATTTTCTGTAGAGTCACATTTCTCAAGATAAAAACGAGGTAAAAGCCGTAAAAGCGAAATTCGGGAAAGCGACATACACAGAGGTTTACGAAGCCGCTGGTTTTTTGGACAAGAAGGTAAGATTTAATTTACCTTTATCAATCTATTAAGTATATTTTAAAAGAATCGACATTATATATATTATTATCATACATAATAGAGATATATCGATTAAATATATGTATATAATACATATTTAATTATTTAATCTCTTTTTACAGACAATATTATCACATGGGATCTATCTTGAAAATTCTGAAATTTCCAAGCTCGCAAATAAAAAGATACCGATAGTTCACTGTCCAACTTCGAATTTTAATTTGAAAAGCGGTTTTTGCAAGGTGGACAAACTAATGAAGCAGAATGTCAATGTTTGCATTGGAACAGGTATCGTGAGAATTTTATCTTGTAAAAATTTTCTATTAATAATGACATATTTTAATATAAACTTCATTGTAATAACTGGATAACATAATATTCATTATTACGTCAATAATAAATATATATCTTCTCTCAGATATTTCAGGTGGATCAAATTATAACATATTAGATGAAATGAGAATAGCTTTACAAGTATCAAATTCGCTATATCTAACGGACCATTCTGAGAAACCAATTGATCACAAATCTGTGTTCTCTATGGCAACATTAGGAGCTGCTAAAGGTAAAGTTCACATATTAGAAACGATAATTGTAAAATAATGTCTTTATATAATAATATATCCTATAATTTTCAATCTAATTTTGTGTATATTGATTGTATTTAGCGCTTCGGATTGATGACAAGGTCGGTAATTTTGTAAAAGGCAAAGAATTCGATGCTCTCATTATAGATGTGATTTCAAACGACAGCTTCTTGGATTGGTTTAGAGAACACACACTCGAGGAACATCTCCAAAGATTTATATATTGCGGCACTTTTAATAATATAGTAGCAGTTTATATAAAAGGTAAAAAAGTTAGGTAAAAACGATTTTATGAGATGTTACTTTCGGACTGTTGTTAAATATCATTTTGTAATGGAAATGAGTTGTTGAATGAATTATAAAATGCTTCTGTTTTTATTTATTATAAACAAATTTATAAACAATACTTTGTTATATTTTTAAGACTTTGTTATATTTTTAAGATTAAAATTTTATCCATGCATTAATTCTTCGTTTTTCTTTTAATAATTTTATTAATAAATATCTCAGTGATTACCTTAATTAATAATATAATATGTTAAATAACCTTTACAATTAAAATTGCATGCTTATTATTATGTTAGCGATCGAATTTGTTCATTTATCTTCAAGACTTGTGTAATATTCTTTTACATATACTTATTATTAATAAAATAAAGATACGCGCCCTTTTTCGAAATATCGAATATGGCGTACATAAGAAGCGCCATGAAGGGCTGCATTCAGAAATATTAAGCGGCCTTTTCATTGACGCTAAAAAGTAGCGTCAACCATTGGTTGGACAAAGAAGCAACTACTTACTTCTTTGTTCAACCAATGGTTGACGCTACTTTTTAGCGTCAATGAAATTGCACCTTTACCCGAGTGTATGTACTTGGGTATCATTTTATCCTTTAACATTCGGTGAACAACAAAGATAAAATGATACCCTGGCACTCGGGTGATGTTTCTGAACACAGTCAAGAATGATAGAAATCTTTTTCGGTAATTTCACGTGCAGGAGGGAGGTTGAAAGAATGTGATTAGAATATAGAGAAATTATTCGTCTTTTTACGTATATTAGAAGAACAAAATAATTTTTGCATATCTTTCGTCCAGTCCTACGAGATGTTTAAAAAATCAGGATTCTTATATATGAGAAATTTTGTCATTTCAAGGTATTTTGTCAAATTTCACTGAGTGACATGCGTATTCATACTTTATGATTAATCAAACATTAAGAAGTGACAATTTTATTATCAAATTTTATTTGATTATAATGTAATTTCTTTATTAGTAAAATAAAATTTTGTATCTCTTGATGGAAATAGTGTTAATGAAATAAAACTGGAAGAGATATAATTATAGATATTTTACACACACACATATGTACACATACTTTTATTTTTATTATAAACATATTCTTGATATTTAATCATGGAGCATGAACAGGTGATCCTTTATCATGTGGAATTTGACACGATTTTTTGAAACAAGAATTTCTTATATAAAATATGGTGATAGAAATATATCACGATTATCAATATTTTCAAAGAATCTGAATTTTTCAAGAAATTGTAATTTCAGGGGACATTTTCTTCATAATATATATTCTCAATCACAGAGGGGAGGCAGTTAAAGTACTTTCAGAGACTACATATATGATAGAGGCAGAGGATATGGATGTGGATATGGAAGAAAAAATAGCAAGGAATAAGTCCCTTTTACGAAGCTTGATCTGGGCAGAGATAATAAAATCCAATTATTTGAGTGCATCTATCTATCTCCTTAACCATCAAGGAATATGAAATCATTGACAAGTTTCTCGGTCCAAATCTGAAGAATGAAGTTCTGAAAATTATACCTGTACAAAGAGAAGCAGACTCGAGTTCAATGCACACATTTGAAGGTATAACTAAAGGTATCTCCTTTTTTTTATTATTTCTTTAGCAATCACAGTTGATAAAAAGACACACAAAAATTCAGAGATATTGGCAAGAATATTAACACAAATATTTTATAAGCTTTAATTAATATATATTAACCATAATATTAATTAAAGTTTGTGAGATTAATTATCTTTGAAAGACACTTTTCCATTGTATATATTGTTCCTGAATATTCTTGTTTCTATTTCTATATTATTTTTATATTATTATAATTTCCATTTTCAGTGTTCCAAATAAATGAATAGATTTTATCCTTGTGAGATCATCATCTAGATTCAAATTTTCAATCTGACTTTTAATTTTATAAATATTGTTGTTGATTTTTCGAAAAATAAGCTATTATACAAAAATGATTAAATTCTGAGTACTATCGATTGAGTAAAAGTATCTCTTCTTATTTAAAAAGGGAAAATTACAGTTGACATTAATTATAGAATTATAGAAAATGGATATTCAAGGTCCAAGCCACATTTATCGCTCCTACTTATCTTACAATTTTGATAATGGATATCTTTCTCTAACCATTATCGAGAAAAATGTTAACTTTATCAGGTGTATTTGATGTTATATTTGAAGATAATGTGAATTTTTATTCGCATCTAAAATATATTACACATATATATGTATGTTCCTTTATATTGTATAGAAGTAAAATTATTTGCACAATTATTTATTTTTTTATTATTATGATAGAGTACATAATAATGAATTATAAAATAATAAAAAAATACGTTATTTATATACTCTTTTTTTATTGGAAAATTAATTTTATGATAGTTATATTAGTTAAATTATGTAGAGATAAAAAGAAACATTTAAAAAATTTTTTGAAGCTTCTATATTTTTACGCTAATAATATGTTTCATTATATTGTTTCAGTGATGATTGTATATATTAGAAAAATACTCCACTGTCTTGACAAGTTTTCGCTAGTTCTATGATGCATGCGGATGAAAATGGAGAAGTGATTTTAAAGAGAGCATTGCAGTACCTGTCGAGAATGACAAAGTATTATATATATTTAATATATTTCATATATTACTTTTTTATTCTTTTGATTAATATTTTAATTAGTTTTATTAATAATTCATCTAATGTAGATAAAACAATAATAATATCTCTATTAACATCTGTGTATTGCTATACAATATCCAAATTATTGATGTTACAGAAAATCCAAGGATAGATCATCAGAAGATAGATGATTTTCATGCAGACTGAGTTAATAATTTATCACTAGGACAACTTATAATACTTGAATTTACTGATTGTCATACACATGCAGTGCAATTTCCAAATCTTGAATTGAGTTATGATAAGAATTTCTTAGATTGCTGGAAACTTATACTTATCCATTGGAGGGGTAGTATATTGATTAACATTGATTTACAGAACATGTGTTTGAAAATTTTGGTATGTAAAACAAATAACGTATAATATTATCTAAGAACAATACTTACATAATTTAAAATAATAGTATAAATAATATATATAAAGTAATGTCATAAAATAATAATAATAAAATAAAATAAAATGAAATAAAATAATTATTATGTTTGATCTGAAATATTCTTATCTCTTTATTATTATTTTAACTGTTATTGCAGAAACGAACTATACAAACTAATATAACAGTATGTTTTGCATCTTTGTACCGAGGCATTTCTCGTGAACATGGTTTCATAATCCGATCAACGGAGTTTCATCGAAAAAGTAAGCATGAACGCACCAATGCGACAATGCACGAAATTACTAAAAAAATCAATTAAGTCTATTGCCTTTATATAAACTGAAAATATAATCACAAAGAAGTGATACAACTTGAAAATGCAAAAATTTAAACTTTTGAAAATTGGAAAATTATCACGGGAATATTGTCGACAGAAGTAATATAAATTTAAAAAATTTTACTATTTCTATCGACTAGTAATTATTGATTGTTTATAAGTGTCGACTATTGACAATTGAAAACAAAAAAATTATTTATTTTGATACTAATTTTATAGTTTGAAAAAAATTTAATTTTAAAAATTCAAAAAGAATATAATCAGCGAAGTTGAAGAGTAGAAAATTCGGTAATTATTTTATCGTGTTCAATATCCGATATACTGTGACGTGCGTTTTTTTGGCCATTCGTTAGAAAAACGGAAGATCTGATGATGGTAGGACTTTTCGAGATCTGCCATGTCATGGAAAAGGGAAGGCGGAGAAAGAGGCGTTTGTTACCGAAATTTTGCTTCCGAGCGGCTGCAAGTTCGAGGGATCAAAACACATGAAAACATGAAGACATGAAAACAAATAGTGGCACGCGAAGGACGCGTGATAACAGGACTCTGTGCCAATCAAAATTCGCCACGTGAAGAAAGGAATAGATCATCGATGTGTCTCCTAAAGGCGTTTGGCTTCTCACTATTCGACAAGCGCGTGTCCAAAAAGGACGAAGAGCCTTTTTTGTACCTCAGTAAAGGATTTTCCTAAATTGGTGAGACGATCATTTTTCTTCGCGATTAATGTCCTGAGTATTCGCATGTCTCTAATTGTTCTGTCATATTTCTTTTTTTATTTATATTCACGTAAAAAACACGTGTTAGTATTATTGCTAATCTCGTACATTTACACAGTTCTTAATCGTACATGACTCGACGAATATTTCGCAAGTTCTCGCGCTCGATTTTCATATATATACGATTATCGACATCATTGCATTACGATCTTTTATTGTGGCATCCTTTTTCTTTTGCTGCGAATGTCGCACAGGTTCGTGATTTATCGAATGCTGACATAAAAGTTATTAAGCTCACTAACAATGGAATGATTCATTAGTATCCCTTCTTATTTAAAAAGGTACATACTCCTATTTTTCTTACAACTTTAATAATGAATATCTTTCTTTATGTTTAACCAGTTTTTAAGAAAAATAAACTTTTTATCAGACTCATCTTGTATATGTTCTCTCTATTCTTTATTTTTAATAATATACGATACTGTTAATTTTTCATATTGCTTTTTTTATATTTTTGATGCTCTCTCTCTCTCTCTCTCTCTCTCTCTCCTCTCTCTCTCTCTCTCTCTCTCTCTCTCTCTCTCTCTCTCTCTCTCTCTCTCTCTCTCTCTCTCTCTCTCTCTCTCTCTCTCTCTCTCTCTCTCTCCCTCTCCCTCTCTCTCCCTCTCCCTCTCTCCCTCTCCCTCTCCCTCTCTCCCTCTCTCTCTCTCTCTCTCTCTCTCTCTCTCTCTCTCTCTCTCTCTCTCTTTTTCTCTCTCTCATCACTCCCGACCAAATTATCTGCTCTGCCAATATCGGGGTAATTACCCTAATTTTCGTCGCATTCGCTTCACCGTCTCTAGTTAATCTCTACATTATTTGCGTACTTTTGTGTGATGCGGTTCCCTCAATAATCTTGTAATTGTCGCAATTTTTCGGATGGAAACCCCAGATCGTGCCGAAGATGTGTCGTGTGACCCCTGTACAGTTGAAAAAAATACATAATCACAATACGTTTAACGGATGTTGGACATGATCTAATAATATAATATGTGCTTTTCCAGACCGAATCAGCTGTTTTGCAACGCGTTGCTGTTTTCTACATGACCAAATCTATGCCGCAATAGTCACAGGCTGTGATAATACATATATCATAAATACCTCATTAAATAATTTTATTATTAAAAGACTCAAGCTCTTTATAACTGAATAGTTTGCGAAAAAAGCCGAGTGATATTATATTTGTAGGTAATGAGAATTTTTATTTATACCAAAAATATATTACGTATACACGTGTACATTCCTTTATTTAGAAGAAAAATTATTCGCACAATTATCTATTTTTTTATTATTATTATGATAGAATACATAATGAGAAGTACACGATGATAATATAAGAAAAAATACGTTATTTGTAATTTTCTTACTGGAGAATCAATTTTGCCGTAGTAGAAAGATTATAGATAATAAATAGAAACATTATATGATTATAAATGGAAACATTTAAAAAAAATTTGAAAGCTTTTGCAGATGACAATGTACATGTTTTATTGTATTGTTTCAGTGGTGATTGTATATATTTAAAAAAGTACTGTGCACAATGGTTCGACAAGTTTTTACTGGTTCTATAATTCATGCACAAGACAATGGAGAAGTTATTTTTCAGCAATGGGCTACAATATTTGTCGAGGATGGCAAGGTATTTAACATATTTTATATATTATTTTTACTATTTTTTTGTTTTATTAGTAACTCATTTAATATAGATAAAATATACGTAATATATATAAAACATATAGATGACAATACCTTTATTAACATCTGTATTATACAACATTCAGATTATTGACGTTATGGAAAATCGAGATGAACAGATGATAGATGATTTTCAACCTTACAAAGATAATCATTTACTACCAGGACAATTTATGATACCTGGATTTATCGACTGCCATACATACACACTACAATTTCCAAATATTGGATTGGGTTATGATAAAACTCTCTTAAATTGGCTGGATACCTATGCTTATCCATTGGAGAAGAAGTTTAATCAAAATGTGCTTGCAGAATTAGTGTTTGAGAGAGTTGTGGTATGTAAAATAAATCTTGAAGCATAATATTCTATAAACATTCTATAAACGTAACCTAAGAACAATACTTATATAATAATATAAAATAATATAAATAATAATAGTGTATAAATAATAAAAAATAATACCATAATATGTAAAATAATGCTATAAATAATAAAGAGTATATTATAAAATAATAATTGTTTTTGACCAAGATATTGTTATCTTTTCATTATTATTTTAATTGTTATTGCAGCGACGAATTTTGGCAGTTGGTGTAACAACTGCATGTTATTCTGCAGCGTTGTATACCGTGCCATGTACACGTCTCGCGGCGATGTGTTCAGCGCAAGGTCAACGAGCTTTCGTCGGAAAAATATGCATGAACGCGGTACGATCTGATAATTATTACGAAACCACAGAAGAGTGTATTCGGAATACTAGGACCTTTATAGACACTGTCAAAAATTTAGATGTAAATGCAAATTTATATCTGATTTCCTGTGACAACATTGTGACAAGATAATAGTTTTCTAATTATATATATTTAGAAAATCTCATTAATATCACGTAATTATTTAACCCAAAAATATTTCACATTCCTCAAAACTTTTTGTAGGATCCTCTTGTGCAACCAATTATTACACCAAGAAATGCATTGAGTTGTGACAGGGAATTATTGAGAGCGCTGGCAGGTCTTGCTGCTGAAAAACAATTGCGTATACAGGTATATACACATTATACTCGTGTAATATTCATCACGCTAGTGGCAATTTAATGTGTTTTTTATTTTCCGTAGAGTAACATATCTCAAGACCCAGAAGAAATAGCAGAGGTGACTAAAAAATTTGCAGTACCGACATACACAGATGTTTACGAAAACGCTGGTATTCTTCGCAATATGGTAAAATTTAATTTTCCTTTATCAATCTATTAAGTACATTGTAAAAGAATCGACATTACATATATTATTCTCATACATAATAGAGATATACTGATGAAATATATGTATATAATGCATATCTAATCTTTTTTTACAGACAATATTAGCACACGGGAATTACCTATCCGAAAATGAACTTAAAAAGCTTACAAGTAAAGGAACAGCTATAGTTCACTGTCCAACTTCGAATTTAAATCTGAAAAGCGGTCTTTGTGATGTGCGGAATTTAAAGAGGAAAAATATTGTCGTCGGTCTTGGAACAGGTACTGAAAGAATTTTATCTTGCAAAAATTTTATATTAATAACGATATATTTTGATATAAAATTATACAAAATTCAATGTAATAACTGGTCGACATAATGTTCATCATTGATAATACGTTGATAATAAATATATGTTCTCTCAGATATTGCAGGTGGATCAAATTACAGCATATTGAATGAAATGAGGTCGGCTTTACATGTATCAAATGCTCTATCTTTTGCTTCAAAGAAATCTAATGAATCTGATGTAGATGATTATGTGCCACTTGATTACAAAGATGCCTTCTTTATGGCAACATTAGGAGGTGCTAAAGGTAAAATTCGAATATTATTACATATACATTAGAAACGATAATTATCAAAGTATGTCTTTATATAATAATATGTATTATAATTTTTTCTAACTATGTGTACATTGATTGTGTTTAGCTCTTTCGATTTCGGACAAAGTTGGTAATTTCGAGATAGGCAAAGAATTTGATGCTCTCATTATAGATTTGAACGCAGACAAGCGCTTCGTAGACAACAATTTCAGAGAATACACACTCGAGGAAAGACTCCAAAGATTTATATATTCCGGCACTTTCCATAATATAATAGAAATTTATATAAAAGGCAGACAAATTAAATAAATTAAAAAGGATTTTACTTCATAAGATGTTACGTTTTTACACTGTTACAATTTTTAAATATCATTTCCTAATGGAAATAATATTTAAAATTTTATATAAAATTTTATAAAGTAAAATGGAAATAACCTGTTGAATGAATTAAAATAAAATGTTTTTATTTTTGTATGTTATAAATAAATTTATAAATAATATTCTGTTATTATATTGTTAGAACATTAAAATTTTATGAGCGCATTAATTCTTCGTTTTTCTTTTAATAATTTTATTAATAAGTATCCTAATAATCACCTTAATTAACATAATGTATTGAATCTCTTACGATTGAAATTGTAATTATTGTTACGTTATAGTGAGTTCAAATATTCTTAAAGTCACGGTCTAGAAGACCGTGCTTAAGGTCCGTGTAATATTCCTTTAAAAATATACGCGCTTGTTTTAAACATCGGATATGACGTATGTACATACATAAGAATCGCCATCAAGAAGCACGTAACGATAACCTTACATGATTTTACATGCAAGAGAGAAGCCGGAAAAAGTAACGTGATTAATATACGTGTGGTAAATTTTTCGTCTTTTCACGTATATTAGAATAACAAAATAATATTTGCATATTTTGTCACCCAGTCATACGAGATGTTTAAAAATCGACATTCTTATATATGAGAATTTCTGTTATTTCAAACTGCTTGTCAAATTTCACGTTGATGTGTCGCCTATTCACGCTATATATTATTAAAAAAAAATTAAGAATAATATAATGAATATCAAGAAATATCGATTGTATTCTCGAGTTTTATTTGATTATAATGTAATTTTGGCTTTCTTATATAGACTATACTACTAACAAAATGAAATTTTATATTCCATGATAGAAACTGAGTTATAATCAAATAGAAATGGAAAACATAATTTTAGATATATAATTATAAATTTATATATATATATATATATATATATATATGTATGTATGATGTATGTATGTGTATATATATATATATATATGTATGTATGATGTGTATATATATATATATATATATTATATATATATATATATATATATATATATATACATATATGCATATACATTTATATATATTCTTAATTTTTAATCACAAAGCATGAACATGTAAATTACATGATGCAATTCTTCAACATATGAAGATTGATAAGATCTTCTGATATAAAACAGAATTTCTTATGTAAAATCACAATATATATCTGGCGTAGCGATTATCAATAATTTTCAAAGAATCAAGGGATTTTCAGAATTCAAGGAATATAAAATCATTGACAAGTTCCTTTTTGTTTAGATTTAAAGAATGAAGATCTCTGAAAGTCATACCTGTACAGATGCAGACTCGAGCCTGTTAATACATACATTTCAACGTAAAATTAAAAGTGCCTTTTTTTTAGGTATCTTTTAGATTCAAAGTTTTAAAAAGACATGAAAGTTTAGAGATATTGACAAGAATATTAAAAATATTACATAGTGTCTGTAGAAATATTACTTCAAGATTTTCGTGTGCTGTATCGAATATTTCAATGTTGGTATGAACACATAATTTCTCAAGATCTTGGGCTTTGTGTCAATACTTTAATCGCATTTTCACCAGTTATTTGAATATTAAAATGTATCTAATTATTTTCTGTCGGATGGGGGACAGTGTAAGTGCATGTTTTTGCCAAGACTCCAGAGAAAATGGATTATAAAGTACAGGAAAGAAATTATTAATACAATTTAATGTGTGCTTATTATTTTGTTCATAAAGTTTAAATAATTTTGCTGTATTATTGTACTATGATGATATGATATATACTATGATTTATTATGTAAGAAAGTGCATTGCCTAAAATATGTCTCTCATTGACAAAAACGAAAGGCTTGTATGTTTCATTATATTTTTTCAGTGGTAATATATTAAAAAACTGCACAATGTCTCGGCAAGTTTTTACTGGTTCTCATTTATGTAGATAAAATGGAGAACTGATCTTTAAGAAGAATTACAATACTTGTTGAGGATGACAAGGTATATAACATATTTCATTTATTACTTTTACTATTTTTTTATTTCATTAGTAACTCGTAGATAAAATAACAATATTTTTATTAATATCTGCATTATACAATATTCTGATTATTGATGTTATAGAAAATTTAGATCAACAGAAGATAGATAATTATCATAGAGATGAAGTTAATAATTCATCCAGACAATTTATAATATATGGACTTATTGATTGCCAAACACATGCAGTGGAGCTTCCAAATCTTGGATTGGTTATGATAAGACTCTCTTAAATTGGGTGGAAACCTACTAATTTATCCATTGGAGAGTATTGGTGGACAATTTGCAGAATAAATGTTTAAAATTGTAGCATGTAAGATAAATCTTGAACCATTATGTTGTCTAAGAACAATACTTTTATAGTAATTTAAAATAATACTACAAATATAGTAATTTATAGTAATTTTATAATAATTTAAAATAATATTACAAATGTATAAAGTAATATTATAAAATAATATAGTTATGTTTGACCTAAAAAATATATTCCTATCTTTTCATTATTATTTGAATTGTTATTGCAGGAACAAATTATATATACTGGTATAACAACAGCGTATTATTTTGCATCTCTGTACACCGAGACATCTACAATTCTTGCGAAGATGGTTTCATAGTTTTGATCAATGAGCTTTCATTGGAAAAGTAAGCCTGAACGCTCTACAGGACGATAGTTACAGGACGAAAGCGAAAAAATCAATTGAGATACCATGACCGAGACTATCTTTATAGAAGCTGGAAATATGATCAAAAAAAAGTCATGCGAAAATTTAAATTTTCGAAACTTTGGAAAATTATCATGAGAATATCACTGGCAAAGATGTAACACAAATTTTAAAAATTTTACTATATTTCTATATTTTAGACCATCTAAATATTGATTGTCTATAATTATCTACTGTTAACAATTGAAAAAAGAAAACTTACTGATTTTAGTACTAATTTTGTAGTTTGAAAAAAGATTTAATTTTAAAAATTCATAAAGAATATCAGGAAGATATAATCAGCAAAATTGAAAAGCAAAATTAAAATTTGGTAATTATTTTATTATGTCCAATATCCGATATACTATAACATGCGTTTTTTTGGCAATTCGTTACAAAAACGATAGGTTCGATCATGGTAGGATTTTTTGAAGTCTGCGTCTTTCCGTAGAAAAAAAACGGCTCTACGTTTGCAACTTGCACATTGTGATTTTCGTATTTAGTAGTGAATATTCATCTTATATTTAGTATTGCTATATTTTTCTTTCGAAAAGATGCCTGAAGGAATGTCTCGTGCATGAAAAAGGGGAAGGCGGAGGGAGAGTCGTCTGTTGTCGAAATTTCGCTCACGAGCGGTTGAAAGGATCAAAACATGACATGAAAACAAATAATTGCACGCGGAGGACGCGTGATAACAGGATCCTATGCCAATCAGAATTCGCCACGCGAAGAAAGGGATAGATCACCGATGTGTTTCCTATCATCCTGTCTCCTAACGACCTTTTGTTCTTCACTATTGGGCCAACGCGAGTCCAGGAAGGATTAAGAGCCTCTTTCGTACCTCGGTAAAGAATTTTCCCAGGTTGGTGAAACGATCGTTTTTCTTATAAGGACATCGATTTTGCATCGAGCTCTGGAGAATCGCGATTAATATCCTGATTCGCGTGTCTCTGTAATTGTTCTGTCACATTTTTTTTAATAATTATATTTGAGTGAAAATCCGCGTTAGTATTATTGCTAATCTCGCGCATTTATATAGCTTTTAATCGTTCAGGACCCGACGAATATTTCGCGAGTTCTTGCGCTCGATTTTCGTATCAGATGAATGGTTTATCAACATCGATGTCACGAGCTTTTAATAAAATCCGAGCCGTAAATTTTGACCCAATAATATGTAATTGCGCTTACACTGATCACACATTACTGTTCTCATTATTTATACAGGGTGAGTCTGATAAAAAGTTTATCATATTTTACTCCGAAACAGTTGGAAATAGAAAAAGGTATCTATTTTCAAAATTGAAAGACAAATAGGGACATATAAGGACATTCGAGATCAAGATCCCTCAAGATCACTACATATACCCGCTGCTAGTTTTATTTTAATTTTGAAAATAAGTACTTTACTCTATATCTAACTGTTTTCCGGAAAACTTTTAAATTACAAGTTTCGATATTTAATTTAATAAACTTTTTATCAGATTTATCTTATACATGTTCTCTCTTTTCTTTTTTCTAATAAAATATGATAATTTTTAATCTGTTAATTTTTCAGAAATGTCTTTTTATATTTTTGTTGTTCTCGATTTCCTCACTTTCGTCTGGAATCAGACGAAAATGGGGAAATCGACCCCCTTTACAGTACAGAGCTAATTATTAATCTAATTTCCGTCACATTCGCTTCTCCCTCTCCATCTCAAGTTAGTTTCTACATTATTTGCGTATTTTTGTGTAATATATTTTTGTGTAATTTGTGTATTTTTGTGTAATGGTTCCTGGTGTTCAATAATCTCATAATTGTCGCGATTATCTTTCGGATGGAAATCGCGAATCGTACCGAAGATGTGTCGTGTGACTGTACAGTTGGAAAAAAAATACATAATCACAATACGTTTATCGGATATTGACATGATCTAATCCTATGTGCTTTTTCCAGACCGAGTCAGCGGAGTCAGCAGATTTGAAACGTTGCTGTTTTCTAACATTGCCAATAATCTTTATTGCAAGTCACATGCTATGAATATACATATAAATATCTCATTAAATAATTTTGTTCCTAAAAGACTGAAGCACTTTATAGCTGAATAGTTTGTGAAAAAAACTGAGTGATATTGTATTTAAAGGTAATGAGAATTTTTACTTACATCAAAAATATATTACATACATACATGTGCGTCCCTTTATGTAGAAATAAAATTATTTGCACAATTATCTATTTTTTTATTACTATTATGATAGAATACATAATGATATAAAAATATATTGATAATATAAAAAGAAATGGATTATTTATAATTTTCTTATTGAAAGATCAATTTTACTGTAATCTTACTAGAAAGATTATAGATACAAAAGGAAACATTTGAAGAAATTTTAAACCTTTTACAGATGACAATATACATGTTTTATTGTATTGTTTCAGTGGCGATTGTATATATTTAAAAAATAATTCACAATGCCTCGACAAATTTTTATTGGTTCCATGATTCATGCAGATGAAAATGAAGAAGTGATTTTTAAGAAGAATGTTACGATACTTGTCGATGATGGCAAGGTATTTAATATATTCCATATATTAATTTTACTATTTTTTGTTTTATTAGTGTTACTTATCTAATATAAATAAAATATAAACAATAATAATATCTTTATTAACATCTATATTTTACAATATCCAGATTATTGATGTTATGGAAAATCCAGATCAACAAAAGATAGATAATTTTCACGCAGACGAAGTTAATAATTTATCATCAGGACAATTTATAATACCTGGATTTATCGATTGCCATACTCATGCAGTACAGTTTCCGAATCTTGGATTAGGTTTCGATAAGACTCTTTTAGATTGGCTGGAAACCTATACTTTTCCATTGGAGAGGCAGTATACTGATCAAGAATTTGCAGAAAAAGTGTTTGAAATAGTTGTGGTACGTAGAACAAATTTTAAATATATAATATTATCTAAGAGGATTACTTATATAGTATTTAAAATAATATTATAAATAATATATAAATAATGGTTTATAAATAATATAAAATAATAATTATATTTTACTTAAAATATCCTCATCTTTTCATTATTATTTTAATTGTTATTGCAGAAAGAAACTATATTCAATGGTACAACAACAGCCTGTTATTTTGCGTCTCTATATACCGAGGCATCTGCGATTCTCGCGCAGAAGTGTTCAGATCTTGGTCAACGAGCTTTCATCGGAAAAATAAACATGAATGCACCACGAGATGATGGATATTACGAAAGCACGGAAAAATCAATCGAGACTACTAAGGCCTTTATAGAAGCTGTCGAAAAAATAGGAGTAAATGCAAATTCATATCTTATCTTCTATGCATTGTGATAAGATAATAGTTTTCCAATTATATACATTTAGATAGAAAATGTCATTAATATCATGTAATCATGTAAACAAAAAATGTCATATTACTCAAAACTTCTTGTAGAATCCTCTTGTGCAACCAATTATTACACCAAGATTTGCATTGAGCTGCGATATGGAATTAATGAAAAAGTTAGCAAATATTGCTAAAGAAAAAGATTTACGTATACAGGTATCATTATACTCATGTAATATTCATCATATGCTAGTGTCAGTTCTACATGTTTTTCATTTTTTGTAGAGTCACGTTTCTGAAAATAAAGACGAGGTAAAAGCCGTGAAAGAGAAATTCGGGAAAGCATACACAAATGTTTACGATACCGTTGGTCTTCTTACCAACAAGGTGAGATTTAATTTTCCTTTATCAATCTTATTATAATTAAGTAGATTGTGAAAGAATCAATATGAAATATTCCGATTAAATGTATGTTTATAATATATATTTAATATCTTTTTTACAGACAATATTAGCACACGGTATCTACCTAGAGGATAGTGAACTTGACATACTTGCAAAACGAGGAACAGCTATAATTCACTGTCCATGCTCCAATATAAATCTGAAAAGTGGTCTTTGCGATGTGCGGAAAATAAAGGATAAAAATATCGTCGTCGGCCTTGGAACAGGTACCGAAAGAATTTTATCTTACAAACATTTTATATTAAATTTTAATAATCATATATTTTGATGTAAAAATCGACATAATAACTGATCGTTCATTATTACATTAATAATAAATGTGTCTTCTCTCAGATGTTTCAGGTGGATCAAATTACAGTTTCTTAGGTGAAATTAGATCGGCTTTACATGTATCAATTTCTCTACATTTAACGGGAGATGATGTACCACGTGATTATGTACCTCTTGATTACAAAGATTTCTTCATTATGGCAACATTAGGAGGTGCTAAAGGTAAGAATCGAGTTTTATATATTAGAAACAATAATTATCGTGTAAAATATATCCTTTTATATGATTGAAAATTATAATATGTATTATAATTTTCAATCTAAGAATATATTAAGAATATATTGACTATGTTTAGCGCTTTCGATTGAGGACAAAGTCGGTAATCTGCTGCCAGGCAAAGAATTTGATGCTCTCATCATAGATTTGAACGCAGAACACAGTTTCTTGAATAATTTCAGAGAATATACACTCGAAGAAAATCTCCAAAGATTTATATATTCGGGGAATGATCGTAATATAGTATCTGTTTATGTAAAAGGTAGAAAAGTTAAGTAAGTTAAAAAAGATTTTATTTTATAAAATATTACTATTGCATTGTTGCAATCGTTAAATAAGCTGTTGAATGAATTATAAGGTGTTTCTATTTTTTGTATATTATAAACAAATTTATAAAATAATATTTTGTATTTTTAAGAGATTATTAAAATTTTATAAATGCATTAATTTTTCGTTTTTTTTTTTAAATAATTTTATTAATAAGTATTTTAATGATTACCTTCATTAATAATATAATGTATTTAATATCTCTTATGATTAACATTGCATGCTTATTATTATGTTAGCGATCGAGTTGTTCATTTATCTTTAAGATCCAATATAATATCCAATGTGATATTTTTTTTTAAATTTATTTAAATTTATTTTTAAATTTTTTAAAATTTATTTTAAATATTATATTTACTGTTAACAAAAAAGAGGAAAAATACGCACTTTTTTTGAAATATCGGACATAAGAAGTGCCATCGTCACAAAGCATGATCAGAATCTTTTTCCGTGATTTCAAGAGAGAGGTTGAAAAAAGTGACATAAGTATATATTTAAGAAATTTTTCGTTCTTTCATATATATTAGAATAATAAAATAATATGTGCATATTTTTCGATCAGCCGTATGAGATGTTTAAAAAATCGACATTCTTATGTACGAGAAATTCTGTCATTTCAAAGTGTCTTGTCAAATTTCACATGTTGACGTATCGCGTTCACGCTTTATTATTATAATAAGTATCAAAAAATGTCAATTGTATTCCTTTCGAGTTTTATTTGATTATAATAGAACTTTTTTCTTTACACTAATAGTAAAATAAGGTTTTATATTCCTTGATAGAAATCGTATTATAATCAAATGAAACTGGATATAATTATAATATAATTAATATGATTATATAATGTTTTCAAAGAATCCGAATTTTTTAGGATTAATATTATTTGTAATTTCAAGAAACATTTTCTTTATAATATATTACTCAATCAGAATGACGGATGTTGCTCCAGCAACATGTGAAGGTCTTGTGGAACAAGAAGTGATCGAGGAAGTCTCAGAGGCTCTGATTATGAAAGGCAGAGAACGCGAACATGCAAAAGAGGATAACAAGGAATGGAATCTCTTTATATGTTACAAAAGTTGCCTGGTCAGGGAAAATCTAATCTCATGGCAAAATCTAATCATTCGAGCATATCTATTTATTATCCTTTCCTATTAAGAAGTACGAAATCATTGACAAGTTTCTCAGTTTAGATTTGAAGGATGAAGTTCTGAAAATCATGCCTGTGCAGACTTAAGTCTGTCAATACACACTTTCAAGGTAAAATTAAAAGTGTCTTCTTTTTAGCAAACAAAGTTAAAAAGGCATAAAATAGAAAAATTTAGAGATATTGACAAGAATATTAAAAAACACAAAAATGTTTTAGGTTTTTTGTTGCCATTGGAAATGGCACACATTGGATTGAGAGTGAAATGTTCCAAGCAAGTAGCCACTACCATTCGCGGTTTTATTATCCTCATCAAGCTCTCCATTGTCTTGGATTGACGCGATTATTGGAACAAGATCGACAAGCCGCACACAAAGTATAAAATATGTCCCTCGTCTATGAGAGCGAAAATTCTGTATGCAATTTCTGCATTTATTATCGAACATAATTAATGATCAAATAATTTCTATTTTTCTAATTTTTTAAATTTTATTATTTTTAATTTCTATTTAAAAAATTTTTTTAAATCGATCCATATATATTTAATTGTCAATTAATATTAGCATCAATTATAAAATTCGTGAGATCAGTTTCTGACTGAATCCTCTTTACCATTAAATATCGAGCTAATTACTATCTTAATTTCTGTGGCATTCACTTTTCAGTCTCTTATTCTCTTTAGTATCCAGTTATTTACGTATTTTTGTCTGGTGCAGTTCTTTGTATCTAGTATCTAATAATCTTGTAATTATCGCGATTATATTTCGGTGGAAATCGCGGATCGCATCGAAGATGTGTCGTATGGATCCCGTACGGTCGAAAAAAATACATAATCACGATATATGTATCAGATATTGAATATAATCAAATGCATGGGTATTCCAGATTAAATCAACTGTTTTGCAACGTTGTCGTTTTCTATATCGCAAATAATCTCGGCCACAATAGTCACATGCTGTGATAACATATCATAAATATCTCGTTAAATTATTGTTATTAAGAGATCGTAGCACTTTATAATTAATTACTTTGTGAAAGAAGTGATATTGTATTTAATATTTCATTTGAGGATAATGAGAATTTTTACTTGCATTTAATATATGTATGTTCCTTTATATACAAGTAAAATTATTTGCACAATTATTTATTTATTTTTTATTATTATAATAAAGTACATAATAATGAGTAATGATGATAATATAAGAAAAAATGCATTATTTTTAGCCTTCTTATGAAAAACTAATTTTATGATAATTGTACTAGATTAAGAGATAAAGAGAAGAAATTTTTTAAAAATATTTTAAAGCTTTTGAAAAAGACAGTGTACATGTTTCATTATATTGTTCCAGTAGTACAGATTGTACATATTAAAGCAATTCTGTGCAATGGTTCGACAAGTTTTTACCGGTTCCATGATTCATGCAGATGAAAAGGAAGAAGTGACTTTTCAGGACAACGTTGCGATACTTGTCGAGGATGGCAAGGTATTGAATGTATTCTATATATTTTACTATCTTTTTGTTTTGTTAGTAACTCATTTAATATAGATAAAATATAAAACAGTAACAATATCTTTATTAATATTTGTATTATACCATATTCAGATTATTGATGTTATGGAAAATCCAGATCAACAGAAGATAGATGATTTTCACGCAGATGAAGTTAATAATTCATCACCAGGACAATTTATAGTACCTGGATTTATCGATTGTCATACTCATGCAGTGCAGTTTCCGAATCTTGGATTAGGTTTCAATAAGACTCTCTTAGATTGGCTGGAAACTTATACTTTTCCATTGGAGAGGCAGTATACTGATCAAGAACTTGCAGAAAAAGTGTTTGAAATAGTTGTGGTACGTAAAACAAATCTTGAAACATTTTATCTAAGAATAATAGTTATATAAAGTAATATAAAATAATACTATAATATGTTAAATAATACTTTAAATAATATATAAAGTATATTATAAAATAATAATTGTATTTTACTTAAAATATCCTCATCTTTTCATTATTATTTTAATCATTATTGCAGAAACGAACTTTACAAACTGGTATAACAACAGCATGTTATTTTGCATCTCTTTATACCGAAGCGTCTACGCTTCTCGCAGAGAAGTGTTCACAGTTTGGTCAACGGGCTTTCATCGGAAAAGTTAACATGAACACTCCACGGGATGATGGATATTACGAAACCACGGAAAAATCAATTGAGACTACTAAGACTTTTATAAAAGCTGTCGAACAAATAGGAGTAAATACAAATTTATATCTTATTTCCTGCACATTGTGATGAGATAATAGTTTTCTAGTTTTTTTTATATATATGGGAAATTTTACTGATATATGATCATCTAAATAAAAGATATACTACTCAAACTATTTGTAGAATCCCCTTGTGAGACCAATTATCACACCAAGATTTGCATTGAAGTGCGACATGGAATTAATGCAAGAGCTGGCAGAGATTGCTAAAGAAAAAGATTTACATATACAGGTATATTACACTTGTTTAATATTCATCACACATTATTAATTCAACTAATTTTTCATTCTCTGTAGAGTCACATTGCTGAAACTGAAGACCAGCTAAAAAGAATAAAAGAAAAATTTGGAGAAACTACATGCACAGCTGTTTATGAAACCGCTGGTCTTCTTACCAAGAAGGTAAGACTGAACTTTGTTTCATTTATCTGTTAAATACATGGTGAAAGAATTGATATTATATATATTATTCTCATACATAATAGATATATTTAAATTAAATATATATTTATAGTATATATTTATAACCATTTTTTTACAGACAATATTAGCGCATGGAATTTATCTTGAGGATAGCGAACTTTACACACTTGCGAAACGAGGAACAGCTATAATTCACTGTCCGTCTTCGAATATAAATCTGAAAAGTGGTCTATGCGATGTGCGGAGACTAAAAGCTAATAATATCGACGTCGGTCTCGGAACAGGTACTGTCAATATTTTATCTTGCAAAAATGTTATTAATAATGACATTTTTTATATAAATTTTTATATAAAATTCAATGTAATAATTAATCGACATAATGTCCATTATAACGTTATTAATGAATGTGTCTCCTCTCAGATGTTTCTGGTGGATCAAGTTACAGCATCTTGGATGAAATGAGATCGGTTTTACATGTATCAAGTTCTCTATCTCTAACGGGACATGATAATGTACCATTTGACTACAAAGATGTGTTCTGTATGGCAACATTAGGAGGTGCTAAAGGTAAGGTTCGAGTTATACAGGGTGTTTCAGATCACCCATACTACCCATTTAAAAACTAGAGAAGTGGTTATTTCAAAAAAGTAAAAACATTTTCTTTATAAATCGGGTGCGCTCTATTGAATGGTGATATTTTCAACTTTTGGTTCCGGTCGGAAATAGGCGATTCAGACCGGAAGTGCATTTTTTTAAATGGAACTCTCTGTTTTTTATTGTATATTCTTGTAGCTTATATCGAGAGCTTTCCAAAACACTATAATAAATTATTTTTCCATGAAGTACTTTTCGAGTTATGAGGCTTGAAATCATTTCTTAATTTTACATAAACCATAAAATATCTTGTAAAATATTCATTTTTCGATTATCTTATCTTAATACTTTTATGTACAAAATAATGAGAGAAATCAATTGGTGTAAAGAAATCATACAGTTGTTTTTAAGAAAAAATATGGAATTGTTAATTGCAAATTACATATTTTTTCTTAGAAACAGCTATGTGTTTTTTTTACACCAACTGATTTCTCTCATTATTTTGTACATAAAAGTATTAAGGTAAGATAATCGAAAAATGAATATTTTACAAGGTATTTTATGGCTTATGTAAAACTAAGAAATGATTTCAAGCCTCATAACTCGAAAAGTACTTGATGGAAAAATATTTTATTATAGTGTTTTGGAAAGCTCTCGAGGTAAGCTACAAGAATATGCAATGAAAAACAGAGAGTTCCATTTAAAAAAATGCACTTCCGATCTGAATCGCCTATTTCCGGCCGGAACCAAAAGTTGAAAATATCACCATTCAATAGAGCGCACCCGATTTATAAAGAAAATGTTTTTACTTTTTTGAAATAACCACTTCTCTAGTTTTTAAATGGATAGTATGGGTGGTCTGAAACACCCTGTACATTAGAAACGATAATTATCGTGTAAAATATGTTTTTTTTATATAATAATATATGCTATAATTTTCAATCTAACTAATTGTATATTGATTGTGTTTAGCACTTTCGATTGAGGACAAAGTCGGTAATTTCATGCCAGGCAAAGAATTTGATGCTCTCGTCATAGATTTGAACGCAGAAAACAGCTTACTGGATAACTTCAGAAAATACACACTCGAGGAAAATCTCCAAAGATTTATGTATTCGGGGAATGATCATAATATAGTGTCTGTTTATGTAAAAGGTAGAAAAGTTAAGTAAAAAACATCTTATTTTATAAGATGTTACTTTTGCACTGTTACCATTAAACGTTAATTCAGTAATGTGAATAAGCTGTTTAATAAATTATAAAATGCTTCTATTTTTGTATTTTATAAACAAATTTATAAATATTCTGTAACAATATTTTGAAGATTAAAATTAAATGTATGCATTAATTTTTTGTTTCTCTTTTAATAATTTTATTAATTAAATACCTTAATAATCACCTTAATTAATATATTAAATATCTTTTACTATTGAAGTTGTTATTTATTATGTTAGCGATTAAATTCAATTATTCTTAAGATCCTTGTAATATTCTATTAAAAATGCTTACTATTAATAAAATAAAGATGCTCGTTTTTTTTTAAACATTGGATATAACGTTTGCATAAGAAGTCCGAATCTTCTTTCGTGACTTTACGTGCAGGAGAAGAAAATGAGTACATATTTGAGAAATTTTTCGTTTTTTAAGATATATTATAATAACAAATGTATATTATTATTTATACATATAAATAAATATATATCAAGATAAAACAAAATAAAATAACAATTATTACAGAATAACAATCCAGATTTTGTACTTATAAATAAAAACATCTAGATATAGTAAAAGTGAAAAATAAAAATAAAATTAAAATTAAAATTAAATTAAAATTAAATTAAATTAAAAATATTGATGCAAGAAAGCATCTATAGGCCTGCTTTTAGGTGATCCCTGAAAGCAATACTCCCTCTACGAACATTGAAACTGTCATGAACTACAAAGCTAATATCCATGAATGTTCTCAGAGGGTAAATATATAATGCGTACATTTTCTGGTTTTGTTCCGTGCTATGTGAAATGTCGGTAGCTGTATAACAAGATACATATGTATGTATGTAAATTGATAGTAAATAAATTATTCAATCGCGAAAGATACTGTAATATTCAAAGAAGAAATAAATATTTTTCTATATTCCTTGTCAAACTTATCTTTTTATTTATAAAACACAAAATGCCTGCTGTGGAATAAAAACATTTTTAATCGTATTTCTATCAATCTTCTTAATTAGCAGTAAACTGATTTTTGATATTTATCAATTTATAAAATGATTGATAAATTATTTAAAAATTTAATTATTAATATATATATAGAATTTGTCAAATTAAAATCACTGATTCTTCTGAAGTTTTTATAATCAAGACTCGAAAAATATATATATAGATGTTGCAAAATATTTTAAGTCTCTTCCTCTATATAAAATACAGTTAAACCGATTAAGTAAGATCTGGATAAGAGAGAAATCTCTATTATTCAGACTATTTTTGAGGTTCTAACATTTTTGCATCAAAAAACCTCTGTAAATAGGAATGCCCGATCTCTTTAACTGAGACTGATATTTAGCAATTCATAACAATAATTATCTCTATAACTGAGACGACCCCATAGAAAACCTCTGTAAATAAGATTATTATCGTTTTTACATTGCAACGTTGTATATGGCGTTATCGAAAATAACAGATATCTTTTAAATAAATTTTTTTACAATGCATTACATTGTATATTTTTTCACATGTGTAATGACATAGTGCTTATTTGCATAATAAAGTTTATTTGAACATTTAATTTATGTACGTATTTTTATTTGATAATTACCTCTATAAGTGAGATATGCGCATTTTAAATCTGGATAATTGAAAAATTGCCTAAGTGAGCTACTTCTTTAAATAGAATCAAATGAGCTGTTCTTTGCGATCTCACTTAACCAGGTTTGACTGTATAACAAATTATCATATGTTCCATTCTAATATAGCTAACATTATTTATATATTTTTATTATAATTTTCATATCAGCATAACTTTTATGCTTACTTTATATAATACAATGTACTAAATTATAAAATTTAATATAATTACAAAATAGTATTACTATTAATAAATAAGTTGTATGCATACTGTCTTTCAGTTTCCCATCACTATGCATTTCTGTCCAATATATTCTCTTCTTCGAGTTCTTGGATTATTATGGTTTATTGTATTTCTTTGTATTAATATCAAAAATTATCATCACTTGTCATACTTGTCCCTTCCTAAAAAAATTTTAATGACCACCTAATAGCCCTAACAATCCCTTTTTTTTACATTATTTTATTTTTGATGATCACCTAATAGCCCTAAAAATCCTTTTTTTCACATTATTCTATTTTTTAATTTATTTTTAGTTTACATTATTTATTTAATTTATTTCACTTTTTGTTTTTCAATTTTAAATAATTTTTTCTTTGACAAATTTGACTGATTTTATTACAAGCATCGTCAAAATAATGAGATACCGAGGCATTTATTATTAATTTTTAGAAGGTACACTTTGTAATTGACTCCGATATAAAACCTTTGGTTATTGTTTTTTATCTGTTTTTTATCATCATTACATTGTGTTGAAGATAGCCCAAAAATAGGATCGAAACGTTCGCTAACTTTTCTTTATAATTTGTTCCATACTTATTTGATTGTACAATAAATAATTGTGTTATAAGATCGACACTTGACTCGTATTGCCATTAAAACTGATTTATTTAATTTTATATTTCGAGTCTTATATTTTTTTATTAATTTTTTTTATATTTCGAGTCATATATTTTTTTATTAATTATAATTATTGAAATATTTATTAATCTGTTTTCCCTAATATTATTTAAACCGACATTTCCTGATTCTTTAAAAGATACATAATATATTAATCACCTAAATTAATCACATAACAATTCTCTACTTTTTGAAAGGAAAATTAAAAAATCTTAATAATCACCTGATAACCCTAACAATCCTATTTCTCGATTAAATGAAATTATTCGAGCCTATCTCTAATCACGTATATTTTAAATTACGTGCCCCAATTACATTCTCTAACCGCATGTCCTAATCGCGTGAATAAATGTCCGACATTACGTATTGTTATACGTAAAGCTTTTTTTCAGGCCAGTTGAACTCATCTTTCGTTGATCCTGGCTTTCTCGCTCGATCTCTCAGAGATCGAAAAAGGAGATAAACACTCCTTCTTTTGCCAATTAATTACTGGCAAATGAGCGGAAATATTTCACGCTCATCGTAACGATCGCTCGATTTTACAATCGTTCGTTAAATATTTGAATATAATTTTATTTTAACTCAAATAAAGCCAAATTACTACAAATTTCTGTATATTATATTTTCTAATAAAATATAAAATTCATGTGTGTGTGTATAACTTTTATCATATTACAAATTATTTACTTAATTAATCATTTGGCTTTATATTAAGTTAAAGTAAAGTTTAAAAACAATATCTACAAACAAATTCTATGATGGATGAGCTATAAGAAATTAGAATAAAATAAGTGCGCGTTATAAAAATAAAGCATCAAAAATTGATAAAATTGATAAAATTATTAATGCGTGCTCTTTATTTCATAAATTAGACAAAATCTTTACAAAAAAATTTTCTTTTCTCGATTCTTTTTTTTAATTAATACTTCAATACATTTTCGCAATAGATGCAAAGCATTTTGAAAGAATTTATTAAAGTTATTTAATTTGATCTATCTTAGCTCATCCATTTTAAGGCAACGGATTTACTACAATCTATAATCTACAATCTATTGTACATCTACATCTAAAATGTCTACGAATCCGTTATCTTAAAGTTAAATAAAAGTTTTTCTCACTCACCGGCACTGATGCGCAACAGCGGAGTTGTTGTTATCGAAGCTAGTTGTCTGTAACATACAAATATAAAATTCATTTATAATAATGTTCATAAAATGCAATCAATATTTCAAAAAATTTTTATCGTTCGAAATTTTATATCCGATGTGTAAAATAATAAGAGATAAACACGTGTGAAAAAATTTTATAAATTTGTGGGACGGTTCTTTAAATACAAAGTTTTATATGACTTGTATAACAATCTTTTTCTCTATTTTCTTTAATTCATTTAAATAATAAGATCGAATTATTATCCGTACAATTTATACCAATTGATATATAAATAACAAATATTCACCATCAGGTTGCTCCGCTGATGCAAGATGCCTCTCCCAGGCCTCCTCCTCCTCTCATGTTGTTGGCGCGCGAACTTTTAACGACACTCCCGCACTCGCGAGCGATATTTTTATATCGCTATTTTCGTTCTTTTACGCGCGATACTGAACGACACTCCCGCACTATTTCGATGCGATTAAAAATGTTATAAAAATAAAGTCCAAAAGTTCCGCGAAAACGCGACTACACCAAAATATTAAACCGCGAAAACGCGGTATTGAAGCGCTTGCCACCCGCGGCACGTTGACGGCATCGACGACGCGAAAAGGTACTTAGCTTCCTATTCAGGCACTTTAAGATTTAACATAAATTGAAAAATTTAAAATAAACCTCAAGGCACCATCCAAGTACTAAGCCCTCCCACCGCGACAAGGTGTACCCCATGGGAGGGTTATATTATATATAATTTTATATATAATATAATATATCATTAATTTTGTATTATATAAATTTTATAACTTATAAAAATATTATTATTAATATTAATTATTTACATCTTATTGATCCATCCATTTCCAAGACCTTCTTTTTTTCTTTTGTTTTACTTTGTCCTCGTGGCACTCCAATTCTGGTTGCTGTTATTTGAATTCCACGTTGCACTTACACTCATTTATGAAAAGTTCCTCATTGCACTTGCAATTGTAGTTAGAGAAAGAATTTGATAATATAATGGAACGTCTCACATCACTACCTCACTTCTCGAGAGCCATTGACCGAATGATCGTAAGTCAGAAACATTACAATTCACAGTACTGTTTATATCGTCAAAGTTATGTGAAGAAGAAATTTGATAATACAAAATGAAACATCTCTCTCGTTACTACTCAAAGTTACTGTGCGAATGATAATAAAGTCGTGTCACATATTAACAATAGCGCGATACTGTTTATCAAGGACGAATACGGTGTTACTGATAAGTCTTTCGTTGCTAAAATATTTTCTGTAATATAAAATATTTGTGCGCGAAATATTAAATTATAGAAGTATTTTAATTTATTGATTAAGATTAATTGATTATTTATT